AAAAAAGGAAAAACAATGCCAGGAGAGTCTGTTGATGAAGAAAAGACAGCTGCAGACTCACTGACAGCTTACAGGATCAATGCTCACAACATCATTCTTGATACAGTCTCTAAGTGTATGCACCGCCGCTTCCTGCAGCACAGGAAACTTTATGCTTACTTGTTATTTCTAGATCCACTTCATTTTCCAGATATAAATTCAAATGGACTTCCCAATAATTCACCTCAAGAAATCAGTAAATGCCTCATTCCTTTTGATGAAGATGCAACAGTTGAACATTTACAGTCTGAGTTGTGCAGCCTGGCTCTGCACTGGGACACTATTAAAAAGTCCCCTCTCAGTGAGTACGCAACCAGAGAGTCACAGTCTCTTCCCTCTCAGGAAGAAGAGGACAATCCGGAGGACATTGATCTTGTTAGCAAAACATGAACAGCCTGCAGGAACTGTGCTGTGTGTTGCTACTTCCTCCTTAAGCAGTTGAAGTTTTTTTTCCACATGCACACCACAAAATACAGTTGGCCTACAAATTTTTGTTGACCCTGTCCTGCACACAATTGGCATGTGAAAGAAGTTTCTCAACAATGACGTTCATTGAGAGTCGTCTCAGGAGCAGAATGCAAGAGGAAAATTTGGAAGCCTTTATGTTGATGACAACAGAGAAGGAGATCCTCATGAGACTGGACTTGGACGATGTGATTGACAGAGTGGCAGAGAAAAGCAAATTACTGTGCAACCTGCTACTGTAACTACATAACGTTAAAACATTCATTTATCATATTCTGGTTAATCTATTATATTGTGTTCTGTGGCAGTGTAATGTTTATGTGTAATGTTATGTTTCTTCGCTGCAGATGACCTGAGAAGACAAATGTGGCCTCTCTCTGTGAAAATCGCCATGGCTTCTTTTGGGTGCCAGTCCACCACTGCATGCTGGTCTCTCTCTCTGAGGATGCTGATGACCATTGTTTGTACCCTTGAACTTCTGTGAATACACATGTTGTAACACCTAGATTAAGGTCATTCAACATGTTGGTCAGATCAGTTAAAAATGCCAAGTCTAGCAGCCACTGATCGTCATTTAGTTGGTTGTATCCTACATGTTAAGCTTCACGGAAAAACTCCAGTAAGATCTGTTGAAATCTTCACAGGAATTTTACTTGACTAAGCCATCTCATGCCAGTGTGTAACTACAACTCAGACTGGTCGCAGTCAGCCTTCTCCAGATGTGCACAGAACAGCCGTCTTTAAGAGATCTGGCAAAAATAGAGCAGACAATCTTCATTGCCACATCCATTATCTCTTTCATGTTGAGCATTTTTGCACATGACGCTTGTTGGTGTATAATGCAGTGGTAATTGAGTGAGTCCAGGAAAGCATCGTCATCCCTGGACTTGGGGATAAATCCATTCAAGCAGCCAACCATGGCAGGCGCTCCATCTGTTGTGATGGACACCAATTTGCACACAGTTTTTGAAAGACTGAAATTTGTCCTCTCCTCGTGTGTTTTTTTTTTCATGGGCAGTACTGTCAACAGCTCCTGTTTTGCAGTCAGATCAGTGAACACTATCCAAATATTAAATGCACAATTGTGCTGTGTCACACACATCTGTAGACTCTTCCAACTGCAGTGAGAAACACTCACAATTTGCAATGTCCTTCCAAAGTTGCTAAGCCAGCCATGACTTCACTGCGCCGTGTAACTGTACTTCATGATAGCTGGAGAGCTTTGATCAAAGATAGTATTTCTGGTTTGTTTTCTCGGAACAATGAGTCAGCTGCATATATATAATTTTCAAAACTATAAACAAGACTATTGCGTAAAGAGTAACTTATCAGAAGACATTTTGACTATAATTATTAGGTATATGAGTTAATGTTGCTTAGACTTTGCTTTCTTTAAAGCAACCTCCTCTGCCTTTAACAACAGCTTGGCATATACCAGGCATTCGTTCCACAAGTTTTTTATGGTATGTTCCAGGAATTGCATTTCAAGCTTTCTTAAGTTCATTAAAGAGAGACTGCTGATTCGTGGGACGTGCTTTTCTGACCGATAAATCCAATTCATCCCGCACAAGCTCAATTGAGAAAGGTCAGGAGACTGAGGGGGCCAAACCATCTTTTGAAGAACACCTCTCTCTTCCTTTTTTGTCTAGGTAACCCTGACAGAGCTCGGCAGAGTGCTTAGGGTCATTGTCTTGCTGCAAAACAAACTTATGAGCCACAAGTCTGAGTCCAGATGGAACAGCATGGTGCTGGAGGATGGAGTGGTACTGTTCCTTCTTCATGATACCCTTTACTTCAAACAAATCTCCTACTCCATCACCTGCAAAACATCCCCATACCATGGAACTACCACCTCCATGCTGAATTGTGGGTGTAACACATGATGCTTTCAGATGTTCCCAGTTTGTCTGCGGACATAGACTCTGTGTTTTTAACCAAACTTTGCAAACTTGTTTCTAGTCATCATAAGTCAAATTTTTGTGAGCTTCTGCCCACTCATATTTCTTTTTCTTATTCTGTGGATGAAGTAGTGTTTTTTTGCAGATACACAACCCTTCAGACCAGCCTTTCTCAAACGTCATTTCACGGTTGTCAGAGATATGGGTTTCCGACCTTGTCATGTTGATTTCCTCTCTTATTTGTGGTGCTGTCTTTTGCTGATCTCTCTTACTGGTGACAATGCTATGTTTAACCTTTGCTTTTGTAGTAACTCTCTTTCATCCAGGTCTTTTTCTATCATCATAACTTCCAGGTTCCTCTAGTCTCCTTAGAGTGTAGTGGACTCCTTTGTTAAACACCTTTAGGTGTTTTGCAATTTCTCTTTCTGTGTATCCTTCTTTCCTCAATGTACAAATCTGTACTTTTGTTTCTTTACTCAGTTGCTTCTTTCTAGCCATTTTTTGCAGTAGTTTGATGCAGTTGAGATTTATTAGGATTTTTGTATGCAGACTCTCAAAAGCCAAAAAGTTGAAGTAAATAATCCAACTGTGATTTGTTTTTTACCTTTGTACTGAAGTTGTGACTCTTGCAAATGTTTTCAACCCTAAAACTAAGCCCTTATTATATTTTGCTGACATATATTTAGCAATGTTTTGTTAACATCAATGTATATCTAAAGATAAATTGAGTAAAATGGTGCATTTCCATGAAAGCACCTGTAATGGCCTTGCTTCCAAACTTTTGGCCTGTAGTGTATATAAACATATATATATATATATATATATATATATATATATATATATATATATATATATATATATAAGAGGACCTGTGTGAGTTACTTATCAAAAGTAATTGTATTACATACAGTGGATTTTGGGGTGCTTTTGGACAAAAAGTTCCAGGAACTTTCAGCACGAGGCACCCCTTTCGGAGAACCAAATGGTTGCCAGGGTCTATACTCAGGTGCAGTTGCTCTTCTTTGACCTCAGTTGTTTCATAGAAATCAGGCCAATGACTTTCAGGACAGTTACTTGGTAATTGGAGTCCTTGTCACATCTTTGTATGTGAGACACTGCTTAACTTATGTAAAACAAACAAAACAAACAAAACAAAACAAAAAAAGAAAATGAATCAACAGCATTAATACATATCCTTCTCTCGTGCTTCTCCATTATGTGGGACAGCCCAGGGGTCAATCTTGGGTCCCCTCTTGTTTACTCAGTCTTATTACAACAAAGACAATCTTAGCTAAGGCCAAAAACATACAGTAGCTTGTATGACAACCAAGCCCGGGTTGGGTTATCATCCTAATACAGTCTTCCTTTTTCCTTCCTTATAACTCAGTAATGTAGTTGTGTTCCTCGTTGTTGTCACTGTGAGGTATATCCCCTTTTGACTCCCAGAAAGACAAATACAGCTCACATAGAAAATCCTTAAAGCTGCCAAACTAAAAACAGCAAGGGGGATCTTTACACTGATGATTGTAAGTTTTAACACAGTGCAAAAATGTTGTGACTCTCGCTTTATGTGTATTACCTTGCTTTTTTTTCAACATTTTCTCTTCTTTGATAGATATTTTGTTGTTCTGTTATCTAGCTCTCCTATGCACAAAGGTGAAAAGACACTTTATAGCACTAACTCTATTACTCCAGCTTTACTATAGCCATGCTGCTGAAGGTGTGGACTGTCAGGAAATCTGGCACACTGAGCACCTTTCTCTCCTCCATCCTCCTATCTGTATCATTGGCTTTGAGTCATCATGTCCTATTAGTCTTTGATGGGAGTCTCTGAGCTTCCTCATCCCGTAGCTACCTCTGAAGCTCTGCTGCAGATATCCTTCTGCTGTGGATCTGCCTGCTTCCCAGCTGCTTCAACCAGGCATCAGTCCCACCTTTTTTCTCTTTTACAGAGCTAATGTGAACAAATTGTGTCAGTCTTTCTACTGTTATCATAGTTACAAGGCTAATATTAATTGTTGAACTTTTAAATTCTTTCTTCTGAAGTCCGACCCCCTATGTTAACCTCAACTTCAATATTAGAACCTCTACCACTGTCATGCTATTACTGCAGACCTGTTGGCTTTAATTTCCTTTCCTTCTCAGTGCTGCAAAGTGTAACACTCATAAAGATGAAGACCCAGACTGTACGAATGTACTTTCATTTAAGTTCAACTTTAATTGAATGGCTTTGAAGAGGCAGGTCTGTTTGGCCTGTGTTGAGAGAATTGGCAAAAGATAGGAATTTTACAAAGCAATGACTGATATGACCCTAACCTGGCAGGTGGAGACCTGAGAAGGAATGCTTTATATGTTCCAAGAAAAACATGGATGTTGGTGTTGCAGGAGTAGCTGCAGGTTTGGGACATAAATTGTTTGTGGTTGACGTGATCAGACTGTCAATCACTTTTCTATCACTTTGTCTCACTTTTGAACTTTCCTGCACATACTGATAACAGAAAAACTGACAGTAAGTAGAAAGACTTGAAGATTGACACCATAGTTCTCGAATAGTCTGAAGCATGACCATTGTGGCAGAGGCACCAAACCAAGACTCAGGTAACATGTTTATTTCAAATGTGGTTACAGTGTGAGAATAAATGACGAAAATACATACATAGATACATCAAAAGTTTTCCTTTTCCACCAGCATCACAAGTCAGACAGAGATATCAAGTGACCATTGGCATACATTCAACCTAAGAATACTGTGCTCTTGCAAATATTAAATCTCTTGAGTGTTGATGAAGGAAGCAGTTACCAGGCACTGTCTAAATTATATGTGTGTGTTAGAACTGCATAAATGCTTCTCTGCATAAATGTTTGCATTCTGAATGTAGAAACCTTGTGGCACAGTTGAACAGATTTGAGAGCAAATATTCCAGCAGAACTTCTGTTCATGTAGACAAATGTTAGCTTAAATCAAAATGTCTTGTTGAATTTTGACTATATGAGCTGGATAATGCTTAAAGTTGGCTGTTAATAGCAATGTTACGCTTATTGTTATGATGTTAGCTACATGTGAATTTACTGATTTACTACTCATCAAGTCTTTGGAAACAATTATAAATTGTCTTGTAAGACTGAGGAGGAGTCTGAAGTTAACTTGGTTATAAAGTTTAAAAGATAGATTCAATGTCGCTCAGTAGCAAGAGAGGCTCAGAGAAAAGGGCAGCTTCATATTACTACACTGAGTGAACTTTAGTGTCTAGTGTTTAATGAGTGGGTTCAAATTTAGAGGTTGACCCCTGCTGTGCTTATTCCAACGTCCTTATTATTAAGTTCCTTAACTATTCTCCAGTAGACAGAGTACCTCTCCAATAAGAATTTGCCAGATGATATCACCCAATGCTAGATTATTTTTCAAAATATCTTTGCTTATCCATTGCCCCAAAGCTGGTTGCACATCTGGAAGTACAGGGTTCCGGGTGGCATCATGAGGATTTTGACTTATATTTCAGAAGGAGCAGTTGGAGTGGGGATTGATACCTGCAGAGCAAACAAAAAAGACAAAAAATTCAAGGGTCAGTTTCTGAATAACAAGGACTTAAGGCACAATATGAACTTACACAATGGTTGGGAGGAAAAGGAGAAGCACAGAAGGAAGGAGAGGATGAACTAGAGTGTAAAGATTTAGTAAGAGTGCAGTTGGACCAACTTTAGACATCTCATTACATCAGCTCTGGCTCCAGAAAGAAAACCCTGTTAAGCTGCAAAAAATGTTGCTGTTTGATGGAGATCTATGCGGGAGAAGCTGAGTGTTAAAGAGCTTGGACCTGATCAGCTGGACATCACCATTTAACAGCATTCAAACCATCAACAGAGAAATTACGCAATTTTTTCAAGAAGCTGGTTTGGCAATAAAGCTGGGCTAAAAGCATGAGGTGAAGCTGAAACTTCATCTTTTGTCATGTGTTTTTCAAACATCTTGGGCAGACCCTATGTGGATTCAGACAGGTATGGCATATTTTTAGCACTGCTTTGAAGAAACTGATAAAAATGTGAAATAGTGACCTGAACAGCGTCCGAACGGTTGTCACTCAGAATGAAAGTGTATGGCATTTCAGCGAGCACTGCAAGGCAACATCTGGGAGCCACCAAAGGGGACAGGCTGTAATTATCTCCATCCCCATCATTTTGCATTACGAACCACTGGTTATCAGATATTTTGTCCGGGGTGTTAGCCATCTCAACCTGTGAACACACATAACACAATGACATTTTTAGGGTTTAAGAAATCAAAGAAATGCATTTTCAGTTAAAAAGTATGTGAGGGCTTTGTATTACGATTCCTGAATTTTACTTATATTTGCTTTCTTTTTTAAATTTTTTTACTTTTCTGTGCCTGGTTCATACTGAGGGCAAACACACACACACAATATGTCTCCTATACATATATATATATATATATATATATATATATATTATATCAGTAGGGTCATACTAACCTTCAGGTGTTTGTCAACCACCTTTATACAATAGGAGTTTCCTCTCCAGGGGAAACAGAAAGCCATCTGCTGTTTGTTGCTACTTGTACGTTTATGGATCTGGACCTCATGATCTAAAGACAAAAGCAAAATAACTTTCATACAATTGAATCTCTGTATTTTTTCTCAATAACTGCTATACAATTAAAGATTCCTGCTCTGGAGAAGAAATTAAGATCAACAGCCCCAGATGGGTGTCCATGCATATTCAGGTTTTACCTTTGAGTGTGAAATCTGAAGGGTCAATGGCACACATCTTCATCTCTCCTCTTTCGAAGGACCGGATTGTCACAACCTTCCCTTCAGCCGTTTGTAGGACATATGTTTTGTACATGCTGTTTTGTTTTTTCTGTCCATAAAAACAAGAGTAAAATTACATTAAACATCTTGCAGTAATCTCACCATTCCAGAAATACAAAAAGTTAAAATAGCATACAAGGCAAGTGTTCGATTTTTGAGTAATCAAGACTGACTCTGAGTCAAAACCTTGCTCAAGATCAAATGTGGTTAGATAAGTCATTCTGGGCTGCTGCTTTCTGGATCATCTGTGGAGGGTTCAAGGTGCACGCAGAGAGGCTTGCCAGTAAGGAGTTGCAGTGGGTGATGCCTGATATTACAAGAGCCTGTGCCAGGAGCTGTGTTGCATGCCCTGTGAGGTAGGGGCTGATCCCCCTGATGTTATAGAAGGGAACTGACGTGAAACTTTAGGGTTGGCTGAACATCAATCATTACACCAAGATTTCTGGTAGAGTAAGTGGGCCAGAGTTTGGTTGAGCTATGCTGGATATCGATTCATGATTGTATGGAGGAATTGGCTGAGATGACAAGAAGCTCAGATTTGGTCAGGTTGAGCTTAAGATGGTGTTCCTTCATGCTTTTAGAAATATCACTGTGAGGCATGATGTGATCCAGACTAAGACAAATGTGTCATTTGATGGGAACAAGATGAAGAGCTGGGTATCATCTGCATAACAGTGATATGATAAAACATAAGAGTGGAAAGTTGCACCAAGTGAGATGGTGAGTAAAAGCAAAGTAAGCTGGTCAGGTTCAGAGAATTTATTACTGATGGTAAACATCTTCTTGGTGAAGTGTGAGGCAAACATGTGGAGGTGTTAGGAGTTTGTGGAAAGAGGAGAGAATTAGGTCGTGTTCACACCAAAAGGTCAATTTCCTGATTTGAATCCAAGGCAAGACGATACATTTGTTTTGATTGTTTAACTGGTCTGGTTTGTGTTCACAAAGGACAAACTCAATCGCTCTAGAAAACGAAAACGAAGTCACGTGACCGCGAATATCGTTCGGCTATTGGTTATTAGTTTATGTGGGAATATAAACCCCGCTCTGCTGTCTTTGCCTGTCATGGAGTATCGTAGGCTGATTTTGCTTTTACTACTCATTTGGAGTGCATATCAAAAGACACTAGCCGATCGCGCGTATGAACGCCTCGTTAGCCAGCGAGCGCAAACTGTTGCATTAATTAATACATTCCGGAGTAGATGTGCTGCAAACAACAGACGGATAAAGACGAGATGGCGACAGGAATTAATGAGAGTCTACCACAATGCGTTTTCTCTCTGGTGTCAATCGGGACAAGTGAGGAGAGCGGAAAACATTTATTTCAAAACCAGCATTACAAATAGCCTAGCCTAGGTGCGTTTCCTGTGATTGGTGTGGATGACGTTCACACCAGAAATGAAGAAATGAACCGCTCCAGAGTTCAGTTGACAGCAGTCCAAGACCACCTCTTCAGGCAGACCAGAGTTCGTTTATTTGGTCCGCACCAGAGTTCGAGGTCAGCATTCACACTGACCCAAATGAACCGCACCAAGGGGGTAAACGCTCCAGGGTTCGGTTTAACCGGACTAAACAAGGGTGGTGTGAACACGCCATTAAACACTAAAAACAGTTTTTGCTAAAATGTTTAACTAGCAGTTTTTTAACTGGAGGTGAATAATGAAAGTTTTCATTGATGATCATTCAAACAGGAAAACTCTCTAGATTTACACCACTTCCTTCTGCTGCCCAAAGCCATGCCCTCTTGCTCTTTGGTGACTTCAGTGAGCCAGGGACAGAGAGGCTGACCTCACTTCAACGCTGAGGGTGTGAAACACCAGTGCTCAGCCTTAATACCTGACAATGACCACTATCAATGACTAAAAGTAGATTTAATCTATCTAAGCTAACTGTAACCTTCATCTCCCAAGATCAGGGCTTATTCTGTAGTCAGTTTGACATTTAAACTCTCTTCAGGCATGATTTTTTTGTGTGTGAAAATCCTGCCCCTGTTTAAATTCTCTTGAACAAGTGATTGAGGATGCGACTCACAGTATCTGAGCCGCTGAGGGGATGAGACAGCTGTGCTTATCCAGTATGTGCCAGTGACGACTGCTAATAACAACTTAAAGACAGGTTTCACTTTTGTGGTAAGATCAGCACTTGTTCAGCTAATCTACAAGTTCTACAAACTTATCTGATTTTATGGACTCTTTTCATGGATTCATTTTAAAACGAGTGGTGGTTCAGTTCTATACAAACAATCACAATCATGTCCAGAAGACAATCAATGACTGTTAGAATAATGTGCATAAATGTATATAGAAGTTATCATTTTTACTCATATTCTTATGTAAGAGTTTACTACAAGTATGAACTGTTTTGACCTCTTGTTACACATCATATAAGAGTGTTTTCTAACTTCTCTCTCCAATAGCTTTATTACACAGCACATGAGTGTTTCTTCATTTTTCTGTGACCTTGTTTCTCCTATCAGCAGGTGTGTGTGTGGGTGATGTATCCTCCACTGTGAATCGTGGGAAGTAATGAGGAGGATCTGCTCCTATCAGGAGGAGCTCGTTTGATGCAACAATGTCGCCTTGACCCTCACATATTCTCTGTTGTTTATTATTCTATTTTATGAGACAACAAAGCACAAGTGGTATGCACGGAAGTCAATGATAAAATTTACTACTACTATGACCTCTTCTACTGTTCGTACTACAACCACTACTACTACTACTACAACTACTACTAATACTATTACTACTACTACTAATAATAATAATAATAATAATAATAATAACAATAATAATAATAATAATAAAAACAAAGTACAAGTGCAGGATTTACACCCTGATCCTAAGTCCTAAGTAGGACATGCAGACGCACACATTCACAACCACTTTACTGTATCTTAAAGTACCGTGACTCTGAAAACTACTCCTGCAGACTGCAGTAACCACAGAATGAAGCATTACACACATGCAGATGGATGAGATGTCATGGAAGAGTAATATCTGTGCAGTTATACATGTTTAGAAATAAGCATTAGTCACTTACCCGCAAAAATCGAGTCTTGAGAGGCTGTCAAGTTGAACCTGTGTTTGCGCGTTACCCTGCAGCAGCGTTCGTGTGAACTGTTAGAGAGGTCCTGGGCCCCTTTTTAAAGACAGACCCACAGGTTTGACGTGAACGTTGACAGCTCCAAGAATGTGGTCCGGTGCCAAAGCTTAGAAGAAGTCTGTGATAACAATCAGACACTTAATAAAGCTTGAGTCATAAACGGGTGCAGACTTAAAAACAGACAAGGCTGAGTGAACTTTAATTCAGCAAGATGCAAAGACAAAAACATATGATGCCGTTTCCGGATTGGTCTTCTGCCTTTTGGGTGAAAGTCGTTATGGCTCCTCGTGCCATTAATGTGCAACAGTTTAGCCGATTCAATTTAATGTAAACAATTTTATTTAGTTCTGAGGGGCAATTTAGCTTTGCAGCTTACCCAACACTAGAGAGCATAATGAAATAAAGAGAGAGCCTTTACAGCATACAGAACAAAAATAAAAGTGCCATTTCTGTTAGAAATATGTGGGTAAGTGTCCCCTGAATGCCCTCACAGCATCTTAAAATGGTAAAAGTGCCCTCTGTATGAGCTTCCAGCATTTAGAGCACAAGGGAAAGTGTTCCCTTGATTTTCTTGTGATGGGTATAATATAAGAAGTGCCCACCGGACGCCTTTCCCATTTGCAAAATGTAAAAATTCATCTCTGGATTGTCTTCTTGCGTACTGAATACACAAGGTCCATCTGAATACCTTACCGGCAAATAAAACCTTTAAAAGGGCTCTCTGGATGGTCTTCCTGCATTTAAAATGTTAAAAAGTTCTCTCTGGAAGACCCTCTACTCCATAGAATAGAAGAAAAAGTCCACTGGATGCTCTTCCAACATATCTAAGTTTGTGAAAAGCTCCTGTGAGGAGTTTGTGGACATTTTTCTTACAGACTGAAACTAAAGTTGATGCCTTTTTATGATGTAAAGGAGCAAACAAGGACATCAGCGACAAGACTGACCTTTTTGAAATGAAATTTCAAAATTCAGCATAAACTCAGTAAAACAATGCACAGGAGACAGGATGAGATCTGAAGAACAGCCTGGGCGTCTTTTATTGTACAGATGTAGAAATCAGCACAAACGACAGAGTCTCGACCAAGACCAAGGGAAGCCTCTAGCTTTTAGCTCCCTAGCTTTTCTTCTACTCCCTTTTATGCTTTCAAGTGTGTGTGTGTGTGTGTGTGTGTGTGTGTGTGTGTGTGTGTGTGTGTGTGCGTGAGTGAGTGCGTGTGTGTGTGTGTGTGTCTGTCAATTCTCCAGGAGGCTCCTCACAATGGCATGTCTGCCCCACGACACTTTGTTTAGGCTCGTCTTGACCCTTGCAGAGATTAAATGATCCAACAGACAGATAGTTCGGGCTCCTGCAAGACAGCCTTGCTTACAATCTCAGGGTCATGAGGCTGCAGGAGTAGGCCAACCTAGATTATTTGTAGCTTCTTACTAAAAGATAATTACTCTATATTTCTTAACCCAAATGTATGAAGAGATTCTACTACAAAAGCTACTGTATATAAAAGTATAAACAAAACCATAATATCTTAAAGAAGAAGTAATAATTAAAGTGTACATATATCTGCATAACTGGATACAACACTGCACCAATTTTTAAGGGATATACTGTAGATAGATAGATAGATAGATAGATAGATAGATAGATAGATAGATAGATAGATAGATAGATAGATAGATAGATAGATAGATAGATTTATATTTGAGTTACTTATCAAAAGTAATTGTATTACATACAGTGGATTTTGGGGTGCTTTTGGACAAAAAGTTCCAGGAACTTTCAGCACGAGGCACCCCTTTCGGAGAACCAAATGGTTGCCAGGGTCTATACTCAGGTGCAGTTGCTCTTCTTTGACCTCAGTTGTTTCATAGAAAACAGGCCAATGACTTTCAGGACAGTTACTTGGTAATTGGAGTCCTTGTCACATCTTTGTATGTGAGACACTGCTTAACTTATGTAAAACAAACAAAACAAAACAAACAAAACAAAACAAAAAAACGAATCAACAGCATTTATACATATCCTCCTCTCGTGCTTCTCCATTATGTGGGGTAGCCCAGAGGTCAATCTTGGGTCCTCTTTTGTTTACTCAATCTTATTACATGTTATTAAAAGATGTATATGTTGCATTAGTCTGGCTAAAACTTGACCTTTAAAACATGTTAACACATTATTCTGACTTAAATCATGCTAAATCGAACTCCTCACATTTAGACAAACAGATCTGGACAATGCAGGTGGGGATCGATTCTCTCTTCCATGTGTATAGCTAAGTTTGCATGCTCAAGTGTTTGTATTGTGGGCTTTAAGCCAAAAGTTGAATAGCATGAATGCATTGCTAGAAAGCTGAGTAGTACACCATGATGGACAAACAGAGGACTTCAAAAAAGGTAAAACCTTTTCCACATAAGAGACAAAGGAAGTTAAAACAAAGACAAACTTAGCTAAGGCCAAAAACATACAGTAGCTTGTATGACAACCAAGCCCGGGTTGGGTTATCATCCTAATACACTCTTCCTTTTTCCTTCCTTATAACTCAGTAATGTAGTTGTGTTCCTCGTTGTTGTCACTGTGAGGTATATCCCCTTTGACTCCCAGAAAGAAAAATACAGCTCACATAGAAAATCCTTAAAGCAATGACTGATAGGACCCTAACCTGGCAGGTGGAGACCTGAGAAGGAATGCTTTATATGTTCCAAGAAAAACATTGATGTTGGCGTTGCAGAAGTAGCTGCAGGTTTGGGACATAAATCGATGACTTTTCTATCACTTTGTCTCACTTTTGAACTTTCCTGCACATACTGATAACAGAAAAACTGACAGTAAGTAGAAAGACTTGAAGATTGACTCCATAGTTCTCGAATAGTCTGAAACATGACCATTGTGGCAGAGGCACCAAACCAAGACTCAGGTAACATGTTTATTTCAAATGTGGTTACAGTGTGAGAATAAAAATATATGACAATGACAAAAATACATACATAGATACATCAAAAGTTTTCCTTTTCCACCAGCATCACAAATCAGACAGCGATATCAAGTGACCATTGGCATACATTCAACCTAAGAATACTGTGCTCTTGCAAATATTAAATCTCTTGAGTGTTGATGAAGGAAGCAGTTACCAGGCACTGTCTAAATTATATGTGTGTGTTAGAACTGCATAAATGCTGCTGCTGATTGAATAACCTTAGTTACAGATGTGAATAAAAAAGTATGATTTTTTTTATTTATTGGCTCCCAAAAGAAGCACAAGCTCCTAATGGTGATACCAGTTTCTAAAAGTGCCTATCACCTTTGAAAAGGCTACTACAGCTAGCTCGCTAGCAGCTGCTTGTTCTTCCACATCTCCATTTTATGATGTGTAGCAACCAGCGAAAAGGACTAAATACAAACTCACAGTACAACCTTATACTTGTTTATAGCATAATATCAACATAAAAAAGCATGGTTATTATCAATGCTGGTATACAGGGAAGGGCCTAACAGCCTCTTAGTTAATGTAAGGTCTTGATTCAGCTTCTCTGGTTATAATGCCAGCCAATCAGTGAAGTGGATGATCATTGCTTGCAAACAGCTTTCATATAGCATATGGAAAACATTTATCTTCTTCACAGACTTGCAGTAAACATTCAAATGAGTCACAATAAATAGACTGTATAAAAAGGTTGGACAGCAACACAGTTTTCTAAAAGTGAAGCCAAAACACTTGAGTCCCCTGCTGGCGGGCTAGCTGAAGCAAAGGTCGTAAAGCATGCCCTAATATGAACACATGTGATATGAGTCAGACTATGAAGTAAAATCAAAATGTGTTTTGTTGTAATAAAATTTGGTTATTACCTTGAAGATTTATAACCAAGTGTTTAGTTCTCTGGGAGGCCTTGTTTTATTTTTTTATTCAATGCAAGGGAGAAACACCATTGTTTTCAGCTCTGGGGTGCTGTGTATGCTGTGAAGAACAGAGTAGAAGATATAATGATCACAAGCATTAACACCATTGAAGTGGGAACCTGCAGGAGCTGTTGTTTTATCGGTTGGTCAAATGATAAATTTAAAGACACGAGTACCTCAGGTCAACTGCCTCTGGCTTTAAATAGTGTAATCATCACAGGGAGTATTCTGGCTTCACTTTTGTACAGAGTGAGAAAGTGAGAATGTGTTTGTCATCCTCTTATAGTCAGTGGTCCCAGACATACAGTAATAAAATGCCCAACCCCCTAAAATACCAATATATAAAAACATCTGAGAATCTCTTCACATTACAGGGCACCCTTTTCACCACTCTTTCTTACTCATTACCTGGCTGTGGGTACTAATACTTGATTCTGATTAGTCAAAACTCTATAGCAGTGATTTTTTATTCTGAAGAGTTAATGCCACGGCAGAGACAACCTGCTCATAAATCAACCCATGGATAATAGTCTGGCACATTTCACCCCTGCCTGTTGACACTGTGAGAAAAATGTTTGCATTCTGAATGTAGAAACCTTGTGGCACAGTTGAACAGATTTGAGAGCAAATATTCCAGCAGAACTCCTGTTCATGTAGACAAATGTTAGCTTAAATCAAAATGTCTAGTTGAATTTTGACTATATGAGCTGGATAATGCTTAAAGTTGGCTGTTAATAGCAATGTTACGCTTATTGTTATGATGTTAGCTACATGTGAATTTACTGATTTACTACTCATCAAGCCTTCGGAAACAATTATAAATTGTCTTGTAAGACTGAGGAGGAGTCTGAAGTTAACTTGGTTATAAAGTTTGAACGACAGATTCAATGTCGCTCAGTAGCAAGAGAGGCTCAGAGAAAAGGGCAGCTTCATATTACTACACTGAGTGAACTTTAGTGTATAATGTTTAATGAGTGGATTCAAATTTAGAGGTTGACCCCTGCTGTGCTTATTCCAACGTCCTTATTGTTAAGTTCCTTAACTATTCTCTAGTAGACAGAGTACCTCTCCAATAAGAATTTGCCAGATGATATCACCCAAAGCTAGATTATTTTTCAAAATAACTTTGCTTATCCATTGCCCCAAAGCTGGTTGCACATCTGGAAGTACAGGGTGCAGGGGGGATCATGAGGATTTTGACTTATATTTCAGAAGGAGCAGTTGGATTGGGGATTGACACCTGCAGAGCAAACAAAAAAGACAAAAAATTCAAGGGTCAGTTTCTGAATAACCAGGACTTAAGGCACAATATGAACTTACACAATGGTTGGGAGGAAAAGGAGAAGCACAGAAGGAAGGAGAGGATGAACTAGAGTGTTGTGATTTAGTGAGAGTGCAATTGGACCAACTTTAGACATCTCATTACATCAGCTCTGGCTCCAGAAAGAAAACCCTGTTAAGCTGCAAAAAATATTGCTGTTTGATGGAGATCTATGCGGGAGAAGCTGAGTGTTAAAGAGCTTGGACCTGATCAGCTGGACATCACCATTTAACAGCATTCAAACCATCAACAGAGAAATTACGCAATTTTTTCAAGAAGCTGGTTTGTCAATAAAGCTGGGCTAAAAGCATGAAGTGAAGCTGAAACTTCATCTTTTGTCATGTGTTTTTCAAACATCTTGGGCAGACCCTATGTGGATTCAGACATGTATGGCATATTTTTAGCACTGCTGTGAAGAAACTGATAAAAATGTGAAACAGGAACCACACCTTCAATCGTTTCGGCTGTGACCTGAACAGAGTCCGAACGGTTGTCACTCAGAATGAAAGTGTATGGCTTTTCAGCGAGCACTGCAAGGCAACATCTGGGAGCCACCAAAGGGGACAGGCTGTAATTATCTCCATCCCCATCATTTTGCATTACGAACCACTGGTTATCAGATATTTTGTCCGGGGTGTAATTAGCCATCTCAACCTGTGAACACACATAACACAATGACATTTTTAGGGTTAAAAAATCAAAGAAATGCATTTTCAGTTAAAAAGCATGTGAGGGCTTTGTATAGAGTGGAAACCTCTGATGAGACCTTTACGATTCCTGAATTTTACTTATATTTGCTTTCTTTTTAAAAATGTTTTACTTATCTGTGCCTGGTTCATACTGAGGGTGAACACACATACACAGTGGCCCTCATTTATCAAGCTTGCGTAAGGTAGAAAACTTGCATACACCTTGCGTGCGACAATTTTGGCGGGAGGATCGGCATTTATCAATCTGCACGTGAGCGTACGCTACGACCAAATCTCACGACAGGTCTGACATCATGTACCCAAGTTTGGGTCAGTGTGGATTTGCTGTGCAGCAAATGTCTGTGTCAAAATAATTGATATACAAACCTCAAACCTGTCATTAAGCACAATCAGCCAGATTTCATTAAAGATTAAGACGTAAATAAAATAAAATAAATTTGTTATGTCCTTGGTGTATAGGCCTATTTGATAACTCTGCCCAGAAACACTGCCACAGAGCAGGAGTGCCGTTTTAACATTGCGTTGGCTGTGCCGGTGCAACGTGAGGACCCGATGCCCAGAGAACAATAATGAGGAGAGACTCCACAATGGTGCTGTACAGAGGAGACAGGACCTTATCGATGGATTCTGATATGTAAAGTATAAGTTTAGAAAGTGCTCATGCTATTTAATCAGTGATAAAAATCCAATAGAAATCCATAAAAATGTGCCTCAGGGGCAGCAACACACCATTTGGTGACGTTAATAATTATTTTTGTTCAGCCTCTGTCAGACTCTCCAGTCTGCTCTACATTACAAAGACAAAACAAGTTAAAACTAAATACTTTCAATAATAGGAGCAACGTACTCTATGTCATAGCAATAAACAAATATGAGGCATGTATGAGATATTGATTTATCATCATGAGCAATTTATTGACTAATGATTAATTCAAACTTCAGCCACTGTCCACTATTCCGCGGCAGCGCTGTTCAGCGCCACCATAATCCTGCTCCAGACAGGAGTTTTCTGGACTGCTTTGATACCAGTTTTGATGCTTCCAAAGAGAAAATCCTTGTTAGTTTCCATCACAGACACGAGGATATCCACTTTCAGCTCGGAAAAGTTTCACATCTTTCTAATATTTCTTCTCTTGCATGTTTGACCTCAGTGGGCGAGGCTTCTGAACCACGAATATTTAACAGCGTGAACATGTTAATGACGATCGATTTCAGTCACCGCATTTATCAAGACCTGACCATACGTACGCTGGGATTGGTCAGATACGAACCCTTTCATAAATCTCACGCGTGTCCTATTGTGCGATGAATCCTGTGCTCAGATCAGCGCTCAGTTCTGCGCAAGATTGATGAATGAGGGCCAGTATGTCTCCAATACATACATACATACACACACACAAAAAAAAAAAAAAAATATATATATATATATATATATATATATATATATATATATACATATATCAGTAAGGTCATACTAACCTTCAGGCATTTGTCAACCACCTTTATACAATAGGAGTTTCCTCTCCAGGGGAAACAGAAAGCCATCTGCTGTTTGTTGTTACTTGTACGTTTATGGATCTGGACCACATGATCTAAAGACAAAAGCAAAATAACTTTCTTACAATTGAATCGCTGTATTTTTTCTCAATAACTGCTATACAATTAAAGATTCCTGCTCTGGAGAAGAAATTAAGATCAACAGCCCCAGATGGGTGTCCATGCATATTCAGGTTTTACCGTTGTGTGTGGAATCTGGAGAGTCAATGGCACACATCTTCATCTCTCCTCTTTCGAAGGACCGGATTGTCACAACCTTCCCTTCAGTCATCAGGACATATGTTTTGCACATGCTGTCTCCTCAGTGTTTTTTCTGTCCATAAAAACAAGTGTAAAAATTCCATTAAACATCTTGCAGTAATCTCACCATTCCAGAAATACAAAAAGTCGAAATAGCATACAAGGCAAGTGTTCGATTTTTGAGTAATCAAGACTGACCCTGAGTCAAAAACTTGCTCAAGATCAAATGTGGTTAGATAAGTCATTCTTGGCTGCTGCTTTCTGGATCATCTGTGGAGGGTTCAAGGTGCACGCAGAGAGGCTTGCCAGTAAGGAGTTGCAGTGGGTGATGCCTGATATTACAAGAGCCTGTACCAGGAGCTGTGTTGCATGCCCTGTGAGGTAGGGGCTGATCCCCCTGATGTTATAGAAGGGAACTGACGTGAAACTTTAGGGTTGGCTGAACATCAATCATTACACCAAGATTTCTGGTAGAGTAAGTGGGCCAGAGTTTGGTTGAGCTATGCTGGATATCGATTCATGATTGTATGGAGGAATTGGCTGAGATGACAAGAAGCTCAGATTTGGTCAGGTTGAGCTTAAGATGGTGTTCCTTCATGCTTTTAGACATATCACTGTGAGGCATGATGTGATCCAGACTAAGACAAATACGTCATCTGATGGGAACAAGATGAAGAGCTGGGTATCATCTGCATAACAGTGATATGATAAAACATAAGAGTGGAAAGTTGCACCAAGTGAGATGGTGCATAGAGAAAAAAAGAGGGGACCAAGCATTGACCCTTGAGGTACCCCTTTATATACGAAAAAGAGAGGCTGTTTGTAAGCATGAGGGGAGAGGGCAGAGTGTCTGTAGCTTCTATTCAAGGCTGGCTTTTGTCAAAATCCTGCCCGTTTTTCATTTTCCCTGAGAAAGCAAAACAGGTTACTCACATTAGCCAGCCTCACTTCAACGCTGAGGGTGTGAAACACCAGTGCTCAGCCTTAATACCTGACAATGACCACTATCAATGACTAAAAGTAGATTTAATCTATCTAAGCTAACTGTAACCTTCATCTCCCAAGATCAGGGCTTATTCTGTTGTCAGTTTGACATTTAAAAAGGCATGATTTTTTTGTGAAAATCCTGCCCCTGTTTAGATTCTCTTGAACAAGTGATTCAGGATGTGACTCACAATATCTGAGCCGCTGAGGGGATGAGACAGCAGTGCTTATCCAGTATGTGCCAGTGACGACTACCAATAACAACTTAAAGACAGGTTTCACTTTTGTGGTAAGATCAGCACTTGTTCAGCTAATCTACAAGTTCTACAAATTTATCTGATTTTATGGACTCATTCAAATCAAAACGAGTGGTGGTTCAGTTCTATACAAACAACCACAATCATGGGAAGGACTTCTGATTTTCAACATGTCCAGAAGACAATCAATGACATCCTTTAAAGAGACTGTAAAACACAGAGGGTCAATCCTGAAAAGGCTGTGAGGGACGTTGAGTGGAAGGGAAAAAAATGCAGTTGAAAATAGAGCATGAGTTTCAAGCTTTAAGAGGACAGCTGAGAGAAACTGATTCAAGACCATGAGAGAGCGTCACAAGTGGACAACTTGGTTCCACCTCCCGCCTGTATACCGATTTGAAGCCAAAAAGTATTTCTGGGATTTTTCTTCATTTCCTGAAACCAGCGCGCATTCGGCCGCGCAGTTGCCGAGAGTCACTGTGATGACGCTCGGCACAAACAGCGTATCCCCCGGGAGAGCTATGCAATCCCTGAACGCCCATTGGCTGTATCAGGTGTCAATCATAGAAAACATGAACCCCCTAATAACTTTTAAAAACAGAGCTTCACAGAAAAAAAGAGGACTTGAGCACAAACCAGTCTTACAGTAACTACATGTCAACATCACAAGCAGGGGGGAGAAAAAATTATGTTCTGTGTAATAAATTTCTAAAGTTGGTCCACAGCCCCATTAGCTTTGCTGGTGGAGGCGGGATTTATGATCTGTACTGCAGCCCACCATCAGAGGGTGCTGTTCTTAGAGTGGCTTCACCCAGCCAGGAGGCAGACTCTGTCCATTCTATATACAGTCTATGGTTAAGATGCATTATGAGCCCTTCACTGTCTTTCTGCTGCATGGGAATTCATTAACCTGAAACAAATGACCGACGACACGGAGTTATAACTGTATCAAAACTCTAAAAGTAGGACTTTTGTGTAATAATAGATAATAATCATAACAACAACAACAACAATAATAATGATAATAATAACAACTACTTCTACGACTCCTACTGCGCAACAAATAATGTTGCGGATAATTTACTACTACTACCACTACTACTAATAACAACAACAACAACAACAACAATAATAATAATAATAATAATAATAATAATAATAATGATGATGATAATAACAACAACAACAAAGTAAAAGTGGTATGCACGTCAATGAAAACATTTACAACTACTATGACATCTACTACTGCTAGTACTACTACCACTACTACTTCCACTACAACGACTACGACTACTACTACTTCTACCACTACCACTATAACTAATAATAATAACAACGACAAAGTACAAGTGGTATGCACGGAAGTCAAATAATTTACCTGCCGAAACAGATTAAAAACCCTCCGATGAAACTACCGGTTACTCTCCAAAACAACGAAACTGTAAAATCTTCGAAAATCGTCCTAAATTCTTGTCACGATCCGTCTAACCCAGTACCAGTGTCAAATGCCTCTCCCTCTGCAGGATTTACACCCTGATCACATAAACACCGATGAAGTTACAAGCAAGGGAGTCTGGGGTAAACTGAGTAGGACATGCAGACGCACACATTCACAACCACTTTACTGTATCGGAAGTACCGTGACTCTGAAGACTACTCCTCCAGACTGCAGTAACCACAGAATGAAGCATTACACACATGCAGATGGATGAGATGTCATGGAAGAGTAATATCTGTGCAGTTATACATGTTTAGAAATAAGCATTAGTCACTTACCCGCAAAAATCGAGTCTTGAGAGGCTGTCAAGTCGAGCCTGTGTTTGCGCGTTACCCCGCAGCAGCGTTCTTGTGAACTGTTAGAGAGGTCCTGGGCCCCTTTTTAAAGACAGACCCACCGGTTTGACGTGAACGTTGACCGATCCAAGAATGTGGTCCGGTGCCAAAGCTTAGAGGAAGTCTGTGAAAACAATCAGACAGTGCCGCCACTTAATAAAGCTTGAGTCATAAACGGGTGCAGACTTATAAACAGACAAGGCTGAGTGAACTTTTATTGAGCAAGATGCAAAGACACCTTTTTGGTGAAAGTCGTTATTGCTTCTCGTGCCATTAATGTGCAACAGTTTAGCCGATTCAATTCAATGTAAACAATTTTATTTAGTTCTGAGGGGCATTTTAGCTTTGCAGCTTACCCAACACTAGAGAGCATAATGAAATAAAGAGAGAGAGCCTTTACAGCATATGGAACAAAAATAAAAGTGCCATTTCTGTTATAAATATGTGGGTAAGTGTCCCCTGAATGCCCTCACAGCATCTAAGTGCCCTCTGTATGAGCTTCCAGCATTTAGAGCACAAAATTTTCTTGCGATGGATAAAATATAAAAAGTGCCTACTGGATGCCTTCAAAATGTAAAAAGTCATCGTTGGATTGTCTTCCTGCTTATTGAATACACAAGGTCCATCTGAATACCTTTTTGGCAAATAAAACCTTTAAAAGTGCTCTCTGGATGGTCTTCCTGAATTTAAAATGTTAAAAAGTTCTCTCTGGAAGACCCTCTACTCTATAAAATAAAAGAAAAAGTCCACAGGATGCTCTTCCAACATATCACACAAAAAAGTACCAGACTGCCCCCTAGATTTTCTTGCTGTTGATAAAATAAGAAATGTGCCCCTTGGATGCTTGGAAGAACATCAGCAGAAATGAGAGGTTCCAATGAAGGGGCAGAATTTACATCAACTCCGTTCCTCTCAGGAGCTTTGACGGCCACAGCACAAGCAGAAAAAAACACCAAAGAGGGCTTTGGGGTAAAAAATGAACTGTCGACCTTCATTACCTTCCAATTCCTCTCACCTAGTTTCTTCATCCAAGTACAACTATACACTCCTAGCCAAGTTAATGACAAAAACTCACACTTATAATGTACAATCCAGTTTACCAATGTTGTTTGTAAAGACTGGTTGACAGAAAAGCTTATGATTATGTTTGACCTTAATTTCTTTGGGAAATAAAGACTGCAACAATAAAACATCTCTGTGCTATTCAAACAAACACATACTGAATGAACTGAGTGACAAGGTGAATAGGTCTGACAACATCAGGCTAAATCTTTCAGCTAGGCATAAAAATACATGTATGACACAATAATCAAACACGAAGCTTCAAACTTTGACTGTGATTAGAAGTGTTGAAACCTACCTTTAGTTGTCAAACCTGAACAAAGCAGTGACCTCCTGAGTGGAATGAAGTTGCTTCAAGAGAGAAAAAACAAGTAAAGGCACAAAAAGTTGCAGTGTTTATAAAGCGGGCCCCAGAAGTGAGACAATCCCTTATAGGGTTGCACAATTAATGTTACCAAAGTTCTACAGCAAGTGTCAACCCAATGTTCTTATTACAGTAAGGTTTGACAAGCAATGATGAGTGAAGCAAAGCAGTGCTTTTATGATGTGCTGACCAGTCTATTTCAAGATACATTCTTGGAAAAAGGAGTTGACCAAAATTCTTGAGGCTTCATTTGAAATAGAGTCATGCAAAAAATTCCTTTATTAGTGTATAGTGCAGGATCGCTCACACAGTTTATTCAACTAGGAAGTTGAATGCAGTTTTGATATACTCCTTCACCTGACACACGGTAACAAGGGCATTTGATAGCTTATATTAAGTCTCTTCTTAAAATAGATATGCTCTTCCTGCACTGCAAATATAGAACGAGGTGTTTGGTTAGTACAAACTAGCCTGGCTGGGCCATCCGGTTGCGTGAATCACTTGCCGTTCCTTCCCACACTGTGCACCTGCATGAACTTCACACCTGTTTCTGTAAAAGTGATATCACCTAAAATTTTTTATCTTTTACTGGAATTTGTGCATAGATTCCTTCCTGTCATTTCTGGATGTGCTGTTGAGTCATCACAATAGAAAAAAAGCATGTTTTGTGGTGTTATATTTGGCAGCTTCCAGTTAGCTGATTGTTTTTAACACTGCTGTATTACTACACAGTCATGTGTCCAAAGTGTTTACACATAGTCCAGTCAAGCCTGGATTATCTAGATTGGGTAATTTAACTGGACTACTGCTCATGTCCCAGGAGAAAGTTAAATTACCGACAGAAGCACGCATAGCCGGCACCATCTCCACATTCAGATACAGTGAAACAGCGCCTGGAAGGCGTTCAACTCAGTCACTGTTGTATTTGGAAACCTGTCAGCTCTGGGCTCACTGCTATGCCATGGGCACTTGAGCATCCCCAGACCATCAAACATGGTTTTGAACTGCAAAAAGCCAAGTGGTCCCTTGCTTCTTTAAAGCAGAGGATGCTTTGTTCATGATTTCCTTAAAGAATGTGAAATTTTGATTTATCAGATATAGTTTTTTAACTTAACCTCAATCCATCTTAAACTGGCTAAGGTCTTGAGAAGTTGCAACAATTCTGGATCACATTTATACATAGTTTCTACTTTTATAAACACGAGGTGACTTCTTCTGTTGCCACATCAGTTTTTAATGCTGTGCCACCTGAGGACCTGAAGTCCAAGGGTATCCGGAAGCAGTTATCAGCCAAGTTTTCATTGATCTGTTGTCTCTCTGCCAAATGCTATGAAACAAGTTGCCAGAATCATATTTAAAATGAGCATGTATTTTTTTAAGAAAACCGTATCAGTCATACTTGTCAACCTATGATCATCTGTCTTTGTACTCTTTCCAATCTTCCAGCAGAGATCCTCAGTGTGCTGCCAATGCCAGATAAAAAATAAGAGACGAATTGCAGTGAGGACTCTGGAACAATCTGCTTGAGGAAGTTATGCAAGAAGCCTAGTCAGTGATCTCGGGACTTTTATGATGTTTTATTTTACTACCTTTGTGAAGCTCTTGAAAAGTGCCCCATAAAGAATTTAAATATCAATAATTCTAAAGAAGGCAAGTGTGTTTCTTTGATAGTAGCTGTCATGTATGTGAGTGTATAGGCAAAATACAATACAATACAAAACCAGAACTGTATCGATCCCTGACAAGAAATTTGTTTGTTTAGGATCTCAACTCATCTACCATCTAAAGAAGAATTGCCATCAGTTTATCTGGACAACAAAACTTCTCCTTGACAGTTATGTATGAAGGGTTACACCATCTCTGGTTAACAAATAAAGCCAGACCTCCTCCTTTCTTCTTGCAACTAGCTTGAGCATGTCTGCCAGACCTTATGAGAGTGAAGCCAGGTAGATGCACACTGGAGTCTGAGTTGTTTTGATTCAACCCGGTTTCAGTAAAACACAGGAGACTGCACTCACTTAATGCTTTCTCAGTCTTCACCAGTATCTCCAGCTCATCTCTTTTATTGGGCACAGAGTTGACATTTCCCATAATGACTGATCGAAAAAAAGGCGTGTATCTGCTTTCTCCTTTGCACCAGCACAACAAGCACAAGTACACTTCCAGATGTCTGCTGGAATTGGATATTTTTTGTCCAGATTTGCTCCGTCTCAGTGAAAGATCTTCTTTTGAGTTGACAAAATTTGATGAAAATATGAAAAAATAGAACAAAAAAAATGCAGAAAATTTAGAGAGACCAGTCTTTGCCGCTCCTTGTTTGAGTGCAGGTTCTAGAATGAGGATTGACCAAGTGAAAGGTGTAAACCACATTTGTAAGGGTTTAAAAAACAGTCATTTATTTACATAACTATGTACAACAAATTGTTTATAGCAATAAAATAACATCAACAAAGGAATTTCATTAACTTCTCCATAAGCTGGCATGAGAGAGAATGTCATTTTAGCTCAGTAACCCACCCCCTTCATCTTTACGAGGATCAGTTTCTCTTCTCTACATTTGACTACTTCTGCCATGTTGACATGAGATTTTTATTTTGTTTACAGGCTGGGGATAAAGTTAGGGCCACAGCTAAGCGCTTTCATCACAAATCAGCTGGACAAACACCTTATCTTTAAGGGCTTCATTCTCTCTGAAGACGTAGATAGGTGTTTTGTCAGTGGAAGGGCTGGATTCGTCATCCCTCTGATCTTCCCTTTTCTCATTATCCTCCTCAGAGATCATGTCATTGTAAGAGGCTACACACAGATCATGTTCCTGGAGGGACACAGGGTATCGAAGAGAGGCTTTCTCAATTCGCACTGAGCGTCTAACAGGGGTGAAGAAGCGAACCTCCTGGCCGTTGACACGTGCTGGTTCCTGCTGTTGGCTTGGAGGGCCACTGAGGAAAGATAAAGGAAAGGACACAACCATTATTTTCAATCCTGTCCAGCCTTCAAAAAGCAACAAGCTGTAAATGAGAAGGGCAAATATGAAAGTTCAAGCTGGCTCAAAAATAGTTGATTTTGTTATGGATGTAACGGTTATTTGTCAGTCAGAGTTTTTGTCGCATCCATTAGGGAGATAAAGACTCTATCTTCGGTTTGGTAACTTAACTTTTCCTAGTGCTACATTTTAAAAAGTGTTTCACTGGAAGAGCATGAGGTGTTCGCGTATGACAGATATCGAACTTTCCTACTTCCTATTTATTATTATTACTTGCAGCAATGACTACAACTAGCTATGCCACCTCAACAAGCAGGTGGATCATACTAAGCTCAAAAAAGTCAGTTTTACAATTTACAGGCATCAAAAAATATTCCCATCTGATGTTTTCAGTATATGTTTATGTGTTCAGTATTCTGGTGATTTTTCACTGCAACCCTTTCCCTGGCTTTTCATAATTCTGAAGAGCCTTCATGCAGCTGATGTTTAAGCAAGTTTGATAAGGAGACAATAAAGTGAGTGGCTATGAGTATGAATGAGGAGTTTTTGTTCAGAGACCAGATGTCACGTCATTGACAGTAAACAGAGGGAGTGTGCCAAATGGAGTAAATGGGAAAACATGTTGGTTATGTTGTTGTATCCTTTTCTTAATAACTGTTATTTCTTCACATAACTGGATACAACATTTGGCAACTTTTTTAAGGCCTTTCTCAGAAACAAATGGTCAGATATAACACAGAGTTAGTGTTCAAATGATTGATTAGATTTAAAACTTGGCGTAACAAGCTGAACAATGTGTCCGAGCACAGCAATATTTATCTGGGGATGAGGTCACTCTATTTTAAAACATCCTGAAGAAATAAAATATCCCTCTAAATTGTCCAGAAAAGAGAAGTTTCAACTTCAGTTTCAGCTGTCCACAGCACTTATGACCGAGCATGCTGCAAATTAAAAACAGACTGTGGTTTAAGAAGAGATAAAATTGGTAGCTGAGGGCAGTAAAACTGAAAAATATCAGGCATTTAAAAGTCTTTCAGCGACATATCTGAGAGAGGCCAACTGTAGATACTTGGTTTCATATTTGGCAGAGGTATAGCGTTGTCATCCAGACGACTCATTTCCCCCACAACAGCCAGAGTGTGTTCTCTCACCACTCCAGAGTCTGTGAATGTCTTTTTTCAAAGTGATTTCTTCCTATGGCATGATTCATTAGATGCTGCAACATAGAGTTGTCACAGAAACAGAACTGTTTGTCACTTTTGATTTTAATCTGCACACAGTGCTGGTACAGAGGACATCCATGATTTCTCCTGAAAGTAATGTATGACAAAAAAAAGTTCCTCTGCATTGTCAGACAGAGTGCTTTCTGTCTGCATTTAATTATTTTCTTAACAGTGAAGCCAATTAATGGACATCCATCACTCTTGTGCTTATAAAAGGTGTGGGTAATTTGCTAAGGAATCAGTCCAGAAGTGTAAGTCCAGCTTTGAGAAAACTAAATCCAGGACAGATATGTTTTTAAGTTCTTTGGGCTGCTTTGAAACAATCAAAAATCACTTCTCTTTTTTTAGTTTTTCCACGTTGTGTCCAATCATAGTATATAGAATGAATGTCATCTGCGTCCTCACTGGATGAAGCTTTTACGAGAACAGCACCCTCTGGTGACGGGCTGCAGTATTGGACATACATAAATACCGAGAGCATTTTGGCTTCAAATCCATACAATGACGGCAGGCTGAGCCAAGTGGTCCACAGTAATTACAGTCTGTGTTCGATACTTTCTCTGTCACTTTCCTTTACTTGAACTCGTCTGCTTCCACTGTGGTGTGCACGAAATAACTCAAAGATACAAATAAAGATGATGGGATGACAAGGTTGGCGCCACTCCTGCAGGCTGGATTTGGCCCAGGGACTCCCAGGTTTATAATGTGAGACTATTATAAAGTGGCTAAAGCATGGTTGCTTACAGAACAGGCTTGACTGCCTAAACTAGTTCTAAACTTGTGAAACTGGTGGATTCAATAAGACACATGTTGCCAACAGTATAATAAATCTTGCAGGATTTAACTTCAGAATTTGGCAGTCCATCTGCCAGCACCTGATTGGCAGACACAGCACTGCACTATTTGTGATGGAGTACATCCACAAAGTTGGTAGAGGAGAATCAAGGCCCTGGAAATGACACAGCAAAGTGCAACATGTGCACCAAAGACATCTCTTCTGCAGGAGGAAGTTTAAACTGCAGGGACTGCTCTGTATTTATGTGGTGCGGACTCTTGTTCAAAAAGACTTGTCGTACTCTGGCTCAAAACAAAGTTGAGGCACATTTTTGCATTGTTATCGAGCTACATGAGTCATACCTGCAATATTTTTTAAATATATCTTTTGTGAGATACAGAGTAAGTGGTCTTCTTGACCAGCCATACATAGGTTGTGTCTGACTTTAAACTTATATGCTCATCAGTGCTCTGTGTGGATCTCTGCCTGTGGGAAACAGCAGCAGGATTGCAGATCAAAGTGAATACATTTTTAATTGCCCAAATCTATTGCAGGATACACATCTGCCAGTTATCCCATAGTTTTGGTGAGTAATATCTGGCATTTTCTCCAATGCCCAAAAAAATAAATAAAATAAAATGTGTTGTTCTCAAATCTTGTAAGTGTGTCAAGGCTCATCTTGGCACCTCACAAAATCTGTCCGTCCCTCAAAGAACAGACGGGAAGATGATAAAAACCTGCCCATTTCCACTACTGAACCTGACACAAATACCCTCAAAACCCCAGTTTGAGGCCCCTCAATCAAAGCCTCCTCCACTCTGAAATCCCGGGACAGCTCTGGGACAGAGTTCCACTATTGTTACACCTTTGAACATACAAACTGCTCTCAAAAAAGACACAATATTGTTGTTCCACTGTTTTATAATAAATTGCTTTGTGTTGTCGCAGGAGCAGCAACACAAAGCAGAGCTTGTTAACACACAGCAGGAGCCCCACTCCCACACTGTTGCTGTTATCAGTCAGTGCGTTTACATGACACTCAAGAAAACACAATTTTGCCTTATTCCGATCAGACCGGACAGCTGAAGAGCATGTAAACACCTTAGTCTGACTATAAAGTCAAATTTTAGTTCTCAAACTCCGATTGTCGCAATTGGAATTTGATTTTCTCTACCATGTAACCAGCAGAGTTGAAGTATGATTGGACAATGCATGTGCACGTGCCACACCCCCATAACTTTGGAACAAATACACCAGAGAAGAGGAGTAGCGTGCATCTCATCTGCAGAAAAAGTAGTGCGTACATCATCTACGACAAAAACAACGCTGTACGATGCTCCATCTTCTTGCTCAAAAATGCCCAGCAGCAGTTGTAGCTACATCTGACGTCTGGCACGGACCTGCTGTTGTTGTTGACAGTTGTATTGGGTCGGAAACAGCGCCGCTAAAAAAGACCTACATTGCCCCCTAGTTTTGGGGAGGAGGGCACATTCACGTCATTAATTTAATTTTCTCAGCTGTATATATACACGGACAAGAAAAGAAGTCCGATTCGGCAAAAAAACTGAATATGAGCTTAGTCCGATTAAGCCGTGCATGTAAACACACTGACTGTTCAACTGTGTGCTTTCATCAACACATCATTTCAAACTATGATGCAGGATTAAAAAAATAAATCACTACAGAAATCATGACTTCTACACCATATATTACACAGTATATTCTAAATGTGGCCTGTATTCATGGGGCCAAGTCTAACATACCAAGACTTCTTTTCAAACACTCTTGTTGATTTTCAGATCTTTGTGAGTAGGGGATGGAAAGTAGTGGATAGTAAGAATCAAAGAACAACAAGATCTCACGCTTTGTCAGCGCCCGTACCTTCAGTGAGCAATGTCTGATCAGTCTGTCAAGTACAACCTGATTTTCTCGGAGCCATGTGAATCATCCTTATTCTCCAAAAACATTGTTCTTAAAATCACAGAAGATGGACCGCCCTGTCTACTGACATAAAATACCCCCAAGGCTTATCTAGAAACAGCTCACAAATATGTTTGTGAGGGCTCATCTTCACAGAGATAAAAGTCTACCGGACATACCAGTGGGAAAAAGAAAGCACTTCGATATGACCGATAAGGACCACAAAACAGCTCCTACTTCAGGGTATGAAATCGGAGTCCTCCTCCATCTGTCATTTGTATTCAGTTAGCAATTTTTAATTGCCCAAATCTATTGCAGGATACACATCTGCCAGTTATCCCATAGTTTTGGTGAGTAATATCTGGCATTTTCTCCAATGCCCAAAAAAATAAATAATCGGAGTCCTCCTCCATCTGTCATTTGTATTCAGTTAGTGAATCTAAAAACATTGTTGTTTAGCTTTTGTTGAAGAAGTTGTTATATTTTAAAACTTGGCGTAAAAAGCTAATCCTTTTCACAGAGCACAGCAAAATTTTGGGGGGTTGAGGACTTACTATTTTAAACATCCTGCAGAAATAAAATATCCCCCTAAATTATCCAGAATAGAGAAGTTTCGCGCTGTGACACAACCCCAGTCGCTGTGGTGGATAGTTTCAGTGAAAAAGTACCTATTGTTACCTTGGCAACAACTGCCTACACTAAAAAGCAGACTAAAAGACTGACTTTTAAAGAGAGTCTGAACGAGAATCTGACAATTAACACAACAAAATACAGGTAAATATCAGAGCAGTGTTTCAGAGATGGAGACAACTGCGGGATAGCATCGGCTTCAAGCTGGATTCTGAGCTCGCTCTTCATCTTCTGGAAGCTGCTGACTTCGTTTTCCCGTAATATCTTAATGTGTTGTGGTGCTTATAAGCGGTTATAGCGGCCGGCATACAGGTGCCGCTGTATCAAAGAGTTTGAAGGACGTGACATTCTGGTTATATTGCACACCTACAGTCGCAAGTGTCTGCATGGTAGTCTGTTGGCATCTACAGTAGCACCAATGCTATTTACTTTCATGTTGACTGGGCCCCATTTCTAGTTATCTAAAGTATTTATCTTTATTATATCTACATTTAATTGGAAGCGGCATTATTGTTTAAAAAAAAACCTGCGTAGTGGTGTTGTTTAGGTATAAAGCAGCTTTGAAAGTTTACAGATCAAATATGTAAGTACAACAGATATTTGAGACAAAATAATATCTCCAAACCACCCTCTCCTTCTCTTCATTTCAGGTACCGCAAGCTGTATAACAAAAAGTCCAGAGGAAGGAGTTTGAACACCATAAAGGCCCCACAAGATGTACATCTGACTTATCATTGAGACTATTTTTCCAATGAATTCATGTTATATTTTATCTTATGTGTCAACTTTTATGCACCATTACTACTGCTGACTCTGTTGTGACAAAAGTTGTTCAAGTCTTTGCTGATGTGATTGGTAATGATAATGATAATTTACTAGTCTGGTAGTAAATTTCCAGGGAGCCGGAACGAGCACGAGCATCTGCATGTGGGTGAGGCCTGCTGGAGCAGAGAGGGAGGGGAGAGGAGGAACTGAGGGGAAAACTGGTGGGGAGGGAGAGTGTTGACATCCAAGATTTTTCCCAAGAACTGACACTTCTGAGATCCTGCCAACCCCAGCTTTGATGGAGCTGTGGACAAACCTAAGAAGTTTATTACACCAAAAATATTATTTTCTCCCCCTGGCTGTGATACTGACATGTAGTTACTGTAAGACTGGTTTGTGCTCAAGTCCTCTTTTTTCTGTGCAGCTCCATTTTTAAAAGTTATTCAGGGGTTCATGGTTTCAATAATTGACACTTGATACGGCCTATGGGGCTACGAAGATTGCGTCGATCATCTGGAGGGATACACTGTTTGAGCGTAGCTTCATCACAGAGGCTCTCCCACCAGATGTATAGAATGCTACTGTGCAATGGTGGTTCAACGAAGTGGAGAAAATCACAGAAATAGTCCCAATCCCACTCTGTTGCTGTTATCACTGTTCAACTGTGTGCTTTCATCAACACATCATTTCAAACTATGATGCAGGATTAAAAAAAAATAAAAAAATCGCTACAGAAATCATGACTTCTACACCATATATTACACAGTATATTCTAAATGTGGCCTGTATTCATGGGGCCAAGTCTAACATACCAAGAATTCTTTTCAAACACTCTTGTTGATTTTCAGATCTTTGTGAGTAGGGGATGGAAAGTAGTGGATGGTAAGAATCAAAGAACAACAAGATCTCACACTTTGTCAGCGCCCGTACCTTCAGGGAGCAATGTCTGATCAGTCTGTCAAGTAAAACCTGATTTTCTCGGAGCCATGTGAATCATCCTTATTCTCCAGAAACGTCGTTAATTAAAAGCACAGACGATGGACTGCCCTGTCTACTGACATAAAATACCCCCAAGGCTTATCTAGACAGACCTCACAGTTATGTCACAGAGATGATAAAAATCTGTCAGACATACCAGAGGGGAAAGGAGTCCTATTAAGTCCCTAAATGGATGTCAACTCGATATGACCGATAAGGACTTCAAAACTGCTCCTACTTCGGGGTATAAAATCGGAGTCCTCCTCCATCTGTCATTTGTATTCAGTTAGTGAATCTAAAAAAAAATGTAGTTTAGCTTTTGTTGAAGAAGTTGTTATATTTTAGTCATTACTTTCACTCAGAGTTTTTTCCGTCTTCAAACTAAATGTATCAATCAATTAGAAATTGGCAGTTGCAGTTGGGTGATTAGTTGGGTTATTTAGTGCAACGCTGCTGTGCTGTCCCTGCTGATCTAATAACTAGTGAGCCTTACTCTTAGTCAAGAAACAAAACACTCTCCCTGTGGTCACCAACTACAACTGTGTTCCTGTTCTCTGACGGCTTGTCCTTTTTGGGGGGTGAGAGGTGAGAGGGGGTCTGGATTTAGCCCATATTGTCCTCAAGTTTAAAACGCCCCTGGACAGACGCTCAGCTGACTGGACCCACAGCTGCATCTTCACCTTCAAGGATTTGGAGGTGATCATTTCAATGACACATCTCACTAAATATGATCTCCAATATATCTTAAAACTAGGATGATAAATAGAGTTTTGCTGCAAATGGTGAAAACTAATACAGCAGGAGTCTAAATAGTCTTAAAAATGGTCATAGGAAAGAATGATGAAAAAATTGAGAATTTAAATCTGGCATTAGAAAAACAAATATTTAATGATCTTTCGCTTGGTCTAGACTTGGTCCGTGCTCTGGAGAAAAGAGCAAGGAAAGAAACCTCAGATCGACCAGTGTTGACAAAAGTAAAAATGTTGTCTACAGTGCAAATGGACTCTGAGACTGATTAAATATTTGGACTTGGCTGGTGTGTCACTTTAAGTAGCTTTGACTTCCAGAATCATATCAGTTTCTTAACTCTGTGCAGCTGGGTTACTTAGAAAATGTCTGGCTTCCACAACAGACGATTTATAGTTGCTGGAAAATATCATAGTAATGTGAGCATACCCAGGAGTAGATGTAATCTTGTATTTCACGACAGAAGAGCCTCCTTTCTCTCCACAAATGAGAGCTCTGACAGGTTTCGGAGTCACCATTGGGTTGTTGATGCTCTCAGGAGTGCACGCATCTAATGGAGCCTGGTCTTCTTTCTCTTCTTCTTCTTCCTCTGATGCTAACAAAATATAAAAATCAAAGTTAAGGTACATAAATGCTGTCACACAAATGTTCACAATGGGATTTAAAAACAATAACTTGTAATCTTGCACAAGGGTGAGGCCATAATAGATACAGACTGGAATGTATGCCTTGCCAACACAGTTAGGTTCTACCCATAAGTAATCTGAGTGCTTCATTTCCTTTACACACACACACACACACACACACACACATAAGAACTGTAGGCCAGCTACCTCGGGTCTCATCCCTTTTCTTCAGAATCTCAAACACCACAGTCCGCAGCTCGTCCACTGGCTGAAAGGAGCAAAAGAGAAATTAATATAAGAGGTGGATTTTTCTAGAATTCAACATCACTTGACTTATTGATGGTTTCAATTGCTAACAATAAAGGATGTATAAGTTATCACATTCTTCACCTGAACTTCATTGTTTTATAGTAAAACAGACTCATAAATGACACAAATCCAGATATAGGATTCTGTACTAATCTTGCCAGTGAAATATTTATCTGTGATAAATGGGATCAGCAAAAGGTCGGCTGAAACAAGTTTAGTGTCTTTACTCCCTGACTCAGTGAAACTCTTACTCAGTTGTCAGAATTGCGCAACAGTCTGCACAGCCAGAGGCTCTCATGCTGTTCCCAGCACTCATGTTAGATTCCAGCAAAATCAGACGTCACATAAAATGCTCCAAGCTGCAGCAAACATTCCTGTCTTTTACCTCCAATACAACACCCACAGCCTTTTCAAACATGGGCAGGACGTCCAGGTTACCCTCTTGCTCCATCAAACGAGCCTGACAGATCCAGTATTTGGCAAACTTGAGGGAGACCGGTGGTAGCCTGGAGAGAACTTCCTTAACCTGGTCTGTGGGGCAACCCTGTGGTGCAAGGAGGTAAACATACAGTTAACCACAATGGAAAGAAAAGCATCAATGTGCTTCAACAGAAAAAAGGCACAGCCACCTGGCTATAACAAATCATTTCCCTGAATTTGAGGGTATTAATAGTCAAAATGGTTTTTTTTCCACATGTGCAAGTCTGCCATTACCAGAGCAGATATAAAAATGTTTTTCATCTTCCATCTGGTAAGCTTCTAACTTGCAACATCAAAGCTCTCTCATCTGAATCTAATTTATTTCCACTGAAAAAATGTCACATATATTGGTCAATAAAATATCAAGAATTACCCCCACTCTACAAATTATACACGCACACATCTGGCTAAGATGTGCTGGACTGCATATTAAAAAAAAATAATTTCCTACAGCATACCTCGCCCAGCAATTTGATGCAGTCAGCCAGTGATCTATCAACAGCAGAGATCAGAGAGTGAGCATCCTCTTCCTCTGTCATGGTGGTCCAAAAAGGTTGAGGCACAGAAATAGTGCGCCTGACCTGGGGTCTCACTGGCATTGGAGGACGCTTGTAAGAAATGCCCCTGGCTTCCCGCCATTCCTGCAACTTTCTCCTTGTGACCAAATTACAAAGCAAAAGGTGTAAGTTAATATCAGTGTTTGATTATTTTTTGGTTGAGTCCTCAGAGCTAACAAACAAAATAACAGAGGTATCAAAGGAGGTTTAAGGCATAAGAACACAGTATTTTAAATTAGCAGCAACAATCGCAGGAGTATCTGCAATCCAGAGGAGCCATGCTTGAGAGTAATGCGAGTTCAGCAACAATTCAATCAAGTCTTTCCTGCATGTACTCCACATTCTTCACCTTGTTGTCTACTCAATCCACCGTTCTGTCCTTTAAAATCAAAAGCCCAAAAATAAAACAAAAAAAAATTAACACACAAGAAACAGTACAGGGATTCTACAAGCTGCTGCCAGAGCATGGTTACAACAGCGATGCTTAATCCTGAATAGACTGTATTTCATTTTTGTTGAAGGAAGCCATTAGTCAAAACAGCTTTGGGGGTGCATGTGTGAAACCAGATATTCAATCAAAACAATAACTTTCAACTTTTTAAGGCAAAGAAAACTAAAATGATCTTGTAAAGACCATAGACTGTATATAGAATGGACAGAGTCTGCCTCCTTGCTGGGTGAAGCAACTCCAAGAACAGCACCCTCTGTTGACGGGCTGAAGTATAGGTCATAAATCCGCCTCCGCCTCTAAAGCTTATGGAGCTGTGGACAAACTTTAGAAATTTATTACACAGAACATAATTTCTCCCCCCTGCTTGTGATGTTGACATGTAGTTATTGCGAGACTGGTTTGTGCTCAAGTCCTCTTTTTTCTGTACAGCTCCGTTTTTAAAAGTTATTAGGGGTTCATATTTTCATCGATTGACACCTGGTACAGCCTATGGGCATACAGAGATTGCATAGCTCACCCGGGGGATACGCTGTTTGAGCCGAGCGTCATTGCAGTGACTCTCCCACTGAATGCGCACAATGCTACTGCGCAATGCTGGTTTCAGGAAATGAAGAAAAATCCCAGAAATACTGAGAGCTTTTTGGCCTCAAATCCATATGCAGGCGGGAGGCGGAACCAAGTTGTCCACAGTATATACAGTCTATGGTAAAGACAGAGTTCAACTCCTCTATTTCCCACTCAGTCCTGTCAAAAGCTGTCCCACAACAAAACTTGTGGCCAACTTATGTGTCATAGTGGCACTGATGTTATAAAAACACAAAAATGATTTACATGTAAATACTGCAGATGCAAAGTTACTCGAGCAGCAGAATAGATCAAGTCACTAGCAAACAATACGCCAAAAACATATGCCATAGTTTTGGTTACTCATATACACACACAGCAGAAAAGCGCTATGTCATTCAATTTTGAAAAGTGACCCAATTAGAGGAGTTTTTCCTGTAAAAGGACTAGACGGATTTCTACAGATGTCATGTGAATGTACAGGGGAAAGAGGAACTCCATGAAAAACAGGATTGCGTGACTGCCGTGATAAGGAAGTCACGTAAAACTTGGGCAAGGACATGTTTGGGTTCTACACTATATGAGGTCAGTGTGTCAAAGGTTTGTCAAGAGGACAAGTGTCTTTTGGTAAATCTGATTGAGCAAGACAATTGAGTTTCTTCCTCTCCATCAGTAATCGTAACCAAGGCATCTACTGGCACTGTCAAACCTACTTTCCACAGTAATGCATTGCTGATGATGGCTTTTGCTTTAAATAAAGGTCGCTTAAATATCTAAAATTCATAGTAGATGACTTGAGACATGAGGCTACAGACATTCGAATTTCCCTTCAGGGATCAATTAAGTTCTTCTTCTATTTCCCATCCACATAAGCCCAAACCTTTTTCGTTTACATGGCAGTCAGAACAAATAAAAGCAAACATTAACTTGACAGAAAACCATTATTGTAACTTTCCTCATGAGTTATATGCCAAAAAATGCAGTGTACTGCATATATAAACAAGCAAATGCCATCAACAAAAGCCAACAGACAGCCAGGTAAGAAGCTAGTGGTAATGTAAAGGTTCAGTTATCATATTTCAGTGCAGATACATTTGCAGGCGGTTCCACTTACATTCTCTCCTCCTGGACAGCAGTCAGTCTCTTCCCCTCTGTCTGTGGAATCACACTCACCGGAACCTTGGCTGTCTTCCTGGCTTGGCCTGTGAGACTGATGGTTCTAACAGGCTGTGGTGCCGTCTGAGATACGACTGGGACACGTGTTTTTTTAACACCTGTTTGTGTTTGGTGGGCATTGGCCGAAGTGTGTCCTCTCTTGGCATCACTCTCTCTGCATGTGCTGGTTTTCTTCTCCAACTCAATTCCAGAATTTCGCACAATTGCACTGATGGGTCCAGAGCTGCATCTGCTTGATGGCCCAGATGTTCTGGGGACATTTTTGCATGGTTGGCCACTTTTCTTCTCCTCATTTCCAGACATCTGCTTTGAATAAGTGTCTGTGGGCTGACTGGTTGATTTACTGGGTTTTGGCATCTCCACTCTGCCATGTGACTTATTTGGTGCTGTGGTGCACCTGGAGGAGATAGCTGTTGTTTGCAGTCCACTTGGCTGGCTCTTTAAATGTGGTTGTGACTGTTTACCAAAGAGTGGTTTGGAGTTATCCTTGTTCTGATTTTGAACTTTTATCCTTGGTTTTGAAGACAGACTTGCTCTCTCATTCCCCGTGTTCTTCACTACAGTAATAGGTAGCGTTTTTCTCTGGGAAACAGACACTGAAGCTGAGGTGCTTGGTCGCACCTTGTTGGGAACAGAAGTAGTGAAAGTGGTAGCAGCTTGGACTTTTTTTTGAGTTTTAACTAGACTGTTCCTTGGCTGGGTCACTGCAGGAATGAGTCCAGTTTTGGTTTTAACAATCGGGCCAAGACTCATCCTGGCGCTAACTGTCTTTGTTGTACATAACTGAGCAGCGTTCGAGCGAATGCTCAATTTGTTGTTAGGTTTTGCTGCAGCTGTACGAGTTATATTTGAAAAGGTTTTGTTCAAAGTTTTTGCTTCTGGGATTGGCTGCTTTTTGAAATGATTGGCTGAATTTAGGCCGGATTTGGAGGAAAAAACTGTGTATGTTTCTGTGAAATTAGGGTTCTGAGGAAGTTTGGGCCGTGCTGCGCAATTGGTTGCCAAAGTATGATGGCTTTTCAGCCCTCCAGTCACAGTGCTAAATTTGTTCACTTTGTTTGCAACCCCAAATGCTTTTCTGAGAGGGATTTTTGTGGCTTTAGCAGTAGGAGCTGGAATTTTCACGCAGTCTTTGTCATCAAGGGTAACGTTTTCTTTCCCTCCGGGAATCTGTGGAGAAAAAAAACATAATTTGTTTGGTGGTCACACAGCTCTGAGACACGTGCATTTGCTTGGATTGGAAAGTGGATGGAGATGGAAAAGTTGATGTACTAGAGGACAGGGCCAAAACCAGACTGCTCTGGTGCTCTCTGCTCCGGTAAGTGCCAGTATGACAAGTTCATTCCTTTTTTAACAACAATACAGCTTCTGCCGAGACAATGTCCCTGTCACACTGATAAGTTTGGCCACACTTCTGCTGCTTTAGAGTGGGTCAAAATCAGATATTTTCACACAACCGACGACTAAGAAAAGCAGTCAACTGTGAGCCAGAGATTAAGAATAAGACACATTGTGGTGTTACGGGAATGTGAAGCTAAACTGAGGGTTAGGATTTTTACAATAAGAGAAAAGGCTGCGGTCAGTGGCTGTCAGCCCTCAGAAATCAGTAATGTCACCCCCAAATCTAATGTTAGGTTGTTTGTGCTCATAATTTGAGTGAAACACAACATTTCAGTCTGGTTTCTGGGTCAATCAGATTCACAGCAACAAGACACTGACATCATGGTTCCAGAATTCTGTCTCGGATTTAACTGCCTGAGAAAGAGATCCCACCCACCTTTAATGCAGATGTCACTGGCTTCTTCACCAGACTCTCATCCCGGAGGTATGACCTTAAAAATGGGAAAACTGTGATTGAATTTCTTAACCCCATCCAAAATAAACAAGATTTTACAACCTTAAAAGCTTTTGTGCAGAGATTTAGTCTTTCTTACTTTGAGTTGGGCTGTTTCAGCTTTCCCTTTGCTGCCAAGTACTCCATCAGCTTCTGCTTGCGCAACTCTGTGGGGTTGAAATCACACATTCAGAGATTGTTCCAAAAGTTAGTTTCCAACATTTCCCACCACACACATACCCACTATTAACTGACAATAACATACAGACATAAGCTTTATCATGCTTTTATTAACCATACTGTATGCCTATTCAGTAAAACGCAGAACTTTCCTTCAAACTGAAAACAACCTTCTCTTTGAACTTCATAGTAACAGTAACACTGCTGGATGTTCGGTTAGCCCTAATGACCTTAACTTGGAAGCAGGAAGCAAACAAAAAAAAAAAAAAAAGAAATCAAATCATGAATTGAACAGGAAATGAATCAGTTTACTGTCTGGAACAAAACAGACAAGGTGACTAATCTTTTTGTCTAGTCATGCTATTTTGTACTAGCTGACCTGAATCATTTTCTTGTGTAAATTTCCCAATTTCTTGAGTAAATAATAGAAAACATTTTTGGAGACATATTATGTGAGACGACAGACGATTGAATTTCCCTTTGGGGATTAATAAAGTTCTTATCTTACCTGAATAAGACCTGTAATTGCAGCCAGATTACACAACACAAACTTGCTGCAATCTAGCTGTGAGTTGAAAATAAATTCACCCTCAAGCAGGAAAGTCAGATTTGGAAAAATTGGTTGAAATGATGAATCGAATTGGTGATAACCTGATCAACTTGAAATCTAGTGTCCCTGGCTGCTGCAATGTGAAAAGAAGCTTTCTCTCAGTATCCAATATATATATGTTTTTAAATCATTTCTGGTGTACGATAAGTCACAGTTTAATGATCACTTAGTAGTAAAAATTTGCATTTTTTTGTTGCAGTATAGTTATAATTCTTTAAATGAGATTAATACTTTGACAATTTCTGTTTTATTCCATCATCAGATTTCTCTACTCCAAATGCCTGTAGGAAGTATTTTGGTAATCAGGGAAAACTTTTTTACACACACAGAGAATGTGTGAAGACTTCAGGACACGGGGAGCAGATGGTTTGGAAACTGTGACTGGTTTATTGCTTTCTTTAATTTGTCTATCTGCCACGCTTCTTATTGGTATCACTACACTCAACAATGTTTTTGTAAATCACTTGTTTTACACCGTATATGTCATGCAAGCCTGGTTAAAGCACTGCTGGTAAAAGGCTAAGCCAAGTGTGTTAATAATAAGAGGTTTTTTTTCTTCTTAATTTAGAGAACGTAGACTTAAGGTCATAGATAAGTTTTTAAGGGGTGTTGATGAGGTTTAGTTTCATATCTCATTTATTTTGTATGCATATTTACAGTTGAGTGAAAACTATGTGATGAGCAACCACAATTACTTGATCATTTTCTCCACACAGACTTGTCACTGAACTTGGATAAATAGGGTGGACACTAAAAGCACACAAACTTGTTTTGTTCAAAGTTTTTTTTTAGTTGTTTGTTTTTTGTTTTGAGTTTGTAACAAACAGTCAGCAGGGATGAAAATGTTGAGTAGTTGTGCAGCTAGAGCTTAATAATGAAAACTTTACACTGGAGCTCCCAGGATTGTTCAGCAAAAAGGGCATTGCTACAGAGTGATACACGAAATCATAGCCCTGCATAATTCAGCTGTTTGCATGTCAGCAAAGATTTTGTACTCAGGGTTTACAAACTAGTGAATAGTATAACACTCTTGGGTGTAAGAAAAATATCTCCCTCCTCACTGCAAAGCTAAAAACTAAGCAGGCATTTTCGCCATATTTCTATTATCAAAACATTTCATAGGAGCCACAATTTGAGCATCAATCACCTGACAAGTTCAACAAAAAATCTGTCATAACAAGATAAAGAGACAAAGATACAGACCAACTGACTGGTAATAACATTGAAAAAAATACTGCAAATGAAATGGGAAAAAAATATTTCTTATACTCTTGAATCAGGACATCATTATCATTTCACGTATTTTAACTCAGGTGCAAGAAACCTGCCAATGCTATTTGCGGGTTTGTTTTTTGGTTTATTTTCAATTTTATCCCAAGCAATGCAGCTCTTATATTTGCAGGAAATACATAGAAGTAAGACTTTTTCTATGGCTTAGCCTACCTGGTAAATGTGACAATTCCCTTGAGCAACTAGGGTGAAAACACCCAGTGAGTTTTATATTCTTGTTTTGGGGATCATTTTCAGTCTGCTTCCATAAATCTTATTGTGATAACTTAGCCTGATCCCAAACTGACTTTGGCTGTCCAACTGACAAGTGGACAAGCATACAACCTTATAAAGCAGCGTTATGGTCTTAGACACAAGTTACAAGGAGCAAATTTACCCCCAAGGACTTTTAATTATTTTGCAAAGACGAAAGTTTGTGTTGTGATCGAAATTTAGCTGTAAGCTTACGTTCATTACCGTTAGCACATGATAGCAAACTAATGGTAGCAAACAGTCACTGTAATATATAAGCGCGGATGATTTCTAACCTTTTCGGGACGGTACAAATACAGTCTCCCCTTCTTCCATATCGACCACAAATCAGTAATTCCTTCAGTTTGAAGAGATAATATGTAAACTTGTTTCGTCTGTTTAGCGGCGCTTGGAAATACGTTGGAACTTCAACACAACAACCGTTCTCGGGCATCCGGTTTTGAAATAACCGGGTAGAGCGTTTCCTCTCCTCTGATTGGACAGTTTAAATTTTCGAAGCACAATACGCATGCGCATAGACTCCGAGTGGATTGGAGCAGGCCAGGGCTAAACAGTGGAGAACGAATGCTGCATTCACATGCTCCTCGGATAATCCATTTACACCACAATGTCACCCCAATACGTATGAATGTTTCTAAATCACATTGTTCACCGACTCAAAGTACCAGAACGCAACCTCCAGCGTTGCCGTGAGTTATGACCATAGACTCTTATATACAGTCTATGGTTATGACCAAGGAGAACGGCGGGGGTCGACTTTCTCCTCTGTCATTCTCATCACCAGATGAACTGCCCGCTTGATGACGTTTGCTTTACATTTACTTGTTGCAAGTTTACTTCAAGTATACTGTTGTTAACCTAAGTGTGCTTTCAGTTTACTTTTTATGCACTTTTTAGAGATATACCTAACAAAGTTTTTGTTAAGCATACTTGGCTTGTACTAAGAATTATACCAAAAGTCTAAGTTTATTTAACCTATATGTAAATAGCTTGCTGGAACTATTAATAACTGCCCGAGTATCAGAGGGAGATATGAGGCTTAGGAAAGTTCTCACTCAAACATTTATTCAGCCTCTACAAGGTGAGCACACTGCGCAACATGGCAGTCACTAACAAGATTAATGAACTAGAGCTGACACACACCGAGTACAGTGGCTCTGAAAGGAAAAACATAATCATTTAGCAAATGGTCTACACTATACTTATACATAAGCTTTTGATCAGGATTAAGAATGTATTTGTGCCTTGGGTTTAAAGACCCACTCTGATGGAAATCATGTTTTTCTTGTATTTTATATGTTCATATGGCATTTTTCTGATGCTACAGGACATATCATGAGGAAAACTAAATGCAAAATTGCTTTTCTGAGTGTTTCTTCATTCAAATCGCTGTGAATCTCTATCAGACCCAAACAGCAGGTTCACAAACTTAGGAGAAATACAGAGGACGATCGTGGAACAAGTGTGTGCGTTAGCAGATTGCAATGCTCGTAAGAAAGCTAATTATGATATTAGCTTTCATGGTGCCCCTAAAGACATTGGTGTCTGAGAGCTCAACAGCTATGCTACCTGCCACTTCAGCTGCACCGGCAATGTTAGGCTGCAAGCTAACATGAAGACAAGTGTGTATAGCAGCGCTGTCTCCGCCCACGACTCAGAGGCGATTTGCCAATGAGCTACTGGAGCTCTGCAGAAGAAAATGACTCAGGTAACGCAATTTTTGGTAAAAATTTACTTCATAATCACAATTTATAGACCACTAAGAACATTTTATGGAGTAAAAAAAAATGATCAGAGTGGGACTTTAAGTATTCTTGGTCAGTGAATACTTCTATATAGCAGTTCAAGCCAAGTATACAAATATGTACTACCATTGAAATAATAGCATGACCGAAAGGCAATTTTAATTATATTATTATAAAGTATTCTTAAAGTTTACTTTGACAAATAATACTAAAATAACTTCAGTATGCTTCACAAAATCTACTTGAAGTATACTTTTTTGGTAAGGGATGAATCACCAGTGTAATACTTCTCTCTGACATGTGGTGGAAATAAAGCAGACACACATTGCATTCAGTATAGATGCTGAAGTTAGGTATTACCATCTGATATATGACAATGAGATCATACACTGTACTTAAATACTGGTGAGTGTCTGGGTTGAGGAGCTTCAAAAGGGAGAGAAAGGTTTGAACCACGCTGAAAGGCTATCATTTTCAGTGCCTGCAGTGAAATGATGGGACGAAAGGGGATATTTTCTTCATAGGGCCCAAATGCAAAGACAGTGCACTTGTCTGGGTCACTCACCTAAAAACCCGTGATTTTAAAATGAGTGAGTTTGATGATAGCACTGCATAAGTGTCCTAAGTAGTGTCTTAAATGGACTTGGACCTGTTGTGAAGTCCTTCACATTAAAACCACAGACTTTTTGTAGAAGGGACGCCTCCTCAATGCGTGAAGCCGCTGCGAGAACAGCACCCTCCAGTGACCGGCTGCAGTATAGGTCCTAAATCCTGCCTCCTCCAGCAATCCCTATAGAGCTGTGGACAAACTTTAGAAATTTATCACACCAAATGTAATTTCTTTCTCCCCCCTGACTGTGATACTGACAAGTAGTTATTGTAAGACTGGTTTGTGCTCAAGTCCTCTTTTTATCTGTACAGCTCCATTTTTAAAAGTTATGAGGGGGGTTCATGTTTTCTATGATTGACACTTGATACAGCCTATGGGCGTATGAAGATTGCCTAGCTCACTTGGGGGATACGCTGTTTGAGCCGAGCGTCATCACACCGACTCTCAGCGACTCGCCCCCTGAATGCGTACAACGCTACAGTGCAAGTGGTGGTTCCAGGAAGTGGAGAAAATCCAGGAAATACCAAGAGCAATTCAGCTTCAAATTAGTATAATGATGGAAGGTGGAGCCAAGTTGTCCATAGTATGTACAGTCTATGGTTAAAACAGTTTGTACAGTTCAATCTAAAATAAAACAAAAACAAAAACAAATTTGAATTACTTTAAAATTTTTATTTAAGATTCATCTTAAAATATTTAAATATTTGTTAGTGAGCAGAATTGCACATAAATATATTAGTATAAATTTTGCATAAATAGATAAATAATAAAGCATTAACAAAAACAATGTGTCATGTCATTTTTTCACAATAAATATAAAGGGTGCTCATTAGAAAGCACAACAATACCACTTTGTGGAGAAACTTAATAAAGTCAATACACTAAGTATTTCATTTTCTGTACTCGGTACATACAGTAAAAAGACTTTCTAATGAGACACTTGCCTTTGAATAAAAACATGTCACATTAGCTGGTTTTGTGTTCATTAGCAGGACAAGCATAAGTTTAACGCCCAACTTCTGATCCTATGAGGGTCAAACTCAACCAGCATTTCACTTTGGGTAACTGTGGCAGGTTCTAACTCTGACGCTGGATCTTGAAGTGTCTGTGGCGCTGGGCGCTCTCCAGGCACATTTCCACCGGCTTGTTGTTGTCTGTTGCTGTGCTGATAAACCAGTCACTGTAGGCGACAGACACCAGGGTGCTGATGTTCAGCCCGCTGTCCTGCTTGTAGAAGAGGAAACGCACCATGTTGCTGTCCGATCCGATGCGCAGCAGGCTGTCCTTATCCTCAATCTCCTGTGGAGTAAAAATAACAATGTCAGAAGACTCATCAGGCTGCTGTTTTGAGATGCTGCTGCTGTAAATAGCAGCATGTGTAACTGATGTCGTTGGCTAAATCTTTTCCCCAATTTGACTGATTTTGTTTAATTTTTAAGTTTGTCATAAATATTGTAATATTATTGTTATCATGATCTGAAAATCTGATGTTGTAAGAGTTTTACCTCCAGATGCAAAGTCACTTCATCACCGTCCTTATGACAGGACATGTACAAATTTGTGTCCTTGATACCCAGGGCCACAGTTCTGGCTGCAGTGGTGGGTGCAGGGTGCACATAGGTAGACATGTTCAGGTGAACTGTGGAGATAACAGAGAATATGAGTACAGTATATAACCTCCGCTGCACTAAATCCACAAAAAGATTCATTTAAAACCATTCGGCTTGACTGTGCCACGCAGTTACCTTTGCGTTTGTCTGCACCTCCCTGCAGCATCACTGCATGGAGCTCCATGCTGTTTCGAACCAGTACTAAGCTTCTCTGCTCGCTGTCGGTCACGCTGCACTGGTGCACGCCTGTCCTGCTGAACTGAAGTGGTGGAGCTGATTCACACTCAAACACAACTCGCTCTGGAAGGCAGAAATTAGAACACACGATTAATTACACTGTTGATTTTCTTTTACTGAGAAACAACAGGAATTGAAAAATGTGATAAACCTGATCTCTTCATGCGAAATCAGGCTCAAGAGGCTGACATCTGAGCACTACCCGGAGTAATTTGGGGGTTTATAAAGCAGAAAAAGTCATGTTTAACAAACTATAAACTAAGTCTGACAGAAGATAAACTCTGATCAGGCCAAGTAAGAGCAAGAAAAGTGTGTGAGTGGAAAGACCTGAGTGTTACTGGGTTGGGCTGATCTCAAGCCACAGAAAAATCAACATAGAACAAAAGCATGTTAACTGTTTATTCCCTTTTAGTTTTTATCTGCTGGTTTGTAAAAGTGAAGGATTCCTCAAGGAGTAATTTCTCTTTGTGTAAAGATCCACTTAGACTTTTAGGAGTGTTTCAACATTTCTTTTAACACAGACTTTAAACTACATCAAGTTTGGTTCCTGAAGCCACTTGTGTGGGTTTACCTTCCACGATGCTCTCCAGCATTATGTCCAGCAGGTTTTCGTCTCTGAACTCGGTGCTCCGCAGCGACTCAGACACGCCGCCCTTCAGCCTCTCCATGGCGACAATGAGGTTGACCACGTCCTTCATCTTCAGAGGGTGATGGGTAATCTCCAAGTCCACCCCTTTAGGCATCCTGGGGGCCCATTTCTCACTCATGTTGTACTGCATCTTGGAGTCCATTTTTGTTTTTTCTGAATCAAGAGAGATCTGCAGGAAGACAAAAAGTAATTAGTCCATCATATCACAAAAACAGACATGGAAACAAATCTGTGTCGATGAAGTTTTGATTTTAATATTTTAATCCTTAAAGCTCCTGTGAAGTGATACAGCTGAAGGCATTTTGAAAGGTGAGTACAAGCCTGTCAGTCTTCTGACACCCACCATGCAGCACCAGTGACAGACTTTAAAAATATACCACCAGAGAAGTGATCACTCTTGTCTCTAATGGTCTTGTTTGCTTTCATATAACACAAAGAGGCATCAGCGTTAATCTCAGTCTGTTTTGTATCCAGTTAAAAATCTTCACAGTACAAGTACATTATTTACCAGTTTATACCCTCTGTTAACTGCAGTGATTTATATCCCCATAAAACCTGACACTGACACCCTTTTAAAAGCAGTTACTCTAAAAAGACAGATCCGACAGCATATTACTTCAAAAAATGAAGCAGTTAAGAGTCATAAAAGTGAAAACTGTAACCAGATCAAACTAAACTGAAGAGCAGCAAAAAGAAACGCGAAGATCCTCTTTTTCAGATCTGCTCTGACTTAAGACAAAAGAAACATTTAAATGAAGAGTCAGATTACCTTGTAAAGCGAGGAGAAGTTTAGCTGAAGCTCTGTTATTGTGTTTATGATCCCAGCAGCTGATCTGTCAGTGTTGTATTGCCTACCTGTGCTGGCCTGCATGCTTTTATCCTCACTCAGACTGGAAATTCCTCCACTGCACACAGGAAGTGGGATGTCCTTGTGACCCGCCGTGGTGATGAAATCCTGGATTACACACTGCTGCTGTGCTGCCACACACCCAGCTGAGATACAGCCTTTGACTTTTTGAAATTGATGGTTGGATCAAAGATGTCTCCTTTTCCAGGCTTCCTTTTAACAACACGTGTACATGTCAGTGCATTATGATGAAAAGGATGATGACTGATGAAAAAGAGAGAGAAGTAAAAGACAATGAGAAAGGCCTCAGGAAGATGAAAAAGGGAGAGGAAGAAGAAGCAAAGGAGAAGAAAGACAACAAACAATAATTAAAAAGGAGAAAAACAACAATGAAGAAGTAGAACAAAAAAGGAGTGGAAGAATTAAAAAAACTCATGTGACTTCTTATTCCTTCCAGGAAGGAATTATTTTAACATAATTCAAATATATATATATATATATATATATATATATATATATATATATATATATATATATATTATACTATAATTTCATAGCTACAAAAACAATACTAAGCTCCAGTACTTTTTTTTACAAGAAAATATTGAAATTAAACACTGAATGTAAAAAGTTGAGGGAGCAGTTTGTAAAATATTGTTGTTAACACGTTATCTGTACAAGCCCGCACAATCCAATTTTAAACTCTTTAACCAGCTTAAAAATTTCAGGATGTTTTTACCAAATAACAAAAGTGTTAAGTTTTTAGTTTCAGGATAATAAAACTAGTCCGCCTAAGCTTTACAGAACCCCCCCCCCCCCCCATGTTTTCCTTTTCATATAAAGTCTGGCAGTGGGACACTGGGAGTCTGGGTGCGCCCCATGTATGGAGGTAATCGTCTTTTTCAAAGTGGTTCTGGTTTGACTCCACTCTCTGCTCCCCTAGTTTCATGTCTCTCTTAAGCCGTCTTATCTAATGGCAACAAAAAAGCTCAAAAACACAATTAAGAAAAGTCAGTTAATTTTAAGGATTTTAAACAAATGTCTAAGACTGTGAGGAGAAGTCTTCCAAACTTGTATGAATGAATGAAAGTGCTTTATTTTGGTTCATTTACAGTCAGAGCAGAACGCATAGAAAAAAATCTACAGAGAGTGACGTGTTTGACTGTCAAAGAGATCAGGATGTCAGAAACATAACTTAAACATGGACATGACACAATCAACTTAAAGGTGAGAGGTACCACTTTGTCTACAAGGGGTGCCAAAAACATCACAAACTCACCTTTGCCCACAGTAGCTATAAAGGTGCGGTGTGTAAATTTAGTGACATCTACCACTTCCTCACCTTCCTAGTTTTTATGATCTATAACAAATTCAATTGTGTGCAACAACAACTGATCTCACTTCATCTTCAGCTGACCAGTTATTAACAAAACGCAATTGGTTCCTGCCATTTTGTCCGTTATAAGGAAACCTGGTAGTACTCTAGAGCAAGGACTTGCTCCAGGTTTCTTCATGGAAATGCAGTCAGACCGAGACGCTAAGGCAGATGAAATTCTGCAGTGCAAAATGATTAATATTACTTCAAGGAAATGATAAAGTAATGATCATAAATGTTCTTCCTCGAGCTGCATCTGCCCGCTGAAGTCTGTGATGGACTAGTCCAAGGTCTCGCTACAAACAAGCAGCTGCTGGAAGAGAGTAGGTGAATTGTGTTTAGTCTCTTTGCTAAAGAAATTAGGCAAAGCTAAATGGTTTTTTTAAGGGTAGTACTCTGGCTGGGACCCTATATGTACTGTTGATGAAGTTAGGTGTTGTTCTCAACATTATTTGTGGCTATAGAGTGGCTTTGTGGTTGAGGTTTGTGTGTGGAGCCATAGACTGCTGTGTATTGGTATCCTGCGGTAATTACTAAAGTTGGTTTAACTGGAGAAGCAAGCGATCGGCAACATTCATCTCTCCAGGGGGTGTCTAACTCAGTGTTATGGTGTGTTTGACCCTAAATTAATTTTATGCTGGAATTTTCCTTTAATAATGGCAAAAATATTATTAGACAAGTGTTTAAAAATGAAACCTGATTAATCACTTTTTGAGAAAGTTCATTTACTCTTTACAGGCTTCTGTAACTGTGTTAAAGCTCATCCTACGAAATGCTGAATTTTTTTCTACTGTATTTCTTAATCTTCTCACGTCTTTGGCAGGCCCTCTGAAGTTTTGTGGTTCTTTTGTTATGAAAAAGTCCGTCCGCTGTAGACGGCCTGCATAATGTTTACCGTTGCATAACAGCGGCTGAATCTTGTATTTCTTCACTTTCCTGCTAAACCATGCTGTATGGGGAGGCGTCCTCACACTCTTTCTGCTGCTGGATTTCCTGTTTTCCAAAGTGTCCAGGAGGCAATCTCTGAGCAATAAATAGATTATTCAATTGAAGCTCACACATTGTCAGAATGATGGGATACACAGCTGTAAAATATTTTTTTCATTCGGTTAAAGTATGCATTTTTATTGCATTCTGGCTGGGTTAGTGTCAACCACTTTCTCGAGTCATTCTTTGCTGTTTAAATTTTTTTGTATGTGTATACATATATGTACATGTACATGTACGTGTGTGTGTGTGTGTGTGTGATTGTATTTATCATTTTTTAATTTATTTCTTATTTTTACTTGTCTGCTCGCCTTAATACTTAAATAATTAATGTTTTTTTATGATTTTCTGTAAAGCACTTTGTGCTACATCTCATCTGCCATACAAATAAAGTCTGATTGATTGATTGATTGGTTGATTGATTGATTGATTGATTGATCCAGTGCAGCTATAAAATTATTTTTCATTTTCATACATCAGATTTTTTACCCATGGGAGAAAAATGGGTAAAATCCAGAAAATCTGCGTTTTTTCACTCTGACCACTATTCCAGTGGAAAGATTTCATTTGTCTGGAGCGGAGATGTTTGTATGTGAGTGTGTGCTCGTATACGTTGATCACAATAGCCAGGGCATGTAGAAACTACACAGACATGTTGCTACTCCTCTGATGTGTGAATCACTCCTCTTTGATTGCAACTGACTGATGTAATTTTTTGACAACTTGGGGAAGTTTCTCTCGATGTCAGAGCAGCACTTTCACATCCTATTAAAGTTTTCAGTAGAGGAAGCGGGCAAAGGAATGGATGATGCAAACTTCCTGCTGAAATTAAATAATGCACAAAACTTTGTTATCCCTGCGGGACTGTGAAACTCATAATTGTTCTTTGACTTTGTCTTTATAAAAGACTTTATTCATATCTCATCGATTTCAGTGAAATAAAACATAAATTTCACAAAGCACATTTGTCTCATTACCAGCAAAAGCATCTCATCACGCACAAGTTATTGTAAATCCTCAAATATAGGCTTCTATATGAAGCAGGCTTGTATTCAAGGTAGGCCTTTATTTCAAATTCTCACCAAACCTAAGCCAAAACACGGTGTTTAATGCACAAAGCACAAAGGGTTAAATGCTCCTTTAACTGCACTACAGAGAAAAAAGCATCAGGTATGTTTGCATGAATTTAAATAATAAATTATATTTTTATCCTGAGCAAAACATAGCTCTCTGTGTATGAAAACAAGCCCTATTGCAAAATCTGACATTTTTACTACCTGTAATTGACCTGACAATAATTTCTCCTCTGGATAATAAATCCACATATAAGACTATTAATGACATGTTGACACTGTTGTATTGATTATGAATGCCTGGAGGTTTCAGTTATAAACGGTGAAATTTGTCACAGCTGTCATGAATAGACTGCATTAATTGGTTAAGACCTCCCTCTTCCATATTGCTCATCATGTACCACAAGTGAATACAATTTGGGCCGTCAGGATGAGAGCTCACTGAGCAGCGCTATGCAGTAGAGAGTGGAGACGTTATAGTTAGCAATACTCTCAGCCAGAATTCAGTGAAACTGAAGCCAAGTCCACAGAGATGGCCTGTGATGAAGTTGTTGTGATCAAGATGAGGCGTGATAAGAGAGATATTGAGTTCATGGGTGTTATTGAGACAAAACTTCAAAATGAAAGGTTTGTCCATGAGTCCGAAAGCTCGAGTCCAAGCCATGTCTTAAGTTACGTTAGTGTGTGAGAGAAGATGAACCATTTTCCACTGGGGGAGCCAAAACCTACACAAACCAAAAGATACATATAGGAGCTTTAAATAAATGTATAGCCTCTAACCCTAACCCTAGCAGTAAACTACTTTAAATAAAGAGCTTTGTGGCCTTGAACTGTTAGATCATCCTCTCAAACCTCTTCTTAAGAAGCCATTACTTGTAAAATCACTTTAACCTGTTAATAATTCTGCCCCTTTCGTCTCTTCTATCCTTTCAGCTTTGACTGCATGTGAACATTTAAACCTATGAACCCTTGAAGTAAAACTCCTTGTGCTTCTGGCCTGATACTGATTCCAGTTATGGGCGGGGGTTGATTGGGGTCAACTGAATCATCGTCTGAATCCCCTGTGGGAGTTGTGGTTCAAAGTAATTTGATACAGTATGACCAGAGTGATGAGATATGTGTACTAAAAACACCCTGTGATAAAAACTCTTCTTTATCTGTTTTACAACAGCAGGTTTCTACATCGAACTCGCCCCACTTTCACAGACAAAAGAAAGTTTCGTCCATTCAGACATTATTAAAAAATGTTTTGTTCTGCATAATAAGTGTCCAATTTAACTTCTGGCTAAACCAGTTTAACAAAAAAAAAAAAATTCCCCGGTGAGGTAAGAAGACGGGAGCAGTAGCTTTGGGATTTCAAAAGCATGAAATTACTTACAGTCCAGAACTATTTAACTGTCTTCTTCCTCCACACCCGACCCACATTAAGTCCTTTAAACCTGCTACATGAGCCACAAAAACAATAACTGGATGTTTCGTCACGGTGTGTCATACATGTTACTGAATACAGGAGTTAATCTAGTGCATCTTATCTGGTTTCCACCTCCGGTGGCGTGTGCCAGAAATGCTTCAAGCATTTCACAAGTCTACGAGGAAGTAAAAACGTGAATACTTTACCTTGTTTGGACTTAAAGAAACATGGGACAGAATGTTGTAAAATTACGGAAGCGAAAGACAGTAAAAGAAAAAAAAAAAAACACTTCTTTGAATTAAAGTCAGTTTAAAAGTACTATTCTGAATTTGTAAACATGTTTCTTCAGTTGTTGAATGTTTTCCATTTCTCTTCAAGTGTTTTAATCTAAAATAAATCAGCAGAATTTTGTTACTTTATTTCATCTAAACTCAGTTAATTTTTGTGCCTCCTTTTGTTATTTTTGAGGACTGCTTTTTGTTGTTTTCACTCTGCAATAATTCTTAAAATTGTCTTTTTTTTTTTTTTTACAATCTTTTTAAAAACAACAAATGTTTTGTAAGCTAACATGCAAAAAAACTTTGCGTCAAAGGTACAGTCCAGATAGAATAGGAGTGTTTAGTGTAAACTAACGGTTAAATTCTAGACTGAAATACTCCGTTGCTCACCCCTACAGTTGGTGAATGGTTTTTGAGGACGAGTCAGAGGGGGCCATGATGTATAAGTCTGATCCTTCAAATGCTTAGTTTTCACCATCAAAAAGGCCAACAATACAAATCATTTCATGCACAAAAAGAACCAATCCCTTCTTCCTTTTTGTTTTTCATAGGTTTTGCATGTTAAGGGGATTAAACATTAATTTACACATACTTTTGAATACTATATTTAATTTTTACCAAGTCTATTAAACTAAAGCTGCGAGAACATACACCTTTAAAGCTCCTATGAGGAGTTTTGATCTGAAATAAACACTAATGCATCTCTATGATGTATAAACACAGTTAAAACCATTGATGACAAGCCTGATTATCTCAGCACTAATTTAAGTATTACAACTTTGTCCACAGGGGTGCCAGACAAAAAGTTGGTCACAGGAGCTTTAAAATAAATAGTAAATAAATATGTAAATAGTTTTTGTTTTTTTGTCATTGTTTGGTTTCATTTCTTTGCCCAGTAAGAGCTAGAAAAAAAAATTAAACAACTGTTTATAGTGTGGTTTTTTTTTTGTATTTATCATCTGAAAACTATTGACACACTCACTTCACACCAAACACTCTGACCAAAATCATCAGAGGAATATCCTTCAATAAATGTCCTGGGTATTTGATCTGTGATATTTGCAGTCTTGATTTCACTTCCCCCTGGTCGTCAGACCAAATGCTTGGTTCTATTTCTCCATTTTGAACTAACATATCTATTAAAAATCAAAATTTCCCTTTTGTTTTTCTTTTGTGTTAATGCAGTAATAACTTTTCAGGACTGAACCCAACTTTCTTGGGGCAAAGCTATCCTGATTACCCAGGTTGCCTTGAAAAAACTGACTCAATAGCATGGTTGTGTGTCAGTCAGTTAAAGTTATACATTCTTTTTTGGCACAAGGAGACCAGACATTAAAAACAGGAACTGCCTCAGACCTAAGAGGTTTTTTCTACGCTGTACCAGATTGATCATGTGTCAAACTATGTCTGCTCCACTGCTGTACTATACGTAGCTCACTTTGCAGTTATCATGACCATAAAACAACAAACGAGTACAATCACAAAGATCCATAGAGAAATATATCTCAGGTTTATTAATAACTTCTTTGTCTTCAAAACTCATTAAGACAGAAATTATAAAACAGTATTTACACCTTGGTTCTCTGTTGAAATATTTTAACTTAAAGCATGCCAGAGCGAATGAAGGACGATCACTTTCTTCCCCCTAAAACTCGACATCGATCGCCCCATTCGCTCTGATCCCAAATCAAACTCAAGAACAAATAAAAAAAGATTTTTGTTTCCCACAATTACTGACAGTGTTCTGTTCTGAGGTACAAAAACAAGAAACAGACTTGATCCACTGACATTCACACTAAAACACACACATACATGATGAGCCCAAACCCAGAACAATTTAAAACAAGTGTGAGTGTGTGTGTGTGTGTGTGTGTGTGTGTGTGTGTGGGGGGGGGGGGTCCTCCAACATAAGCACAGGCACACACATGAACAACAACCAACAAAAACAGTCATTTGAAATAGGAGTGTGTGTGAATCAAATTAGGAATGAGCATGAAAACAACCTGGAGTCTGTGAGTTCCTCTTTTCATTATTAGTGAGAGAGAGAGAGAGGGAGAGAGAGAGAAAGAGAGAGAGAGAGACAGCAGTGTCATGTTTAAGAGCCACAGGAGATCTGATTTTGAAATCCTGCTCAATAGGGATATTACAACACAACCACTGAGCCAACAACTTTGGCAAATCTGTGGCTTTTTCTGGGAAAACACTTGTATCTTTCATGAAGTGCTTTTGTTTCTAATAACAGCAGCTGATGAGCTCTTTTTCTCATAAACAGAGTTCTCATATAAGAAAAAAAAACTGACTATATTTATAAAGTACAATATAGGTGCTGCTTTATCTAAAATTTGGAGCTAAGGTTTTATTTGAATCTCTGTAGTCAGAGAAGGAAAATAAATTCCATCTAATCTTTCTATTTTTTTCTTTTTAGAAAGAAATTTTTTTGAATTTGAGTTCTGAATTCTAGAACTGTGGCTTTTTACTCTGAATTTTGACCTATTTTCCCAGAATTTTTACTTTCTCAAACCTTTTTCTTTGACTTCAAATTCAGAACTTAAATTTTAATGACAGTATTTTGACCAATTCATACCATTCTATCATCCCTGTATTCTGAGATTAACTTTGGAAATAATATCAGAACTCTGTCTTTTATTTAAAGATCTGACTTTAATCATAAAATTCTGACTTTTGATCGAATTCTTACCTTTTTTGAAATTCTTGTAATTCCGACTCAAATTCAGGATTTCATCTTATTTTACCACATTCTGACTAAAACCAGACATCACTAAGATTAAGAGATTTATCTCAGAATTCTGACTTTAATCTTAAAAGTCTGACCCTAGTTACAAAATTCTGACTTGATTTCACAAGTATGAACTTCATCTCAGAATTCATATTAAGATCATAGAAATCTGACTTTTGGAGGCCCTTGTGCTTCACTAACCCATCACTCGTATGCCAGCCTAGGCTGATATTCAAATTTGCATTCTTGGCTGAATTAATGTGATAACCTAAACAACCTAAACCTAGCCTGCTGTGATTTCACTTTTTTTCCATACTTGTTTTCCAATTTTAGGTTTGAATCAAATGACTAAATGTCAATTTAACAGACTGAATGCAAAATAACTGAATAATTTAACTGACCAAGTATCAAATCCAGCTCAAACATTTGTAGGACTTGTAGGAGGTGCTGCCCTCCATCACTGATTGTCTCTCATGTGTTGATGCAGATTTTTCTTTGATTTAAAAATACATCCTTGTTTTTTTCCAGAATGGCTGTGACAGTTAAGTTCCTCTCGTGTGACAAATCTCAAAAGACCAAGTCATCCTTAGTTCGTGTGAAAAACCAGAAAGGAGTCAGCTGGTGGTGGTTTCAGATTCTACTGAAAAACAAAAATAAAAGTGCTACAAAATTTTCCAAGTTAATGACAGGAGGATGCCCTCATCTATGAAGTAAATACAGGTCCTTAGTAGTTCTGCTTTCACACAGACTGTTTCTTTGAGGATCGGTGATTTAGTAGCTTGTGAATGAGTTAGTGTGGAAGACGTAGTGTTTTTCTAAGGAACACAGGGACTTTGAAGAAAACATCTAAATTAACATCTAAAAAACAGTCAGTCATAATAACTGATGCTTCTGTTCAAATTTAATTTTTTTGGCTCTACAACCTCCCTACATCTATGCACTACCATTTCCCAGAATCCCTTTTGACAGAGTTTGGGAAGCAGATAAGAACTCCTTGAATTTATTTTGGATTTACGTTGTACCGATAGCAATGCAGAACAGAAAATATGTTGAGATATGTTATTTTTTACTAAATAATTCATTTTTTCATGTGGCAGCAATGCACTCTGGAGCATGAAGTTAGTGTTAGCATAGGAATCAGTCCCTACACTGGGTGTCCCACACAAAGCAGCTGTTTCTCTTTTGTTTGTGGGACAAAATCTTAATGTGTGATTCACTTTTGTTGTTGTACATCACAAAAAACGAAAACTAAAACACCACCATGGCTCCACGAGAAATCATATGAAGAAACGTCACAAGTATCAAAGTTTCTGAGTTTTAGGACTGATTACCCTTTTAGATCTCTCCAAAGCTTACAGTAAAATATAACTGGAGTGCATGCATTTCTGTGAAACCAAAAAAAAAAAGGTTGTGATAATCTGAAAATGTACAAAATTGTTTCCCATTAAATTGGCTGACACCTGGATAAACGGTATGCTTGGCTGCAGAGACACAACAAACAAAAAAAAATTAAGTTCAATTTGATAGTACAACAGAGGATTAAGGCCAAGTCAAGTGAAAAAAAAAAACAGATTTGAGAACAGTCTTAAATCGAGCATTAACTCGAATTAAGTCAAACCTTAAGGACTGAAGCTGTAAATTTATGAGAGTAAAGTCATGACAGAGAACGTCCCAAAATTACAGAAATAAAGTTAAGATTTTACAGGAGTAACACCAGAATGAGAAAAGTGGTAACTTTTCCATGGTGAAGTTATACATTTATGGGATTAAAACTGTTAATTTACAATATAAAATCCTAAATTTACCAGAGTAATGTTGTAAAGTCATTACTTTATGAGAGTTGTCATATAAAAGAAAAAGTCCCCAAACTCTGGGAATAGAGTCGTATGTTTACAAGAGCGAAGGGGTTAAAAGAAAAGTAATAAATCTACAAGAATGAAGCTGTAAACGGATGTGACAAAATCCTCGAGAAAAGCCATTAATTAATGAGAAGAAAGTTGTAAATTGGCAACATTACAGACATGAATTTACAGGATTATAAATTTACAAGAATAACACTGTAAATCTGCGAGATTAAAGTCAGGAATTTACAGGATCAAGTTGTAGATTAAAGATAATTTGTTTGTAAACTGATAAGATTAAGTTGTAATTTAAGAAGGTGACGTAAATTTATGATAAAAACCTCTAACATTGACTCTTAATTTATGAGATAAAGGTTGAAACTCTGTTAAGTCATAATTTATGGCTTTGGTTAATCTACATGTGGGCTTGAGTAACCTTATCCTCCCACACCAGTTTGGCATAAAGAATTACTATAAAATGTTCCCCAGACTTGTCAGTGATGGTCTTGTTTTCTTTAGGAAATTAATAAAAATCATCAGTATGAATTACAGTCTGTTTCAAAAATGTCAAAACAACTCCTCACGGGAGCTTTAAGTTTGTAAATTTCAGACTTCAGCTTTAACTTTTGTCAAATAAAAACTTTACTCTCATAACTTTATGAGCTTACCACTGTACATTTGTAACTTTCAAGTAAATTTGTAACTAATCAAGTGAATGTACGAGTTTCTTTTCATACGCTTAAACTTTAATGGCCCTAATACTCTGTGGCGAGACAGTGACCCCCTTCTGATGAATTTTAAAAAAGAGCAAAAAGACACCCAAAAAATAATCAATAAATGCAAAAGATCATTGAAGGGGTAAAATCACACAATGCGACAAAAAAAAAATTACATTTCCTCTCCAATATTTGACAATATCAACAAAGATATGTACACATACAGAACTCAATAAATAAAAGTCGCAGATTTTCTAATCAGAATGTGATAAAGCTTCCCTCTTTTGGTTTATGCTGCCGTCAGCTTTGGTGACGGCTATTTTGGTCACAAAGACACACACGTGCGCACACACACACACATACATGACCCACCCTCTTTTATGAAGTAAGCAAACACCTACAACCTTTGAGTGACTCATTCTTACAGGATTTATCTGAAACAGTTGATCACAGAGGGAAGAGGGACGACGACAGTGTACGTACCCTACACATTTGGTTTTACACATTCATTACGATCGGACTGATTGTCTTAATCACGGTACAGACAGGCTGTCTATCACTGCTCAACCTATTAACAGCTCTGGGATAAAGGCTCCGGGCTAATCAGGAAACAAGAAGAGAAATAAACTAATATCATCTAATTAATCCACACCAAACCCTTCCCACAATTCCCTACACGGAGAAAAAAAGAGTCAGTAGGAATCTAAAGTGGGTCCGTCTGGCACAGAATTCATCAATAAATATCTGGTTATAGATTTTAAAGGAACATATATTACTTTGTTTGAACTCCGCGGACATGCTCAGGTCATCTTTGTCTTCTAGGTGTATGGATGTTGAGGAGGGGGCACAGGCTGCTACACATGCGGCACACAGGTTTGGGGATGGGGGAAGGCGGGGTCTCCCTGAGTCTCTGAGTAGGGACAAGAAATGGGGAGCAACACACACACACACACACATTTAAAAACACACACACCCACACCCACACCCACACCCACACACACACACACACACACACACACAGGCATACAGAAAGAGGAGGAAACTCGTAGGCTGCAGGAAATGTTGATGGGCGAGAGAGAAAGGAGGAGCTTTCTGGTCCTTCAGATGTTTGTTGACAGTTAATACAATAAGGAGCACGTGCAGACACACACACACACACACACACACATATACAAACACACACACACACACACACACACACACACACACACACACACACACACACACACACACACACACACACACACACACAGAGATACTCCTTTCACTCGTAGATAAGTGTTGTGTTTGTTTATGATGGGAAACAAACACTTTGGCATATCTTTCTGTATGAAGTTCTTGCATATTTACAGAACATGCATGCACATGGCTTGTCTCTGTATGCTTTGCCTGCTGTGCAAAAGCATGTATCCCTATCCCCCTCTCACCCACACACACTGACTCACACACACATACTCCTCCCCTCCTCAGCATACATTCGGCGTAGTAGTGCATGCGTGCAAACGTAGCAGAAACACGTATGGGGGGAGGTGTCAGATGCTGTTCTCCATCTGGCTGTGGTGGTTTGCTGTGTGCGGAGAGTTCTGCTCGTTCAGGAGGAGGAGCGTTGTCTCGTCCGGCCCGTTTTCCATCGGAGTGGAGTCGGCTCCCAGGTCCGTGATGGGGATGTTGGTGGTGGTGGAGGGGGGAGTGATGGGATCTAGACGGGCCGTGTTGTGGCCGCTCTCTGGGGACTGAGGTGTGCTGTCCAGACGGGATGCTATCAGCCCGTTCTGGTACTGAGCCCGTGTGATCTGAAGGAAAAAAAGAGCGTTAAAGTAATGAGTGAGAGGAGATACATGACAACACAATGACTCGCGATAGTTCCATCACATTTTTGGCTTTTGCAATACTTTGTTTTTTAACATAAGTTTGAAATTTTGATTTGATTTTGGTTCATGAACTGGTCATGAGCTTTAACTTAATACCCACCTTGACAAACTGCAGGTCTGTGAGCGCTCTGACGTAGAAGTCCGGTGTGTACTGCTGCATTGGGATGCTATTGTTGAGCTGGCTGTTGCTGCCGCTGACAGAGAGTGACTCCGTCCTGTCGGCTCCGCTCAGGGACGCCGCCCGGTTCAACCCGCTGAGGTGGGATGGCGAACGAAACTCTGCAGACGTGCACAAATAAACACAATAGGTTCATAACAGCTCCTGATAGCATTTAAAGCCATCAATATGTGATAGGACACAATATTGATCACTACAGAGGGCTGCAGTCTGGGTGATTCTTACAAAGCCATCAGTGATTTAATGGCTCTGTGAGACAAACATGGATCAATGGAAGACTTCAGCCACACAAGGTGCAGTGTAGGTCAAATGCAGGTTAATATTAATGAGATGGATGAAAAATTAGTGACGAATGGATTCACAATGTAACAAAAAAATGAAATTCAAATCTGTGAGAGTAGCAGACGCAGAGGGAGCTACAGTAAATATAAAGGTTATTAGAGTTAAAGTTCAGTCATTACAGACAAACTCATGACCATCTACAGTGTGCTGTACATACCCTTTGTTTCACTATCACAGCAGCAACGTGGTGCCTTCCTCACACCCAAAGGTGGTGAAACATAAAATTTTCCAACAGCATTACAAGCAGTGACTCAATTTGTGTTTACAAAGATACCTCACACTGTCCAAAATTCATCATTCACATGCCATTACAAAATCAAGAGCGTTGTGTCGACTGTGTTGGACAGAGCAGGATGCAGACAAATCTTATCAACAGATGTGGAAAAGCAGACATTAAAATACATCATTATCCCTTAAATGTTATGATGTTCCTCATGTAGGCACAGTTGTTTAATTTATCTCGTTTATAAACCAAGTTAGATTTCAAAAAGACGAGAAAGTTAAAAACCTGTTAACAGTCTCTTACCTGATTTGTCTAAAGCTTCAACGCAGTCGTCTATGAGCTATTAAAGCACAGACTGGACTCTAAAGATGCAGGTGATGGTCTCTAATTATCTTAATGATTGGTCTTAGTGCATTAGGCACAATGGTCTATGCTCTGATATTATAACCACCCATCAAGGTGTGCAGCAGGGCTCCTTATTAGGTCCCCTATTGTTCACAATTTATGAATAATCTGGACAAAATGTATCAGATGATTTTCTATTTTTATGTTGATTTATGCAGGTTTGCTGCACACTTTTAAATTTCAAATAAAAGACTTTATTGAGACCCTCATGAAGAAAAAGACAGCAGAGAAAATGATGATTAACACAGAAACTCCACAACCAAATTTTGAGAGCTTCCTTTTTTCCCTTCTTCTTCTCCTTCTGTTTATGGTTTTTGAATACTTACTTAATATTCTGTATTTTGTAGACAATCATATCCTTAAAAAAAGATACAAGCCGACTACATGGAGCATGTGTCCCAAATTTTAAGACAAATATCAGTCTAAGCACAATCAAAAATGTACAAGACTTTTAAGACATTGTATGACTTTAGATTTTAAAACTAATTTAAAACTTTTCAAGACTGCAAGGATTCAAGGACATTCAAGGATCTGCAAAAACTTTGCCAGGGCCCAGGGTGATAAATAATGGACCTCATAAGTTTTCTTTTTTCTTGAAAGAACTTCTATTTTTAAATTTCAGTAGTTTTTAAGTTGGACCACATCCTTAAAAAGTACTCCTTTGTTGAATAAACCCACAGTCTTTCTTCTAACCAGATAAAGTCTTTAGGTGTGATCCATCTGAGTCATGATTGCTGACACTTCACTGATATCAGGAACACTTAATTCAGCTTACACATCTTCCTTCAGCTGGTTATTTTCCACCTCTGCTCCAAAATACTGAAACCATGATGACTAACATCCTTAGGTGTCATCCAGCTGATAGTTTGGTTGAGTTTTTATAGAGACATGCTATTCCAGTAAAACCAGACTCTCAAACTGTTACACACACACACACAAACACAAAAACACACACTCATGCTCGTTACCAGCTGTGTATTATTACCGGTGAGTGTGAGTCGTCCAGCAGGAGGCCTCAGTGAGTCATAGGAAACTGTTTTACCTGGACACGTCAACTGCGTTAGCTTTCATGGAATTAAGCTAGCTAGTTAATTATGGATATCTACAGCTAGGTTGCTAGTTAGTGGTTAGATTTCACTTAGTTATGAGACAATCTTTATTATTCGAGTATTGAAGATGTTAAAGTTCAAGGTCCAGCAGCTCACTTTTCTTTATCTCAATCTTGTTGACTCAAAATTCATCAACAACATTTTGAATGGACAACCTACAGAAAATCTCAGAAAATCGCAAAACTCTGAAGTAAGCTGCTGCAGAAATGCTGTAGTCTGCTGTTATGTTTTGGACAGACAATAAATGTCACATTATCATGACTCAGTGGCTCTTTTTCTGTAAAATTTAACATTGTGATTCATAACTGTCATTCCCATTTGCCGTGAATCATTTAGTAGTAATTATGAATATATGTGTAAAAACCACAGCCCTACAGTCAGAAATGACAGAAAACATGACCTGCTGGATCTCCCTGGAAAAAAAAACCCTGAAGGTTTTTAGGTCAAACCGATTTGCTGCTCACAGTGAGGTTAGTATTTCAAAATGAAAGTGAACAATGATGGACCCAGTTCCACAGAAAACCCCCTCCAAGATCCCACATCATAAGATCATTAAGTCAGTTACTATCACGCTGTCACTCATAAGATGGTGCCGGGGTCACATGTGGAGCTGGGTATTTATGATTATAATGTGAAAAGCAATTTGCTGCATGTGTTGTGATTTTTTTAAACTTTGTTTCTCTAAAAGACTACAAACTATTTTATTAGTTTCTGCCTTTTGTCTAAAAAACTAAGGTTCGAACTGCTCTGAAAGTGAAAGACAGGACTACAGTACCCCAAAATAAAACAGCTGCATTAAAATAGCTCTTCAGTTTCCCCCGTTTTTAAATCTTATCTATATTACAGTTATCATAAAGGAGAAACTTTTAGGAACTATTAACAAGCATCCAAATCACTCTCTGTAAAGTCTGAGCGGCTGAATCTTTCGGGGAGTTTTAAGACCCATCCAGCAGGTGTCACATAATGTCGTCCTTCCCTTCACTTTTTTTTCTCAGAGATGTCATGTGATCATTTTCTGTCCCCAAATACCCTGATGGATCTGTGTATTAAATCTTTGTATTAAATAAGCTCTTTTATCAACTTCCTGATTTTGCAACAGCACAAAAAGAGGCGTCTTCTGTTACACCTTTGCTGTGTGTAATGCAAATACTCATATTGCAATCTGTGAGACACAGATATACTAAGGTCCTCTGAGCACAACAGAATAAAATTGCAAAGGTAGTTTCTTTGTATATTTTATTTTTTTTTTAAGTGGAGAAGGAGAATTTATTTTGGATTTGTCTGTATAAATATAAAGCAAACCCTGATATTTAACAGCTAAATTTCAACAAAACATCTAAAAAGATGGAAGTCTGGCAGATCTTGACCTGAAACCCATCTCCAATATCTAAGTCACTGTATATAAAAATAGGCAGAAATAAACCTATTCCTTCTCTGGTCATTGATTGTACAGATTTTATTGTGTGAAATGGACTTGAATTAACATGTGGACAATGTTATTCAACATTTGTAACTTGAATATTCACAAAAATTGTGGACTTCTGTTCCTCAGGTTCATCACTGAGCATTGATTGGTTAATTGCTACTGTAGCGGTGTGGACTCAGTCCACCTTTAATATAAAAACCAGAGAGTGCCCTCTACTGGACAAATGATACAGTGGCAAATAAAACCCCTTCAAAATATCTTCTGTGCCCCCTGGTTGCTGCTGGTTAATGACAGACTTAATGATTGTGATAAGCAGTATGATTCCACTATATGGCAGACTACTCAGTTTTGATTGGCTGCATGGTGCTCATTGATTCCAGTTAACAGACACTTGCAAAGACGCTTTAATAAAACAGAATTCTCAGTTTCTGTGGTTTTTATGTCCTGACAATAAGCGCACCTATCACATCCTTGTACTGAGAAGGTCTCCTGACATCAGCGTAAAGTGATTTACTGTTTTTGACAGTCACATTGACAGACACCTCCTTGGGCTTCACAACTTTAATAATCTGGTTGCACCTTTAATGCAGCCCTCTAGTTCTCATTTTCCCTTCAGTTTGAACCTGAGCAGAAAAATGTCTTTGTGACAAACAAGATTTAAATTCTTGCCACACAGAAACACAAACCCTCCTCCTACACGATAAGCTTGTAATAGATGGACTCATCGCCTCCTCAGTGCCGCCTCACACTCGTCTGCTTTGGAAAATTCAGCCAAATGAAATATTGACTCTGTAAAACCAGGTGCAAGTTTGATCAAAGAGCTTATCTACCAAAAAGATGCCTCATCTTGGTCTTATTCGTTGTCTTGTCAAAGTTAAATTTGATAAATCTTCTCATGATTCATTGTTTCTACCAGTAAGCAGCATCTAGATGGCAGTTTTTAACTTTCAAAGATTAGGAGTAACTAGGTTTTTAACAGATTTCTGAGAAATAAAATGTCCTAAAAAGTCAAAGCCACACCTGGCGAATCAAAGCCAGGCCCCGCCCACCCAATGATTCCCCCCAAGTCCCACCCCTTTTTGGTGTTAAAAGACCCAGACATGCCGGAGTTTACCTGGCAACCGAGAGAACAGAGAAAACCTCTTAAAGGAGAGGAGGCGAGGACGAGGAGCAGCCTCTGAGAGGAGAAGAGGGGAGGAAGGACGGAGAGGGTGATCGACGGGACAGAAGGGGGAGGAGGGGGAGGAGAAGTAAAGGAGGAGGGAGGGTGGGAAAGTGAGTGACACAGCAGGAGACAGAGAGACAGATCCGTGTCCAGCAGGGGGACGACATGCAATACCCCAGAGACCTCCAGCTTTACATCACAGGTTAGATTACACATGAGATTTTCAGGTGTGACAGTTGTTACTGAGCTGGTCTGGAGGTTTGATTGATCAGGAGTTTGATGAATGGGAGGATGACGGAGACGCTGGTGAGAAGGGTGAAAATAAACTCTGCCTCACAGGCTTTTCCCTCTCTTTCTCTTTCACCTGCAGAAGTAAGTGGTCGAGGGCAGAGACAAAACCAAAAACGAAAGACTACGACTGAAAAAGATCATTATTCATTGAATGTTGTAAGGCGGTCCCACATCTGCCCCTCAAAGCAGAGCTGTGGGGTCCTCCTCCAGTGATGCGGTTATCACAGGTGAGCAGAAACAACATCAAAATGTAAAGAATTGTGTAATAATAATTTTCATATCATGTGCAAAAAAACTTTCATGCAAGATCTATCATGTGTAAAGTGGTGTTGCCTCCCAGTTTTGACCTGTGTGTTCATTACAATGGTTAATAATACACAAGACTAATACTATGTCATGTGTAATAACTCACTTTTAATATCATGTGCAGTACTGTCTCTAAAAATCTAACTTTCATATTAATAAAAATGGGCAGTAATGCTCTTTGTATACTTTTCAGATCATGTGCAAATTTTTTTTTTAATTTCCTGTGCAATAAAACTTTTGATATTATGTGCAGTGTTGCCTTTTAATGTTCATTTTTACAGGAAAACGTGACTTTCAAGACTGTGTGAAATGATAATGTTACAATGTGCAGTTTTGCCTCTGTGATACATGACACGTGAAATAATACTATTCTTCTCATGTGCAATAATACTTTTTATATCTACACACAAATAATTTCCTTGTTTTAACTGCTTGTGCAGAATTGCATCTCAGTATGAACCTACATGTTGAATATTGTGCAAAAAAAACCCTTGCAGATCATGTGAAATAAAACTCCGCACCTCTCAATATCTATGGGTTTCTAAACATGGGTAATAAAACTTTCCAAATCGTGTGCAAAAACACATTTATGTATCATGTGCATTAATACTCTCACATCTGCATACGCATCGTTGCATATTTTTAGATTATGTGCAGATGTCATCCAAAAATGGATCTATATATTGATCATCAAATGCATTTATTGTATACTTTTCAGATTAAGAGCATTAAACATCATATATTGTATATTACCTCCTAGTCCCTGAAAATGGGTAACATATCTTTAAGTATTATTTGCCATTATACATTTGCACATCATGTGAGTTATTACTTTTCATTCCAAGTGCAATGACAATTTTATTGTAACACATGGAAAAACACTTAATCTCCATATACACATTATTTGTACTTTTTAAATTGACTACAGAATTGCGACTGAATATTATTCTGTGCAATAATTATCATTTCATATGGTGTCATACCCGTCAATCATATGCAATGAACTACAATATTATGTGTAAAATTACCTATGTGTCATGCGTTATTATACTTATCCCATCATGTGCAATATTAAATAAATAATATAAATAATATTTAAAAAAATTTCCCCCATGGGGGATCAATAAAGGAATATTCTATTCTATTCTATATTCTATTAATTTACACATCAGGTGCAATCCTTCACCAGTAGGTGGCAGAAGAGGAGAGGAGAAGGGAAGTGAGGAGAGGTTTTGGACTCACCCAGTGTGGAAGGACTAAGTGCCATGACCCCGTAAAAGGAGAAAGGTCCTGTCTCGAACTTCATGTTCTCATTGCCAGCCTCCACCTCCACTCGTCCCTGATTTTTAAAGAAAAAGACCACAAGGGAGACAAAAAGCATTAACATTTATAAAAGGAGCGACATTTGAGGACTTGAACGTTTTAAAAAAGTTATGTTGGGTAATTCTGCTTTAAAACTTTGATCAAAATCCTTGAAAACTCATTAGACTCATAGCTAAACAGAGTTCAAATAGACCAAGACAAGACAGGACAAGAGGAGATGATGCTTCTTTGAAAGCCTTGTGAGTTACGTTGTTTGTCCTCTAGAGGGCAGTACAGTCATGAGTTAAAACAATGTCTCTTACAGCACATTATCAGTGGATATAGGAGGCAGTACATCATATGAAGGAGGAGACATGTCCACTTTGGCCATGATTACACATTCAGCATTCGCTCTCAGTGGATCAGGGTGTCTTTGAGAAAGTACAGAGAAAGGTGGCTGCAGAAGGACGTCGGCAGGCAGCGGGAGTTTATTACATTAAGATGAAGGTTGCAGAGCCGGAGGATGGAGGAATTCAAGTCAGAGGGGGGTGGAGGGGAGTACAGGAGGAGGCCTCTGTGTTGGTACAGTGAGTGAGCTGGCCTGAATCGGCCTGCTGGAATGTGTGAACTGCAGCAACAACACAGGACAGTTAATCCACACTGTCCTCTCTCCTTCCCTCCATCCCTCCATCCTCCCACCTCCCCCCCAGACTCATACACACACACAAACACACACACACATACTGGGCTGATGAAAGCTGAACAGGTGGTAAAATAACAGGGAGACAAAGGAAAAAGGACAAACAAAGACAGTGCAGGGAGCTCGCTGTGTCTGACAAAGACGACTTAATTAGTATATTCAGTGTCAGATTATAAACTCCAAAGTCTAATTTAATTATATCATGAGTTTAATTCAACAGTACTTCAGTTTGTAGAGAATAAACTCATTTTACATGTAGGTTTAGGAACACAGGAGACCAGTTTCTGGAATTTTTAAAGTGAAATATTGTCCCATTCTTGCCTGATTAGAATTTTAACTGTTCAACAGTTCAGGGTCTCTCGGTGTGTTTTAAACGTGAGAAAAGTCAGAAATACAGGACTCTTCTACTACAGCGCCATGCTGTTGTAACATGAGCACATCTTCTGTTTTAGGAAGTGTTTCTCATGAAAAAGCAGGGCCCCATGAAATCCTTTTTTTTTCCAAATTCATTTTTTTCCCTTTTAATTTTTTTGGATTCTGTTTTTTACCTTTTACACTTATTTACTACCATAGGGTGAGTACTTTTAGTGCATAATGTTGTAACATAACAATGCCAATAAGTGCTTTGAGTACAAAGTATTGATCACTTTTAAATGGTTGGGTAAAATGAAATTACTGAATGTACGGTTCAATTGCACAGTGTTTTTCTTTGTTTTCCATGTGGGTTTTAGACTACGGGTGATCATCACACGTATTTTTGCATTTCCAGTCAACGATATGTCAATTGAATTTGCAAAAAAGCATGTTACCTGACACATAAAAGTCATTTGGTTATTGCTTGGCTCTGTACTCCGGAGACAGGCAAGAGTTTCTAAGTTTGTTCGTGAAGGTAGCCGGTGTCTCTGGTAGCCGCTTCGACATGCTGTTTATTCAAGGAGGGGGCAGGTGAGAGTTAGTAAAGAGATTATAGACTATATATACTATGGACAACTTGGCTCCGCCTTCTGCCAGTATATGAATTTGAAGCCAAAAAGCTACAGCCCATAGGCTGTATCAAGTGTCAATCATAGAAAACGTGAACCCCCCAATAATTTTTGAAAACGGAGCTGCACAGAAAAAAAAAAAAAGAGGACTTGAGCACAAACCAGTCTAACAGTAACTACATGTCAACATCGCAAGCAGGGGGGAGAAAAATGTTTATTCTGTGTAATAAATTTTTAAACTTTGTCCACAGCTCCATAAGAATGGCTAATGGAGGTGGGATTTATGACCTATACTGCAGCCCGTCACCAGGGTGTGCTGCTCTTGCAAAGGCTTCATCCAGCGAGGAGGCAGACAGCGTCCATTCTGTAAACAGTCTATGGTTTTAATGTGGAGGACTTCACAATAGTCCCCTTCCCAGGAAATTTCCCTTGCCTAGACAAACGTTCCTTATGCCAATTTCCACGAAATTCCGCGTTTAACAGTAGATTACCTTTTAATGGCCAATTCCACGATTCCGGCTCCGATTCCATAAACGCGGAAATCATAGTGCCCTACAAAAGTCATTGTCTTAAAGCCAGCATGTGATGCTCTAAAACCTACAAATATCATTGAGCATGATGTAAACTACCCATGCAATGGACACCTCTGCACCCCTAGACCACCGCTGATGCAGGCTTCTGAATTTTGCATTGAAAACAAAACAGAGTGGTCCCTCTCCTACAAAGAGGGGAGAGTACAGGGACCATGTGTTAAATTTCAATTCCTACATGATGTTCCTACACGGTTTCCTCTTTAATCTGCATCTGTGGATGCTATGGTGCGAGTTTGAGCCCATGCTGTGACTCCCACAAAAGAGTCATGACTGTTTTTAATGCAGTGCAGCCTGTGGACCTGAAGATGACAGCCATCCTTCATCACTTAACGCCTCTGCCTCTTTTGCACAGAGGTTTTCCTGGTTCACTTAATCTTGTAATGATATATACTTGAGATCAAATCCTGAACTGTTTGCAAATTCACTCTCAGGAACATTATCCTGGAATTGCTGGAACTGTTTCCTCACTCTGCTCACACAAAATGGTAAATCCTTTCCCATCTTCACCTCTAAGAGACTCAGCCTCTCTGAAATGCCTTGTTGCAAATTCACCTGCATTTTGCTTTAAGGTAAGTACTGTAGATAATAATGTTATATACGAAAAAGGCAGCGCTAACATCTGCAACAAGAATTCAGCCCTGATAGTGAGTGCCATGAAGTTATTACAGTTAAATCAATGAAGAAAATCAGATCAGAGCTGCTGTCTATGTTTAAAGCACGGGCAGTTTCTCCTTATGGTGACAACAACATCACAGAGTGAATGTTTACAATCATACATGCTCTGATATATCGGTCCTGGTGCTATTTTAGGGGGCAGCCATTTTTAGAAACTTGACTTGGATATTACAGCTCGGCTGGGTGAGTGATGGGGTGGGGTATCTGTCAGGGTAGTAAAGTAGACTTAGCTGAAATCTCATAACATCTCTCTGCAACTGAAGAGACAATGCTGCAGAGTCAACATCAGCACTGGGAAAAGACGAGTGAAAGTTGTCATGAATTCACTGAAAATAGGAATATTTTCAAGAAAAGTGACGATGCACAAATGAGTCATGTCTCAGAGGCCTAAATGTTCTTTAAGTTAGCGTGTTTAATCCAGTCGTGAATAAAAATGTGCTATGTTCAGTGTGCAGCCTGTACCATAAATCGCCTTGATCTGCTTCACAAACACACTTTAATGTTCAAAAATAGATCTCATTCTTGAGCTGAAAGTGAAAACATATAGACCTAACGAGGACAGCTCTTCCATCTGTCATCTCTCGTGTGTGAAGACGACGTCGACGTGTCTCTTCAGTCTTTACTCTGAAAGGTTAACTCACAGGTTGACGGTGGATGCGCAGGTTTAAATCCATCCAGCTACATTTATTCACACCTCGAAACAACTACAGACCTCCACCTTCAGCTGCTGAGTAAGCAGCAGCGGTCAGATGGCTTGTTCAAGGACGACTTGCTCCTGAAATAGAAGCAGAGACTCACTACAAACCTCCTCCGGGTTTTCTGCGCAAATGGAAAGTAAACAAAGTGACTTTTACTGTCCAGAAATTTGACCCACTGTGGCCTCTTTCGTAATCCTACATTCCTCTAACCCTAATCTGGTGTTGGTCCTACATGTATGCAGGTTTACACCAGCGTGACTCCGTCTTCTAACACTCCAAGTAAAGGTTAAACCTCCTCGGCTCTGTCGCCAGCTTAAGGTATATGAGCAGATTTGGAAAGATGCTAATCACCCCTCAACATATGTTCAACTCTGTGTGTGTCAGAGCATCGACTGGGGTCAAATACTTAACCAGGAGCACGTGCACACACCCACTAAAAGAGAAAACAACGCCTCATGAGCATGCAGGACTCTGCGGTGATTTGTGGTTGTCCACGCTGCTGCTGCTGCATGGCTGGAGTTTAATTTTAAAAAAGGGAGGCACGGGGGAGGGAGGAGAAAAAGAATAGAAACAGAGGGAGGCGGAGGACATGAGTGAGAGGTGTAAAGCCTGTTGGTGCTCCAGTCAGACCAGTTTTTCAAGATCTGCGCTCACAATACAGCCTGCAAACACTTATACAATATACTGCAGCAACATTTATATTAAAAAGCACACCCTCAGTGTGTCAGTGCGGCCCAGAAATCATATTTCAGATAATCAAACCAGGCCACAGGTGGGTATTATTTTTAGTTTTACTGTCTGGCTTCAGAAATAACTGTGGAGAGTTCAGCCTCTGCACCTTCAGTCTGCGACATCAGCAATGTAACATGTTAATACTTGAATCTACGATGCTAATAAAGCTCTCAAACCTCAATGGGGACAAAGGTCAGACGGTGCCAGAGTCTGTTTGTCGCATTAATCTGATGATATCGGTTAATTAATGGGTGTGTGCAGGCGGGTGGCTGTAGATTACAGCTAATTGAGAGTAATAAACAGGAGCACAAACATCATAAAAAGGCAGGTGCAAAATCCAGGAGGGGTATTTTAATCCAAACAAAGTTCTCCTTCTCATTAATGGTTAACTACATACACAGGCAATATGACTATGTCGAGCTGTGAAAAAACACCATACATTGGTTTAAACTCAGCCATGACTTTTTATGAACACCTGAAAAAACTTTTAAAAAACTTTTTAAAACTTCTGAATCCACACAAGAGCCTGATAACACACCACCACAGACCACAGGAGAGCACCGTCTTTAATGGCTGTCCTCACTGAGTGTTTCGGCGTCAAACAGGACTGTGTCTTTTCTACCGCAGTGTTTTCGCTCAGAGGTGCAGCAGCACCTGAGCCGTAGGTGGGTCTTGGCCAAAGTTCAAGTTGTTGTATTGTGACTCATCAACAACGTGAGCAGGAACTTTGTGTCCCTGCTGCCCTCACTATCCTTTAGAGTTGACACATGCAGGCTCTGGTCTTTGTTTCCCACAAACAGCAGCTCTGTAAGGACTGCGATCAAGAGGAGGTTTTTGTCAGTCCACCAATAAAGGTCAGTTTAGGTGGATGATAAGGTAAAGTCGTAAAAGCAGGGCTGTATAGAGGGGAAGTCAGTCAAAGCAGTGCAAATATCGAAAACAGGAGGTGCTGCGATATAATCAGCTATAGCTCTGTAGTAGAGGTCACTGCATGACCTGAAAACCACTTCAGAAACAGTCCTGTCTATGAACACATATATTTGGTTCTTTGTCTTTGCACTTTGTTAAATTAGATAAATGACATGCAAACCATCTAATTCGGGTTCTTATTGGTGTTACACACGCTGCCCCAGTCTTACTAGTACCTGCTCATAGTTCAATCATTAGAAGTGCACTCCCTGCTTTTTGAAATTTGGACAAGCAGGAAAGAAAAAATTCAATACCTACAGTATATGTTCAAAAAAATTTATTTATTGCAACAGTCCAACTGCAACTGGACTTTTAAAAAACATGTAAAGCTGTTAGTCCAGCTGAAATTGCACTGAATACAGAGTCAAATGGGAGCATGTCACTGCCAACCATAGTGGATACAGATATGCCTCTGTCAATTAATCAATTCTTGCTCGGGACAAGGACTGGAGATGAATTAAATCACCTATTTGAGCTATAACTGTACCTCCACCCAGTAAACATACTGACTGTGACTGTGTCAGATGCCCCTCTCTCTGGAACAATAAGCCCAAGGAGATCTAACTGAACAGCTTCTTATCCTCTTTTAAAAACACATTCTTAAGATCGACTGTGCCCTGCTGGGAGGGGCCAGTCAGGTGACCTTAACAGAGTTGATATCAGGCCATCGTGTTTGTGACTTATAACTTATTACAAAACCGGGGGGGGGGGGGGGGGGCTACCTGAAACCACACAAGTTTGTGTGGTTGTGGTTGCATTTGTCCTTCTAACCTTTGCATTTGCCGGTTTGTGAGCGCGTGTTTGTCATAAAACCAACGACTGACTTCAGTTAATGGCCAATGTTAATCTGAATTCTCCTCCTACTGTTTGTGCAGAGTCGCTGAGTCATTTGTGCGGTGTGACACACACACACACACACACACACTAAGACATATTTTCTCAGTGAGATGTAACAGTGTGAGTCAGTGTAAACATTCATCTTTTAAAGTCCGATCTGACTCTCAAGTGTTGATGGTGAGGTCACAATAAACACACACACACACACACACACACACACACACACACACACACACACACACACACACACACACACACACACACACACACACACACACACACACACACACACATACACATACACATACACATACACATACACACACACACACACACACACACACACACACAGCTATCTCCTTAAAAGTCCATGAATATTTCTTATTCTCTCAGGACTGACGTTTTTCCAGCTCTCGTCCACAACAGGAAGAGTCGTTGCTCACAAAAATGTCCTGACCTGAGTATGACTGTGACAGGAATGTTAACTTCAACACACTCTTGGTCACACAACACAAACAAATACTGTCTTTTTATATCGTTTTATTACTAATCTAGTTAATGTATTAACCAATCATCTCCATCAGCTTCAAATGGACTAACCCCTGCTATATGACAGAACTTCTGTCCCTGTATCAACTGGGATCATCTGAACAAACCTGTCTGAGGACTCAGAGTTGTGAGGTTGGGGGCTTTTCTATCCAGCTAGACCCCAGGATGAGGTGTTCCTCCTGAGGTCTTAGATCGTGATGATGACATTAACTGATGATCCAGTGGACACATGAGAACAAAAACCTCAAGAATGAGATAATTCACTGATCTTCTTCCTCCCCCTTTCACATGTGTGTGTGTATGTTTGTGTGTATTCTCCCTGGTGAGCAGACAGGCTGTTTGTTTATGACCAGCGTGATTCATGCGTCTATAAAGATGCTCAGTGTTTCTCACAGAACAGGGTCAGTCTACACACAGGCCGAGTTAGATCACTGCTGCATTCACATGCTTCCTCCAGCATCTGGAAAGACGTATGAATGATGATCAGCCTGTATACTAAATTTCCTGTGCTGTAATTCCTGGTGGTTAGTGTTTTTTTTTTATTATAGCTCAGGTTTGTTTACGCTCTATCTTTGGTAAAAGATTCTAAGCTGCTCGCTTCTTCTGTAACACTTCTAAAGCCTATACATTTTCTAAATCGATCAGCTGTTGCCTCACATCCAGAAATAACTGGTGTCGAATTTAAATGATCTCATTGTGTGACTCCTCTCCTCTCCTCTCCTCTCCTCTACGCGTCTCTGCCCTTCCTCTGTTTCCAAATGAGTGCTCCTGGAATGTGAGAGCATAATTTTGTTTACAGGACAAATATGAGCAGCTTCAAACTCTGACACAGGTCCACTTTGTGACTCTTCAGAGTATTTACGCAGCCTGCAGGGTACCTGTAACTGCTGGAATGAATATTCATCCGCCAAGAATCCTATAAAAAATAGACCCTCTTGTCAACAAGGACTGTATAGAAATTGATGTTAAATGTACGGTATATTAGTTGTTACATAGATGCCTAAAAACTTTACTTAATAAGCTGAACTGAGGAATACGTGAGGCAGTCTTGTCCACAAAGAACAAAGCAAAGACAGCGTTTTTGAGTACAACAGAGCTCTGTATACCAATGAAAAGTCTCTGTTACTCCTTTTAAATCCAGCTGAAGCCCAGAGGATTTTTCTACAGACTCACACTCACTACACACAAATATTCCCAACGGCTGGCTCCAGCAGTTTCTTTCCTTCTCGTGGAAAAAATTCCCTTCCTGGCACGCTGGCTCTAAATGCCACTCTCTCCAAAAAGGTCTCAGCGGATTATTCCACATGTGGGGTCTCTCCACAACATCCCCTCTATCCGGCCTCCCAGCGGGTAAAAGTGAAGATCTCACCGAGGAGAAAGTGGAAGTGATCCCTGGATTACTGGACCTGCGTAATGACTGTTTGTGCATAAATAAACGTGTGGGAAATAAATGTGTGTAAAAGAGAGATTAAGACTGTGCAGTGTTATTTCCCACCCACCAGGATTTGAACACATGTGTACATGTTCACAGAGTGGATGCAGCAGACAGGCAATGGCGGTGCTGCTCCTTTTTTAGTTTGTTTACAGCGTGTAAACAGGCACTAAGAGGTGGATATTTTCAGGATGGAAACAGAGGGGAAAGTTATGTTGAGAGCCAAAGAAGGAAAGTCAGTAAATCAGCTAGACTTTCACATACACACTCCTGAAAATGTCAGGAAATTTCTAGAAGCTCTGTGAAGTTGTGTGATGGCACATCAAGAGACAAGTCTTACAGTCTTACAGTAACTACATGTCTACATCGCAAGCACGGGGGAGAAAAATGTATGTTCTATGTCATTAATTTTTAAAGTTTGTCCACAGCTCCATAAGGACTGCTGGAGGAGGCGGGATTTATGACCTATACTGCAGCCCATCACCAGAGGGTGCTGTTCTCGGGGTGGCTTCACTCAGCGAGGAGGCAGATGGCGTCCATTCTGGCTGCAATGCACACACACACACTCTCTGTCTCTCTTTATCTCGCTTTACCTCATGCCTTGTCTTTGTTGATTTTTAGTGGTTTCTTCTTAGTTGGTGTTTGCTGGCTTTTTGTCGGCAGACTCTGGCATCGAAACTTGGAATCGAAATTTAAAAATTTGAACAGTACCGAAAGAATCAGAATGTTAGTCCCAGTTCCCATTGATGCTCGAGACTCGATGCCCAACCCTAGTTACAATGCAAAACGATACTGTACATCATAATATGATATGATACCTCGTGATATGATAAAATATGATTCAATACAAAACATCAAATCATGATTATTAGATATATTATGTAAGTTACTGTTCAGGTAACCCTCACTTATGCCTCGAGTGCAACTGCAGAATTTTCAGGACGTAACGTGCAGTGACCGTATTAAATTTAATTGGAGCACCACATATGATACATAGCCCCAACAAATTATTAGTTATTTCACATGCCATGACAACAAAATTATAATTTATTATATACTGATATTTTGTCCCACCTTTAATGTTTAGACATCATCCCACAGCCTCTTCTTTCTTTCATTAAATCTGTCACTTGTAAATCTTAAACAGAAGTTTGTTTTCTTTCAATGAGGACATCTTCATTGATGCCTCAGCAGATATCTGCCTTTATCTCTCACATGAAGGACAGAAATACAAACACTGTAGAAACCCCAGCAGGTTCAGAGGTGTGAAGTGTTGAAAAAGATTTCAGGCTGTTTTTGGCTTTGACCTCCTGCTTTATTGGCCCTCCACCAAACCAGACTATTAAACCTTAAAAGCAGCCGGATAATCTGCTTGTAGAGTTGATTGACTTTGGATTACTTCTGAGTGTTGATGATGCAACAAGAAACAGGTTAAGATCCCAAACCCTGGTCTTAATTTCTCTGTAATGACTCACCACTGAGTTACAGCTCATGCAGGGCAACTTCTTCAAATATTGACCAAACCAATGAAATAAATAGAAGTTTAACAGACAAAACCGGCTAAATATTGAGTATAAAGTTAGAGAGCAATTCCCTGACAAAAGTCCAAAATGTTGAAAAAATAAAAGTCAAAACATTTTAAGACTGAAGTCGACTTAAGTGGTGATGTCACACATCTGCACAAGGTCAAAGCACTCCTATACCTGCGAGTAAAACCGGCTCCACTCCTTTTTGTGTTGATTCACTTGTGAATGAAAAGCCAACACATGATAAAAAATAACAGTGAGCTTGTAGAAATCCAACATGTCATCTTCTTACCTGCACAGTTGGACATCCAAATCGGTTTAAGTTCAAACCAGCGCATGATGCTCCCTCAGTCATTACAAACCATCCAGACACTGATGTTCACAATCACATTGAACCACCGCCGCCTTTACTTTGTCATATTTTTGGACTTTGCTTTCTCCTAACCTTAAAGAATTTGCTCATGTTTTGTTCACTGAGCAGCAGATGAAGTAGCTCCTCCTTTGATTGCTTACAGAACCTGCATGAAGTAAATCCCATCAGCAGAAGAAGAAGAATCCTTTACACCTCAACGGAGTATCTTACTGCACTTATTTGTGAGGTTTTGCTCCATTTGTAGCTTATTATCATTATTTATGGCTTTAAACATCATTTATCATTAACTAGCAGATATTTACAGATGAACCGATGGCTAACATCAGGGAGCTTTAGGGAAGTTTTGCAACTGAAATGATCGACTTCAGTCATCTTCCCTTTCTTGTTTTATGGATATCAGATAAAATACTGATGAGCCTATTATTAAATGTATTGATAACTACAGCAGCTCAGTCTCGAAAATAAGTGTATTTTAAAAAATCTCCAGTGAACTTGTGTACCTGGAAAACTGGAAAATATGAAGAACCATGTTGAAGATTATTCCGATTTATCTCCAGAAATTAAATCAGCTTCATTTGAAACTCTGTACTTGTGCAGTCAGCAGCACTCTTGTCTTGTTTTTTCATGTGGCAGCTCTCATTAAGTGACTCATCTTTATGTTGAAGCTTCGAACACACAAACAGAAACTTTCACAAACAGACACAGTTTGCTTGATCAACAGATTCTGGACCTGATGGCTTTACTGTGAGCGGCGCCTACTTCCATCTGTCACGAAGCGAAACTCTGAGCGGAGCTGAACTACAAGACAGATTGCTGAGCGCCGGTGAGCTCTAAGTGAGGGGCTGACAGGTGGAGAAGGAGAGGAGGAGGTGGAGGAGGAGAGGAGGAGAGGAGGGTCACAGGCAGAAAAGGGAAGTGTGTGTGTGTTTGTGTGTGTGTTTGTGTGTGTTTGTGTGTGTGAGGCGGGACTGATTATCCAGGCAGAGCTGTGCTGAGTGTGACATTTAGAGGGCGGGTTGTGTTCATCACACTGAGTCAGAGGGCTGCTGAAGTTATTAAACTGCTCCTTTAATGAGTCCTGACATCAGTCGCTACGCAGCAGGTAGAAGTAGGTGAGGTTTATATCATCACATCATGTGCAATCTGCATGCGTGTGAAGAATCTGCCTCAAACTCTCTTTAGCTCACCACGTGTAAAAAAAAATGTCAGTACCTGTAGGATGAGGACAAAGTAGTCGACAGGTTTCCCTCTCTGATAGATGTAGTGATGTGGTGATCGCTTGTCATTGTCGTTGAACTTGATCTCCTGGATCACCTCATGATGGCGCAGGATTCTCAGCAGCACTTTGTCTGAGATCTGAGACGGGTTGAACAAGCTCACCTCTGCAGGAAGAGATAAAGAAATTTACTTTGGTGCAAGAAACTTTCTACTGTCTCACATCACAATAAAATCTCGCCACAAACTTCTTGACCTTGATGAAGTCAAATAAAAACATACATGAGCTAAAATCCTCAAATCCACAGATGCAACACAAACAAGCAGCAGGGCCTCTCTTACTACAGCTGATCTGCTGACAACGCAGATCAAGGTTCTCGTCAGCTTACTCATTCATGCTCTCGTCTGTAGTAAAACGTGTCATTACACAATGTGGTGTGTGCCAAGTACATGTGTCAAACACAAACCGAACAACTTTCAACAAAGGGAAGGAACTCATAAACTTTACAGAGACAGACTTAATGAATTAAAAGGATTACAGGGATTTAAGACTGAGTGATCAAGAGGAATTAGAGACACAGTCAAGATCTGATGTTTCAGGGACGTAACACGACTCAACAATTAAAGCTTTCTGATGAAGTGAGTCGCTGATGAAACTGAAAGATAATACGACTGAAAGGTAAGTGACAAAAAAAGGGGGGGCTGGTTTGGCTCAGAAGTATAAGCGTTTGTCTGTTTTAAGTCCAAAACGACACAAAATTTCTCCAGAAACGGTGCTGGCTGTAGAGACAGCAACATAACCTTGGGGGTCAAATATGTACGATCAATCTATGTCCTCTAAAAGTGCTTGGGGACGCAAATGACAGACTGGTTTTGCTTTTGTAAGAGTAAAGTCCTCCCAGAGAGTGAGCGCTTTCAGTACGGCTGTAAGACTCTGATCTTAAGACATGAAACATCAGCACAAAGCCCCTGAAAGGTGGTTTTTCACTGCTTATAGGGCAGAGTGGCATTGATACAGATGAAAAGCATCAGAGACCATTAATAATAGGACTGATAGTGTTCAAAGACTAATGTAAAGTAAACAAATAACCCCAATGACTTGATTTCACAGATCCTTGTTTTATGGGGCTGTTGACTAATGTGCAAGCTTATCATGAGAAAAAGGTTCCATATATTTGCTTTACATTCATTTCTCAACAAACCGTCGACAGGGCTGTCGCAATAAAGGCTCAACCATAAAGCGCCTTCAACCCCACCCAAACTGAGAACAAAGAAGGAGTCCAACCTGCAAACAAATCCCTGCACAGCCCACAGTGAGAGGTGAGGCAAATACGACCGCTGTCGACATCCATCATGAAAGAGGCAAACACGCTCCTTTCACTCTTGGTAACGTATTAAGTGAGCGAGTCCATCAGGTTTACTCAGTATGATAAAAAAGCTGCTGTGTGTGGGTGAGAGTGATGACTCAGGTTAATAAATTGATCTTTTACCAATCTCTACTTCGGATCCGGTAGTAAAATGTTATTCCTGATCAGCACTTCTAAGTCCACATGCTACCTTTAAATACAAATCAGCCTTTAGCAACACAAGCCAAAGAGGTGATTCCAACACAAGACTTTGAGTTTTGAGGTGGCCAATCAGATTTCAAAGGTGGCCCTGGCTACACCGGACCACTTTCTGGATCTGCTCATGTGTAATACTCTTGCAAGATTCCCCGACAGTTTTGAATTTGCTGTGTCTGAAATACCCTCCTCAAATGTAAGCGACCCTCCAGGTGTCATATGTCAGGCTTGAGGAACCACAGACCAAAAGCAGTGTGAAAAGAGCTGCATGATAATCACTGATGTCAGCAAAAACAGACAAGAGGAACAGACACCACCGCGGCTGAATCTCAAAAAAAAGAAACAGGATTTTTGTTTTAAGAAACAAGAGTGAAAAAAAGACACTGGCATCCTTAGAATCAAACCAAAACAGAGCCTCTATCCCTGCAGAGACACCAGACTGTGATTTCCTCTTGTAGGAAGTGTCTAAGTCTAGGAAGTGCTACGTCATGCTAACGGTGGTTAGCATGAGCAGCTTCTGGCAGCTGTTAAACAGGACATATCGCAACATGTTCTCAGGTGATCTGTAGCAGCGTGGAGGAATCACAGCCAGCTGGCCTAACTCCAAACTCTTCTTGTGGTGGTAAGCACGGTCGGGCAGGCTTACCGCTCCGATCCTAAATAGGTCTTCCAAGTAAATAAACACATTTAAAGCACCTCCCTCCCTCCCTGCCTCTCTGCCTGCATGCTTAGACCTGCTGAGCATGTCAGAAAGGAAGAGGAAAGAATCCATCCTGAGAGTGATCGTGATACGTCTCCTCACTCGAGACATACTGTGAACGTACAGCTGGATTATGGAATATAAGTGATCTACTGACTGTGTTTGAGTGTTGTGATGAAAGTGAGCATCATTCAGTCCCCACCTGTAGCCAGGAAGCGATGAGCAGCTAGCAGCAGCTGAGGAGAGACCTTCACTTTTGATTCGCTCTCGTGTTTGAAGGCAGAGAAGTCTCTCTTGTTCTTATTGGGCGCCACCTTTTTCCTCGTACGGTTATCAGCTGAGAAATGAGACACATTCAGATCAATGTTTAACACAAGCATGCACATTCAAAGAATCAAATCTACAGCTCAATCTTGAATCCCTTTGCAAAATTACTTGGAAACCATCAGTTTAAAATAATCTCAAAAATAAAAGGAAACATTTTGAGCTGATAAATGTCTTAATAACACAGAAATATAATCAGAAGTCCAGGCTAAACTTTATAATATGTGAGAAATGGATTTTGGTTCAATCAGGATGTTTTTTCTTGCCTCGGTTGCTTTAAGAACTTTGTAAGATCTGGCTTCAACCTGACAGCAGACTCTTAAAGCAATGTTGAAGAGTGTGCCGACCCAGAAGCTCTTTCAAATGTTGTTTTGGCTCACCTCAGATGTTTTCAGTAAAGGTAGGACTTCTATGTTTGTTTCATAACTACAAAACTGTGTAAAAAGTAACACCCACATGCTTCATCTACCTTTATATCACTGGAAAGCAGCTGAAATGTCTCAGAGGCTGAATGGTGCTAAAGTGAGCATTTTACAGGTAAAAGGTCCAGTTTAGTGTGCTATACAAATTAAGTCTTAGATAAATGAGATCTTATGCTGTAAATAATGATCTAAGAGTGTCACAGACAGGCATGATTGTAATAGGTCTCCATTAAAGAAGAATCATAAATAATAAAGTGATAAAAAACAGAAAAATGAGACAAAACAAATAAAAGCAAGGCTTTGTAAAAACTCACTGTAAAGATCTGATTCATCCAGAATCTCGCATTTGATGATCTCCTCGATCACATCCTCCAGCGTGACCAAACCCAGCACCTCGTAGAACGGGTCTCCCTCGCCCTCGTTGTTCACCTTCTGCACAATGGCCAGGTGGGATTTTCCTGAAGAAGACAAAAGAGTTTAAAGACATGAGTGGGGTTTTAAGTTGAACAACATATCCACTCTTTAAGGCCTTTATTCAAACTCAAATCAGCATGAGAGTAGATCATCTACTGCAGTGCTGTGGCTGTTTTGAACTACTAATTTAATGAAATATATCCCTGATCAATGCCTTTTTGCAACCCATTCACAGTGATTGTGGTGTATCTTTATAAGAACCTCAAAATCTTCATCATATTACAGCTCCTACACCCATGAGCTCAGCTGTACAAACCTGGCCCACACCCTCAGTCATGACAAACAATCATATCATGATAGATTCCTATATGAACACCTCTCTTTTTGAACAATAAACCAACAGCCCACTCCCTTTGCTTGCACCACAAACAGTCTGTTAATGTGTACGGGCCATTACAGTCAGGGTTGGGTCTGGACTTTGGCCAAGAGCTAACAGTACAACACAAAATCATGCACAGAAACTAAGACACACAAACACACACACACACACACACACACACACACACACACACACACACACACACACACACACACAGCTAAACTCCTCTCATGACAAAGTGATCAAAGTGCAGATGGACGCTGGCAAGTTGGCCTTGAGTTCTGAATTATTAATAATGCACTCAAGACTAAATCTGGGAATTTGGACCCCAGGTGGATCATTCTCTCCTCATCAATACAGACGAAAACTGTGTGTTTGTGAAGGTTCACAATTGCAAGAAACTTTTTTTGAACTACTCTTGGAAAGACACAATACATTTCAAACCAAACAAGAAAGAGACACGAAACGATAAGATACAATAGGATATGAAATGATACATGGCACAAAACGCTTCGATTCGATACCATACCAAACATGACACGAAATGCTTGGATTCTATACAATAAGATACGATTCATGACACAAACCAGTTGGATTCGACACGACACGATACGACACATGACATGAAACGCTTGGATTGGATATGATACGATACGTTACCAAACATGACACGAAATGCTTAGATTCTATACGATATAGTACAATATGACACAATTCATGACACGAAACTCTTAGATTCGATTTGATTTGATTAGATACGATTTATGACACAAACCAGTTGGATTCGACATGATATGATGCATGACACGAAGCGCTTAGATTCAATATGATACAATACAACCAGAATAACTGAAATATTCACTGAAAGTAAAAAATTGGAAACACTGTCCAAATCCAACACAAAACTTTATATGAATGCATTCTGCTGATTTTTTTTATCAAAACTTGAACTTCAAAGCAGCTACACACAGCAGCACAGCCACACAGCCATACTAGTTCAAGCTAGTCGATCAAAGGACTAAAAATGTAGGAGCGGAGGAGGAAGAGAGGCCCATCACCTGTGTTTGTTTCTAAAACCAGATCAACAGGATCTACAAACAGCTCTTATGTCAAGCAATTAAAAGACCAGTGGCTATAATTGTTTGTCTTTGTGAGCGTGTGTCCTTGATGCTTTCAGGTTAAAGCGCGCAGTGCTGCTGCAACGACACGCACGCCACACATTCTCAGCTCTGACCTTGACGGTTTACCACACAAATAGAAGCAATGGACTTTGAGGAATCCATCAGGCTGGATTCAGTCTGAAACTATGGGATGTCATGGGGGGGGGTTGTGTGATGGGACTGTATGTCCACTCTGTTTTTTTTTTATCTCAATTAGTCAGTCATGGGGAGGAGGGTGTTTTACATGATCCCAGCATGTTCTTCTTATCATGTTTTTTATGTAAGTTTTTTTGCCATGAGTCAAGAAACTTGGGAAATCTGGTCCTTAAGTTTTTTTTTCTCTGGAACCAAGGTCTAAGTTTAGCTTCAGGAATTTAATTTAACCCTGAAATCCCTGCTCGGGAGGAAGCGTGACATCTCCCCATACATTTCTCTCAGCCTAATTTTGTATCCCTTGATCACTGCATAAGGAAGGAATGATGTGACTTCATGGGATCTGTGAGTGTAATCATTTCCCTAAAGATGAAGTCCTGAGTCAACAGAGTCCCACGATAAGAAAGCCTCAGAGTACATTATTCATGAGCTGATGGTTGTTTTTTTCACACAAGATGACTGAAGCAACAAAAATAGAGACATCATGTAATGGAAAAGGAACTCAGTATGTGTGTGTGTGTGCCTTTGAATGTGTGTCTGTGTGTGTGTGTGTGACCTCTCCCCGCAGTGCTGAGTCAATATTTCGGAGGAAGTGGGCACCCGAGGGACACACTTGACCCCGGTTACCGGAGAGTCACTTGAGTGTCTATTGACTCCCTTAGACCCCCCCCACACACACACACAAACACACACACACAGACACACACAGACACACAAGCACACACACAATCACACATTGTAGAGGGAAACGCAGCCAAACTCAGGCGGTCTCATGCGCTCAGTGTCTGACCTCCATCAGCTGGGTCCACAATCAGAGACACCCACAAAGCCGGCTTGCTCCTATGTGGCTGCAGCTGATGATTCTCCGGACGATGTGTGTGTTTGACTTCAGAGCAGTGTGCTCACCTCAGGCTCACACACACACATACACACATAAATACACACAGCTGTCAATCATCAGTTTGTAAATCTGAAGTGACAGGATATAAAATCCATCCTGTCTTCAGAGCTGACGTTGCTCTGAGAATATTCTGACTGTTCCCTCCTGCTTCATTGAGAGGTCTCATATTTTATCACCACGGTTTAGACTTTCACTGCTACGCAGACGACATTAAGATCTATCCCCATTCAAACCCAGCAGCATCTGTGTGTCTCACATTATGTCCTGTCTGACTGAAATCAAGACCCGGACGTCCAAAAATGTGCTGCAGCAGAATGACCCCAAATCTGAAGTTATTGATTTACCCCCCCCCACCCCTGGCTCTGCCTGCATCGATGATCCACTCTCCTGTCTTGACGCCTGATCTAATAAAGTTCCTGAAGAGACCTGCTACCTCAGAGTCTGACCTTTCCTTTGACACCAAAATGACCAAAGAGATGCAGTCCTGCTTTGCTCAGCTTAAGTGATGTACCCACTACAAGATTCCCTCTTCTGATAAAAGGCAGCAGAGGCCTGACTATCAGATGGTCCTACAGATTATCGTGCCTGTAGTTTGTTAGGACTAGACACTGTTAAATTTAACATGTTCAATATTTAAGATCAGAAATCCTTCTGCATGCGGACATCCGAGCATGCACTCTGTCCATCCTGTAGAACGAAATAGCCCATCAGGAAGTAAACTGTAACAAGAACACAACAAATGCAGCCATGGCAACGAAAGTAAACAAACAGCTTAAACCTAGATGGGGTCAGAGATAAAGAACCTGCTCTGAAATGTCTGTTAAAAAGCCACGAAACTTAAGAGTCACAGAGCGTAAAGTTGAAACAGAAAAGATTGTTCCAGAAAAACTGACTGAAGCTTTGCTCATTAGCAGAACTGACATCCACTGATAGGCTGCAGGTTCTTTTCATTTATGTCATTGAAATAATAAAACCATGAGTGTTTCAATGACACACATGAACACATTGAATTCTACTTTGATTTTAGAATTTATCAGTAAAAGACGGAAAAACTGAATTTTATTCAAAAGATGTGAGTCACAAAATCCTACCTTGTTTCCTTTTATAGGTTTATGTCATTCTAAAAACAAGATTTGGTCCTTTCCTTTGAAGGGGGGTGTCTCATAATGTGTCTTTTTAATCTCCTTGAGGGGACCTTCCTTAAAAGATAATGAAGTTGTATCTATTCTAATCTCAAATCTCATCTCTTACAATGAAGGTCATCTTTTATCCTGATATTGTATATCAATATATGAGCCTGTTTTCAACTGACCAAGGATATAGAACTCAAGATCTTTAATTTCAGGCTGCAAGTCATCACTTATTAGGAGGTAATACCTTTAAAGCTGTTTTTGGATTGTTTTTTTTTCTGCTTTGGTTAAAAATGAATAACAAATATGATTTCTTGTAGAAAAAACTTTTGTTTATGTTCTATAAACTTGACTTCTTTGTTTAAAAACTCATCATATCTTCATAAATACATTCATGTATAACTGTCAAGGGGAGGATGTGTTGTCCAGATATTGAACTGTTGGCAGTTGCTCTTCCGCCATATTATGTTCCAAGGGAGTTCAGTCATATCATAACAATGCTTGTATACATCCCACCCAAGGCAACAGCTGAAGTTCCGTAAGATATCTTCTATGAAACAATCGCTAGGATGCAGACTCAACATGTGACAAACTAGCGAAAACAGTGGCTCTGTGGTTGGAATCAAGTTGGACTCGCTGGAGGATGTGATGGAGAGATGCACACTGAGGCCATGGTGGGGGCCATTCTAAACAAAAAAACATGGATCATCCACTTCATAACACTTTGATGGAGGTGGCGGTGGTGGACGGCTCCTTTCTCTTTGCTGCAGGGCGGAGAGATTCAAATGATCTTTTGATCCACAGCCATCTGACACCTTAATTATTCTATAAATACTAGATGAGATGAGATTCCAGACAAACAAATGTCCGTCTGGATTAAGGCTGCACGATATTGGAAAAAAATAATATTGCGATTTTTTTCAACCCTGCGATATATATTGCGATATTAAAAATACAGGAAAACAGTTAACCTGCTCTGATCTTACCTCTTTTTGTGAATGTTAGTAGAACGGCTTCTGTCTGTCTCAGAGATATTTTTAGCTTTTATTGTGCTGGGACGTTATTGTGGCGACAGATGAACACAGAACACGTGTTTTGGTCGACATCATCCTTCTTTTAACCGAAATAATTCCAGATAACCGACTTTCCTTTTCTTTTTGGCAACAAATCTTGATTTTCGGTGGTTTTCTCTTGTTCGTTGTTCATTTTGTAATCGTTGTTGTTGTTGTTAGCGGTGTTGTGCCGAGAAACGCATGTCCTCCGAGAATTGCATGCACCTCGCAAAACGCGCACTGCTTATAGTAGAGTGGTCCACGGAAATATACATTTTAAAACCCATACAGTTCTTATTTGTTGGGCTTAATAGTCATGAGTAAAGTTCCGAAAGTAATTCTCAGCGGACACACGTCTCCCTCCATGTGCAGAACATGTGCAGGGGTGGGTTTTCTCCTCCCTGATTTTGATTGACAGCTGGCAGGGTAGTCTGATTGGCAACTGAGAAGTGAGTCTGATTGGCAACTGAGTTAAGGACGAAGGTGATTGGTGGATCGCTGCACAGCACATGCAGAGTCACATGGGGTGTATCTCAGTCCGTTACCCTTGAAATTAAATGAGTTCATTCACCTCCAATATCGCAGGCTCTGCGATGTGACTATCGCACACACGTACATCGCGATGACGATAGTCAAACGATATATCGTGCAGGCCTAGTCTGGATCAATAAAGTCCTTGTATTATAAACTAATCGCTTTCATTTTAGTTTTCTTTGGAGCTTGAGAAGTTCATAATTGGTATCAGCTGATCTGAAAATTTTAGCTTGTATTATTATCGTCCAACAAGGGAATGAATTAAGCATAGAGCTTAGACATGTTGGCTGTATGAAAATGTTTTAAAGAGTTGGAAATGTCTATATTTGAAAAAACAATAGAATCAAATAAACAGACCTTCACATAAGGGCAACAGGTAAGTTATATTACGAGAGAAACTTTTCATATTTTACGAAGAGAAAAATGAGTGTATATATTGGTATCAGTCAAAATGAAAATAAAGATATTGGCATTTCAAATATCAGTAAAAGTCCAATATACAGTATGTGTCTGTGATCATAGTAAGAATTATGTGCTTGAAACTAGATCAACCAACTATTTCCTTCGCACTAAATCTATAAACCCTCCATGAGAATTGAGAGAGGAGCAAAAGAGGAACTGAGAAACACATCCACCTTTGTCAGAGATACTAAAGGCTGCTGAGTAAGGCAGCAGCTTCTCTTTTTTTAAGGAACAACATGAAGCTCTAACAGCAACACCTTCCTCCACATGAGGTTTCAGAGATTCAGACGATTTCATTTCACAAGATTTCATGTGTGTTGAGGTTTGTTTTCTTATCTTTAGTTTCATTTTATCATTAACTGGCATGAATCAGTGTCTCAAAGATCTCTCTCACACACATACACACACACATGCATGCACAGATACTCCCAATGGGTCGAGTGACCTTCCCGTCTGTTTCTCTGCCCTCTAGCTCTCCCCTCACCAGCCTTGCGAGCCGGCCTGTTTGTTGACATGAAACATTGGCGACAAAAGGACGAGGGGGAGCGTGATGAGTCTGTATGGGAAAGGAATGCCACACGCATACCGCCCACGCACAAAACACACCCCGGCTGGACGCACATCAGCAACCCTGACCGCAGCGTCGCACTCCAAAACATGACCGCTGAGACAAAGACGTGTGACCACAAATATGCACCCAACAGTCACACATGCTTGATCAAATACAGCATGAGCAGGTTCGCTGTTGAAGCCCTGCTAACCTGCTTTTATAGCCAAATCTTAGAAACCCTTTCAGCTTTTCAAAAGAGGGTTTAACCTCAACCAAAGAACCCGTCCCTGTTATGTGGTTGAAAAAATCTTCATTGTAAATAATAAAATGACCATAACTGGTCTATAATGATGAACATCAGGTTTAAGATGGGGTGAGACAACCACATGTGCTCTTGTTTGAGACAGGGTGTCACTTCAGCAGAGCTCCTCTTTCTTCCTGCTGACTTACACTGTTATGGCACACAGTACGCAAGTGATGATGTGACACACACCAAACATACACACTTAAGTCAGAGCTGAGAGGACTGCGGCTGCAGTGTCAGCACTTTGAGCAACAACAGCAGGAAAGGAAAGGAAAGAAGGCGGCTGATAAGGATGCTTCAGATTTCCAGCTGTCAGTACAGCACAGATACATGACTAAATGATAACGAATGATACTCTTTTATGTGGGAGTGTCATTCATAAAAAGTGCTAAACCATCATGAGATTACTGCAATATAAAACTGCATGTTAGGCAGTAAAACTATAATGACTGGGGTTTATCATAGAAGAGATCTGAAGCTGTCAAGGAGCTCAATCCACAAATCACAATGGTGGGGATGATCTCAGGCTGATCTATCCTTTTTAGCTCTATGTTCATGTCTCCCTACACCAAGGCTTGTGTGATTGCAAGGGTGGCCATTCTTGGGACTGTATCTCCCTCTACTAGAGCTAGGCTGGGGTATCCAGAACCAGATTGTAGTCTCTCAACTGTGAAACCGTTTCCGTATTTCTGAGATTCGAGGATTACAATAAGGTACTTGAATTTCTGTACTGCTTTTCAGTTATTTAAAGCAAATCAAAGCAAGCAATTTCAAGTTTGGCTTCACTAAATAGACAACAGCAAAGCAAGGAAGGACAACTGAGGAATGTTCATTTGTGGTATTATAAGTAAAAGTGGAGTTTATGAAGAAAATGTGGGCAGAGCTCTCAGAGAGCAACACTCATTTCTTATTTCGTAGGATTTGCTTCAAAACATTTTTTTCCAAGGACTAAAAATAAATCTAGGGTCTGTAATAAAAACCTGCTTAAAACCTAAAAATAGCAACAGAGAGTGAGATTATGTTTCCCTGAGCTGCTACTGCTTAAACAGTTGAGTTGATAAAAGAAAAATCTGCCCGTGAGTTTGATTGGTGAAAGTGTTTTTAGAAGCAGTCTTACACAACAGCGAGTATGAAACATGAGTTTTCATATCTGAGCCAATCGTGCAGGTTTGGTCTTCAACAAATGAAATCACAGAGGTAAAGAGAAGGAAGTCAGCTGATGTGAGCGTGATTCTGTGTGTGTGTGTGTGTGTGCGTGTTTACTCTCTGTGAGTCATCAGAGCACCTGAGGGTTGGTCTCTTTTAAATAGAAAGCCAAATATTTGTTGACATACAAACAGAAGGAACTACCAGCAGAATGATACAGAGGACATGAGAACGACTTTGAGATCCAGTCGTTCTTTTGGTTTTTCATTATTCTGTGAACCTTGCTAACGTTATACCTATGCAGAAAAACATGCAAACTCCACAGTGCAGGATGCAGCTCTTTTCTCTTTGAAAAACATTCACCTCTGCTCCAATCCCAACACTTAAGTCAAATTCTTTATTTTTGATTCCCATCAGGCAGCTACAGAGGAGCAGGAGGATGCAGGTGTGAATATCTGTGTGTGTGTCTAAAAAGCCGAGGGACAGAATGAGCACGACAGGAGTGAGAGGCTGCAGCAAGCACAAGAGTGAATAAACTGACTACAGGGGATGAATAGTGAAAGAAAATCTGAATACAATCAGTGTGACGTTGTGAAGGAGGTTATATAAAAGCCTGAAAAGACTGACTGATTTCTTCAATCTGCAGCCTGTGACAAAATGTAGCAAAACAGCTCAAATCCTTTATGTCACAGTGTAAAAATACAAGTGAAGATGCAGATGTTGAATCATGGGTGATTGTTTTTAAATAATCTTGATATCAATATCAATCAAAATAATCCAGATTATGAGTTTTGCCATAATCAGGCAGCTTTAGACATACTTTCACAGTGGGTTCTGTTTCCTGGATCTGACGTCGTGAATAATGTAGGAGGGACTCTGAAATGTTTCAGATTGTTCACTTATCTGACAGATTCCTGCTCCGAGTTCTCTTGTTTTATAAACATGATCTCTTCTTGCATGGCAACTTATTTTATGTATAACTGCAGTCAGAGTTGGATCTTCTACAGGTGGAACTAAAACAGCCCAAATCTAATCAAGAAGGAGGAGGTCGACAGCTCGCAGGAGGTTAGATAATAATTGGAGGTAAAGATGTTGGGTATGTGTAAGAAAGGACTGAGAGACACACCCAGGACACAAAAGGAGGAGTGGAGATTCAGGTCTGCCCTGTGTCAGCACCTATCAGGCTGAGGTTGGGTAATCTTCCACTCAACACTGGAAAGTAGTAGAAACTTCTAAAGTTGTTTCTGATACAGTCTCGCTCACAGTGAGGTTGGGGTCAAAGATTAAGATTTGTATTGGGCTGTGTGTTAAAGAGGAGGGAGTGTTAGGAAGAATGTGGGCAGAAGTGTGTTTAATGAGTGTGTGGCGAGGTACAAAGGTTACAGAGGTCAGGCTGTCAGAGCACATGACAGAGTCGTGACTGACTTTACTCAGCCTCGGCTTCAACCTGCTGCTGAGATCTGGAGTCTGCCATCAGGTCCTGCCTAGTGGGTGGGGTCTATATGAGACGCACCTGCCAGTCCGGCCAGAAGACAGAATAAAGCTACACAAACTTTCAGCATTAATCTAAGGAGACATTTTCCCACATGGAGCCACGTCTTAGTCAAATAAATGCTGCCAGTGTGCAGGAAGTTGTTTGGTTGCACAGCTACCAAACAGTCAAACGGTAACACACAGAACAAGGATCTTGAAGGCCGGGTGGGCTGAACAGATAAGTGATAAACAGCAGACAATGCAGACACTCCTGATGGTTAACAGACCCAACAGACGCTGCTTCATTTCCTGAGAGTGTTCCAAGTTTCAAGGCGTTTATCAGAAAGTCCTACACCTGCAAAAGGACCCAGATGCAATCCAATGTGGTCCATTTATAACAGAAGGGAAACACAATTCTAACACACGCACCTGTGAAAGTGTTGGTTATTTCCCCTCAGACTAATTAGCTGGCAAACATATTGTCAGAATAAGCTCAGTGTGACGGTCCAGTAGGAAACAATGCAGAGCAGTTGTATCGGGTTACGTTAGATTGCACAGGTGGTCATAATGCTTTGGCTGATCAGAGCAGCTGTTTTTTTCTGCTGTCCATAAAAACAAAAAAAATCAATCAGAAATAAACTAAAAAATTCTGTATTAAGATTTCATAAAATGTTTTTATCATCAAAACATAAGAATCTCATGAACTTTGTCTTTGATGTTTGTCATTATCATTTCCTACCACGACAGTCAGCATGTCATTAAATTTTCATCTCATCTAATAAGGTCACTGCTTAGTCCATCTTAAAGGTCACGCACACACACACTGAGGGATAAAATGTCAGAGTATACAGTAGGCGCCCCCATGAGTAAACAGCTCAGGTCCTGGGAGTAGATTTGATTATGTAGCGCAAGTCCTAAAGAAACCTGTGTACACAAACTCACACTGCTGGATGCCATCACCGTGGTAACAGATGCCGAGCAGCAAGAGAGAGGAACTTGAGCTGTTGGTGGGGAGTCGGCTCAGAGACGAGGCAGGAGGGCTGAGAGTAAATTAAACCCGTAGGTTACCCCGTCAGCGAAATCACAGCGTGGAGGCTGACGTGGGTCAGAGAAATGTTCTCAAACTTTTTCTTCATTTGTGATTTTAACTCACAACATGAATGTATGACGGTTTGACAATCAAAGAGTGCTGATAAGTTCACGCCCTTCATTGTTAATGGGCGCAGTGTACTGTGAAGCACACATAAAAACAGAGAGGACAACACCTTAAGTTTCCCTGACTGGCTGATACAAGATCTTAAATGCCCGCTTCCTTCATGTAAGCAGATCGAACATAGGTGAAACTTTTAATTCCAAATACATACCAAATAATGTTTCCTAACCCATCATTTCTGGTATTATAGTTAGTTCTTATTATGCGGAATTATGCACAAGTGTTTTTTCTCCGTCAAAGTTTTGTTTTAATCTATAATTTGATGCTACAAAACAAGGGTGCAACACTACGATTGACAGCTCTGTCAACCAATCACACTCCTGGAGGGCACCACATAAGGCAGGAGATGAAATAAACAGCGATTCAAGGGCCACTGAACTTTCCATAACTGTGGGCGTCTGACCCCAGACTCTGCTTTTCTATTGGCCGTGCTGAATTGGGGGATTTGGGGTTCCCTTTGTACAACTGGAGGAGGTGGAGCCGATAAAAAATATTAAATAAATACTCCTCATGTTTGTTTGATGACTTTTCAGGAAGAATCTATTTATCACTTATTGAACACAGAGCGGAGGAAAGTCAAAAGAAAACACAATCTGCTCTCACATAGAGCCACCTGAGTGAGATTTGAACAGTAAAAGACCAATCAAAGTTTCCACTGTGCAGGCTCTCCTCTCTACCGTATGTGCCACTTATGCAGATGTGTGGATTTGCATTGGTTCAGGGAGTGAAGAGTGACTTTGAGGTTCTTAACCTTTGCCCTTCCTCTCGTCTGCTGTCTCTACATTGTTGTTAGCTCTTAGTAAAAAAAAAACTTTACACAATTTGGTCCACGTTTTTTAACCCTATACATGTGATAGTGCTATGTGACTCTGAACTATCCAGGCCACTCAGGTCATGTGGGACAGATCTGCCTTCTTAGCCAAGAGTCTGAACTAAACATGGAGAAGCTGCATTCAGTTTTAAATGCTCGTCAAACTTACTTTCTTTGTCTGAAATAACACATAAATTATGATTGCCAGGGTTTGCTGCTTCTTGTGGCTGGTGGTCAATGTTTGAAAGAACATACAGATCTGTGCTCAGCAGTGACATTTACATTATGTTTGCATGTGTCATCCAGACCTCATGAAGTTCAAACACAAGGACAGAAAAGAGGCAGAGAAGCAGATGTAGTGACAGAACATGGTCACTAGTAGTTCAATTGTCACATGGCACGCAGGTGGATGAGAATTCCTGCCAACTAGAAAATCTCCCTGCATTTGTTTTGTTGGCTTGTGTTTATTCAGGACCCTCGCTGTCTTTAACCCACTCTATAACTGTCTTGCTGTGTTTTAGCATCTATTTTAACTGTTGAAGTTTTATCCAGTCTTGGCTTCTTGGCAAATGTCTCTCATATTGAGGGACCTTTCTTCACTGGCTCAGTTTTCCCTCAACAATCACTTCCAAACAGTCTGTGGAGACTAACACAGGTAAACACATCTTTACAAGCTAAGTTAAACTCAAAATATTCACCGTCTTTATGTAGACTAAAAATTGTATGTATTATTTATTTTGTATATATTCTATCATACTTAAACTAACTTGACTGACTGAATCTAAATTATAAGCCAGGTAGCTCTATTAAGGCCAGTATAATAATGCATAACCTTAGTTTTTACTGTGGTCTTACAGTCATACTGTAAACATCCTGTTAGTGACAGACGAAGGACGATTGTTTTCGTCTCTATTTTTTATAATCAAAACCAGCACACGCAGCAGAGGCCTCCCTGTCGCTCTGTGTGGTGTTTGTTTTCTCAACCTGATCAACTTGTGGGTGACTAATCCTTAACTGTGTTGCGCTCATGGCGAGTGGTTTCACTTCCACATATGACACTCAGGCTGACCACAGTTCTCATCCTGCCAGTACAAGAGTCACCTCTTTTTTTTTTTTTTACCCTCTTTGTCATAATGAAGTTGACGTTGGACTGAGTTTCCTCTAAGAAAATTTTTCATGCAGCCTTTGTTGCCCAAATTTGACCGTCTGTTCACACTCAGGTCCCACAGTTTTTTCTGTGCTGCACTGCAGGGGTGTGTCCAGACTTTCTGGTTGGGGTGGCACAACTGGGACTCTGACATAAGCAGGGATGGCCAGGCTATATATATGTGCCCACTCAATGAATATCAGCATTTACCCTCTCTGTCTTCACTAAATGCCTCATCAACTACACTTTAAGTGCATGTCGGTCAGATAATATATCTACTTAGGCCGATGATACAACAAGGTACGATTATCCTTTATAATTATTAAAGGGAAATGCACTGTTTTATAGAAAAATTTAAAAAAAAAGGCATTTACTGAAAAAAACAATTTCTTTCTCATTAAATAACTTACTAATCCCCTAAAAATCAATTTAGTATTTGATTACTCCAGCCTTAGATAAAATTACAGTTTATTGCACAGCCCTAACTTTTACTGAGTTCACGTTAAATATCAATTTTACAAAAACTCTACACATGATCCTGCTGACACAGCATGTCACCTCCATCACACATCTCTCATTTAATATTCTAACTATTTTAAGATCTTTAAAAAGATGATTTCCTGTGAATATCTGACAGACAGTTTTAATTCAGGCCTGTCTTCGATGCGGTAAACTTAACTCCGTTCCTTATACACTGCATTCTCATAAAAGCTTACTGTAAATCTCTCTGCCAAGCTGTGAGCCAACATAGTGTGTGTTTCAGTGTGTGTGGATGTGTGTGTAGGTGGTGCAGCTTGTTGCCAAACCCTCCCACCTCACCAGCCAAACCTACTTAGATGAGCTGCAGAGCCACGTCTTTGCCAAATGTCACACTAACACCAACATCCCAGCAGCAGCAGCAGCAGCAGCAGCAGCTCTAAACTCAATCAGCTGATCTGAGGTCTGTGCAATGCAGCAAAGCTAGCTGGTAATTAAGACACTCTATTCGATGACATCTGATGCAAACATGGAACTCAAACTACCAATCAAGTTCAGTCAAAGTTTACCTTTACTACTACGCCTCACTGACAGATGGAGAGGCTGCAGCAGAGAAGATCACCTCTTTCTCACAGTGCTCGGATGTAGACTGAAAGTGCATGTGAGTGTCTACTGTCTGTGACCTTGAGACGAGATGCCTGAGAGAGGAAAAATATATCCCTGCAGGGGATGGCGTCAGTGTGTGCGCATCCTCCTGAGAGAGTCTGCACATGTGTACGCCTGGTTTTGTTGTACTTGCATCAGCAGGTGCTCTTAAATTTTTTTTTTGTAAGTTCAATCTTGTGCTTATGTTTTTGTAGTATTCGTGCAGATGCGTGTGTGTGCTTTTTGTGCAGTGCAGCAAAGTGTAAGAGAGAAGTGAAAGTGGGATGACTGAGGGTGCCAGGAGGAAGATTCAAGTCCTTAAATGATGTTTAAGCTTAAAACTCTGGGGTAAAAAACAATTTCTCTTTTATGAACTTATTAGAAATGTATCCAGACTCACTTCATTATAAATAATAGAGAAGGCGACATGATTTTTATATCTGTCCTGAATAAGGAGAAAATACTTCCAGCTTGAAATCTGACACTAGCACGTCTTTGATATCGAACACTCAGAGCACGAGGGAGTCTGGCCGACAGAAGCTGCCTCCTAATATGAGACTACATGCACACACAGACAAGTAATGTCTGCTTTAAATCATTATTTTGATAGATTAGTAGAATAGCAGTTTTCAAGGATCTGCACCAAACTTATTCCCTTTCTTACACCTGGAGAATGATCCTTGTCTGTCACACCTTCTCTTCACCTCTTTATCATTATGCTAGTTTGCCACATATTACTTCTATTCAGAAAGAAACTACAGTTTGTGCATTTATCTTGGGCAAGTTTTCATAATGTTTTGATTGATTGTGAAGCCTTAAAGGTCACTGAGTATCATCCAAGCCGTCGAGAAAACAACACCAACATAGCCATACTAAGATAAACCCTGATACTGGCTTGTTTTCTCACTCCAAACTTTTTGGGGGTTTTGTTGCAGGCAGGATTAATCCAAACATCCACTTTCCTGATGAAGCACTTTTATCTTATATCTTCACCTTCTACACACTGGGGTCAAAGGTCTGCTATAAACTCAGTGTTAAACCTAAATCTGATAGCTCCCTCAATCAGACTGTAAACAATGCAGCTACTCAAATTAGCAATGGTCAACATCATGTTTTCACAAAAAGAGATTTTATCACCTATGTTCACGTCAAAGTTTAGTGAGTCAAAGTGAGGATTTTAGCGATATCTCACAGTCAGAGTCAGGACTGATAAGCGTCCTTGCTCACCCCTCTCATCCAAGAAGTTATGGTGGCCTTTGAGGACAAAAGGCTCCTGTGATGCAAAAGTATAATCCTCATCCTGATCCTAGGTTATCTGTAGCTTCTATACTTGTACTTTATTATCCCATCTGTATATTTCGCATTTCATATTTATTACTCATTTCATATTAGTACTTCCAGTGGATAGCCCACTTTTTTCATATCTCACTTTTTTCTCTTAGGATGTTCTATCTATCTATCTATCTATCTATCTGTATAACACAAAGTTGCTGTATTCAAGGGTCTTGAAGAGGTCTTCCAAGTGTTCCATATTATGTCTGTTTCACTGCTTTTCCACAGAAGTAGTAACCTTGTTTCTGATCACTGTACTACACTTTGAGTTGTGTTTGATTTGAATGGCAGGTGCTTTATAAATAAGGTTTAACTGATTGATTGAAAAAAAAACTTCTGTAGGTACAAAGCTGTCAAAGTTTCAAAAGTTTTCCACAAACCTTTCTTGAACTCCTCCAGCATGGAGTCCAGCTTGGTGTCATGAAACACAAAGTGGACTGGATGATTGTAGAACTTGGTGATGGTCTTCAGGGTGGTGCAGTCATCCGGGTCCACGAAGGCCAGGTCCTTCACAAAGAGGATGTCCACGATGTTGGACCTCTCGACCTCATACACAGGTATCCTGGTGTATCCACTCTCCATGATCTCTGACATGGTGTTGAAGTCCAGCACGGCGTCGCTGTGGATCATAAAGCAGTTGCCGATCGGGGTCATGACATCTTCCACTGTCTTGGTCCTGAGCTCCAGCGCGCCTTGGATCATGTTGAGCTCCTCCTTCACCAGGTCGTTGTAAGGCTCGGTGACTTTCAGCATCTCCACCAGCTTCTCCCGGTTGTACACGGTGCCGATCTCCTGACCCAGCACGCAGTCCAGGAGCTTACTGATGGGCCACGATAGAGGGAAAGTCAACAACATGAACAACTTTGTGACGAGGATGGTGTTTGCGCCAACAGCCAGGCCGTGTCTGGAGCATAGAGCCTGTGGGACGATCTCCCCAAAAATAACGATTCCCACTGTGGAGGCGACCACGGCGCCCAGCCCGGACCCGATCAGGTCGTCCAGGAGGATGGTGAGGGTGGTGTTGACTAGGACATTACCTAAAAGCAGCGAGCACAGCAGGTAATTCCCTTTCCTCCGGATGGGCTCGATCTTCCGAGCGTATTTCTTCTCCTTCTCGGTGCCGCAGCTCTGCACGATGCGGAGCTCCATCGGGTCCAGCGCCATCAGACCCAGGTTGAGTCCGCTGAACATCCCGGACAGCACGAGCAGGAAGGAGACGATGATCACCTGTAGCCATAAAGGCATCAGGGACTTCTTCTGCTCCACCACACGGAGTCTACCGTCTTTGTCGTCCAGCATGTACCACTCCTTATCCTGGGGGTCCTGGATGCACAAACCGAACACCTTGACCACTTCGCTCTTCCGGAGCTGTTTGATCTGGAGGTTGACCACTCCGGAGGTGTTCTGGTTCCGTACATCCATGGACCCCTTCACTGCTATATCCTTCGAGATGTCCGGACAAGTTCTGTTATAAGGGACCAAGATGGCACCGAAATCATCATCCTCTTTATCACTCGTGTAAAGTTCCGTGAAGCCGAGAATCTTCGAGGTGTCCGGGGACAAGTGGAGCCCGTAGAACCTGAAGAGGGTGTCGCTGCCCTCGGTCACCTGAACTACCCCTCTCTCGCTGGTCGCTGCCGGTGTCTCGCTCTTCTCTAACCTAAAGCCGAGTATCCGAGGGGGGATCCTCGCCTCCGTAGCCGCCGCCTCGGCCTCTCTGCCCGCAAAAACGCAAGAAAAGACAAATAAAGTTAGTGTGAAGCTCCTTCCATTCGAGTCTATCGCCATGTTTGTTTCGCTCACTGTGAACAGGGGAACTGACGTCATCTACTCGTTTCCACCAGCCCAACCCTCTCATTTGGATACCGAGGAGGAACAGCCAATCAGTGACACGGACGTCATCCATAGAACTTGAGCGAGCCCCCCTAAATTATAAAGTTTAAGGTCGACCGGTGTGTTTTTCCTTTAAGGTAAACCGTAGCAGATATTTTCATCTTACAAGGGTAACTTTTTATCACCAGTTTCGACTTTGTAAAAGTTTAAAAATATCAAGATTTGTGTAACATGGCCATCAAGATCAAATTATTGGATCATTCAAATGATTAACAGATATTTACATCTGCAGAACTCCTGCATACTGTCATAACTGATTTCACAGGCAAGGACTAAACATTTATGACCTGTTGCAACAGGGCAGGACCAATTTTTATAGACATTTGCATAGCTACAGGATAGTAAATATACACTGGATGTTTAATCTGCAACACTTGGAGTCAGCTTTTGAAAACTTGAATGGATAAACGTATTAGAGTCTCATCATTACTGATTAAATGTAAGTAAATGTACCAGAAAAAAAAGTGTTTTATTGTGTGTATAAATTCACATCTATAACTGCATATGACTGTCATGTCCATAATGTACTTGGCATTAGCATCTACTGCTCATGAAATTTTCATCCGTTTCTGCCCATAAATTTGTACATTTGTCATTATTTCAAAATCCTTTTGAGCAGTGAATGCACCTTGTTTCTGCTTGTTGTACTTGTTTGTTTATTATCGAGGTGTTTAACTGCAATTCTTGTATGTAAGCTGTATGACGTGATGTTTTCCTTCTGTCCTTATGATACTTAAGTATGATGCTACTTTATTTTAAAAGAACTATAATTAAGATACTTGTGTGAATGTGTCTTCAAGTAATGTTTTCAATTACATTAAAGCTCCTGTAATGAACTTTTAGTTTGTATCCATTTTTGTGCCCACAGTCTTTGCTAGTTATAACCCCTATGTGCTCAATTAGTCTTCTTAAGAAAAATCTCCAAACTTGCTGACATTTTACATTCGAATATATCACTTTTTTGCTAACATTTATTCACCAAATTGTTGCTGATGGTTTTTGTGCGCTTTTGTTCGTCATAACAAGGCATCAATATGAATTCAATCTGTTATATAAGTGACAGAAAAATCCCCATGGCAGCTTTGAAAACAAGTAATAAAACCAGTTTTTAAACTCTCTGGCCTGTGAATTTTAGTTGCCCCTTATAGCATGTGTTAAAATGGGGGACCCGCTGCTATGTAAGCATAAAAAATTGATTATAAATCAACAAAAAATAAATAAATCGTTTGTCTATTCAGATGATTATCACACTTATTTGGACACACGCTACCAAAACCCACATACTGTTCCTTTAAAAAAAACATTTAAGATCATCTCCAGGCCTGTTTGGCATGTCCTCACTGTATGAAACAAAATGTCCTTTTCCATGCCCATGCATAAACAAACTTATTCCTACATAAAGCGATCACATTTAGGAATGCTGCTGCTTGTCAAAAGGCTACTTAATGATCTCAATGGAACACACAGTCAGTAGGAAAATTCTAAACATACTTGTTTGCAATGAGGTAACATCCCTGCTCAGTTTACATACTTAAAATAAGATAACTCCCTGATGTTTGGATAAATGTCTTAAAAATAAATATATAAAAAGAGCCCCATTTGTTGTTATTTATTTACCTTAGAATTAAGAGATAAGGATGTTCAGCATGTCTGTTTGGGAAAACAGGTGACCCCTATGTTAGCAGATTCTTAGTCTTTAGAGAAACTATCAAAACTACCGAAAAAAATAGACTTGAGTCTAGTATTTAGATGTGATGGAATGTAATGGAAAAATTAAAGAGGGGAAAATATGACAAAGACAACAGATCCCCATTGAACACAATAAATGACTCAAACTTCCTGTTAGAAGCGACAAAACACAGTGGAAGTTTACTATGGTGGCTTTGTATTAGCTCTGTAGGCGCTTACATTCATGTGTTTTTACTGTCTCTGCAGATATCAGATCTCTTATTACAATTTCACACCACCACATGAGTTACATGAGCTCCTAAAGTAATAGAGAGAAAATGAACCCTGAGAGGAAACAAACGGTGTTCTTGTATCTCTGCATTGGCTCCTCCCTCTCTCCTGAGCACTGACTGGTGGAGAAAGCATTGCAGGGTTTGCTTTAACACAGTTTACACGTTGTTAGCTCTAAGAAAACCTTCACCCAAAGATTGTTTTCCTTTAAAAAGGCATGTTTTTATGAATACTGAACATTTATCTGCTCTATCTGCAGCTTAAACTGAGCACTGAATCTGTGGTGATAAAGGGGAGACTATCTACTGGAAAGCAGTGACAGCCTGTTTTAGTTTGGCAGAATAGATCTGAATAGAATCTTAATGACAAACGTAAGAGATGAACTTCTTTCAAAGGGAGAACAATCAGGAAATATGTGCTTTTTGAGGACAGAGCGCCATCTTGTGGAGACATCATGCACGCTGCAGTTTGAGGGGCTGTTGAAAAATCTGTAAATTGCAAGAGTTTAGTAGACTTGTGTTTTTTTGAAACACTCCTGATAAAAGAAAAGTTTAAAGTTGCTTGTTCCAGCAATAATAGAATCAAATTTAATAAGTGTTCAACATCTTTTGTTGCTGAAAGTCAGTTTGACAATAACTAACTTATAAAGCTATGACATAGGCCAAAAAAACATCATTTGCTTCATTGAATCTGAAAAATTAGAGAAGAGCAATTTTTCCAGAATTGACATTATCATACATAACAAGGAGCAACAAGGAAAAAAATGAGGAAGACACAGCGGGAGAAGAGATATTACAATAAATGAATCTTTTTTTTTGCCTGCACAACCAGACACTGGAAAAAATAGAGGTTGACATTGTTGTTTGCAGTGATTAAACACACTGTGAGGGTCATTACGGAGCCTAAATAACCCAAACAACAATCACCCAGAGGCCAAGAGTGAAAAATAAGTTAATGGGCCATATCCAAGATGTCTCATATGTGTCAATGTAGCAAAGGAAGAAAGAGAGAAAATGAAATGGCAGATAATAATGTTAATATGTAATTTGGTGACACCTTGTGGTGAATACGAGCAGTGGAGTTTGACACAGAAGTGCCTAAAGTTATGTGATTGTTTAATGGGTGAATTCATTTGGAAGCAAAATTTAACAATACATGAGAAAAAACATGACAGACAGACAGACAGACAGACAGACAGATAGACAGATAGATAGATAGATAGATAGATAGATAGATAGATAGCTAGATAGATAGATAGATAGATAGATAGATAGATAGATAGAAAAAATACAAAATTAAATAAAATATAAGAAGAAGTATGTACAATGCAAACTAAAAATACAAAAAATACAAAGTGTATACAATAAATACAGACTTAATATACTAAACATCCTAAGATTAAAATATTGAGATATGAAGAACGTGGGCTATTGAAATGAGTAATAAATATGAGATGAGTAATAAATATGAAATGCGAAACATACAGATGTTATACAGATAAGTTTAAGGTGTTCAGTAATGTGATGTGGTAGGAGTTTTAAAAATGGACTATATAGCAGGCAGATGTGAGTCCCTGTCTGACAGATTTGAGTTATTAAATAGTGCAATAGCTTGTGGCAGGAAAGATTTCCTTTATCTGTCCCTTCGACAGCGGAGCTGCAACAGTCTGCTGGAAAAGGAACTCCAATGTCTGTCCAGAGTGATGTGGAGAGGGTGGTCAGGGTTATCCATGATGGATAACAGCTTGGTCAGTGTCCTCCTCTCCACCACAGCCTCCACAGTGTCCTGTTTGCAGCCAATCACGGAGCCAGCCTTCCTGATCAGTTTGTTAAGTCTGATGGTGTCACTGGCTCTGATGCTGCTCCCCCAACAAACCACAGCAAAGAAAAGTATGCTGGCCACCACAGAGTGGTAGAACATCTCCAACATCTTGCTGCACACGTTGAAGGATCTCAGCTTCCTCAGGAAGTAGAGTCTGCTCATCCCCTTCTTGTAGACAGCGTCGGTGTTGGATTTCCAGTCCAGTCGGTTGTTGATATAGATGCCCTGGTACTTGCAGACCTCTACCTCCTCCACATCTTCTCCCAGGATGCATAGCAGCTGTGAAGCCGTCCTCTTCTTCCTGAAGTTGATGACCATCTCTCTGATCTTGGTGGCATTCAGCCTCAGGTGATTACACGATGTAACCAACAATCAATTAGCAGGTTTTGAACTGTAAGTCATCCTGTAAATTCAGAAGATAACTCCACTGAATAGTTCTTTAAAGATAACTGTATCTAATACACCCTGTGATATGTCAGGACAGTTTTGGCCTGCAGTATTCTGAATAAATCCTGTTTTAATACACAGTTTAATCCATTAAAAATGACATAAAATAAAGATTTTAAAAGCCGCCTCTCTTCCTCATCAGTAAGTAAACAGACTTCAGCTTTGAAAGAGGTCATTGTTAGAATATGAAATACACAAGTATAGCTCTGCTCTTCTGATAAATATTTAAATCACTCTAATTGACTTAAATCATTTTGACAATCATATCTTTATTTTTAGAAAGAAAGCAGCACTGAAACTTTGATATTTGGGTTTTGAACTGTGACATAATTTACTTCCACTTTCTCATCACAAGGTATTCATACTTCACAGAACAGTTCAAGGCGGAAAATAATATTACTCATACAAACACTCAGGCTACTTAAAAGGGAGAAAAAAATTTCTATAAAGAGTTAAAATTATCTTAGCTTTTTCTGGGCCTCTTCTTTAAAGATAACTGTATGCTTTTTACTCACTACTTTAAAATCAGTTGGTCAGGTGGTTCTTACTTTAAACAGAAATTTGCTCCTCTCCAGGAAACTGAACCCTCAGCCACAGGCAAAAAGACCCTGCAGACGCTTAGAGGAAATACAACAGAGACTAAACAGAGAGCAAAGAAACAGAAATGACAGCATTGGCAAAAAGGCAAAAAAGGTTGAAGAGTCATAAAGATTATGACGTAAACACAGGATTAAAAGCAGTAGTAAAGAGATGATAGGCGTTCAGATGTGAGAGTGTAAACTGTCAGACTGTGACCTCTGTGGTCTGTGGTGGCATCAACCAGTGGTGACAGTGCAGCAGATGTTCGGATCTTAGGCTGGGTTTGTTGTGCGTCTTGTATTGTTACTGTGTAGACTAATATCTACAAAGCAAATTGCTCCATGGAAACTTTAAATTTTATTTATTTATTTTTTATAAAATAAAGTTTTACTCTAATAGGAAGAAGATGAAAGGTCAGTGAGGGACTGCAGGTTTAAGTATATCATAAGATGACAAGTAAATTGATACCTGCAGCTGTAGCAAGTTATTCAGATAAATAAATAAGATGGCCTTTCTAAGGCAAGTGATGCCAACAAGCCATGCCTGCAGCTTCCTAAATACACAGTATGATCTATCAATTTTATATTGTGATCATTTTAAACAACTTCATGATTTTTCAACAATACTTCCAATAAATCAGAGCGAACATTTCGGAGCTTTGATTTTAACTATTTGCACACACATGCATCAATGGCAGAGTTGTACTTTTCACACTTGTTGCACATTTTCCTGCTCATACTCACAGGGGCATGTCCAGAGGTAAGACTATGGGTGGAACTGCCCTCCTTTAAATCTGACTTGCCATCCCAGGTGCCTCCAAATTCAATGCTCTAAGATGGGGTTTATGCTAAATCAACTATTTGGGTTATTGGTGTCTTCTATTTGATCTAAATTATGCAAATACAAGGCACCAGTTGAGCGGATCATTAGGAAAGCCCCCCTGAAGTTGGAACACTGACTCAGAAACTTGGACAAACTTCAGTAACGCCAAGATGGCTTCAAAACGGCACTTCAAATAGTGTTTGTTAGCACGCTTGTCTTGTTTTATGTCATTGAATCAATCCAAGTAAGGCAATTTGTTCCTATTATCAGCACCCTTTATTATAACTTTGGTAGGATATCTTTTAAAGTTCTTGCAGAATTAAGCTAAAAAAAAAAAAAACAGTGATTGTTGCTAAAGAAGATGATTAAGACAGAGAGGGTTTGTGGCAACCCAGGCCATCCACACATATGACAGACCTGCAGCTGGGCCACCCTAGTCAAATAGTCTAGACACATTCCTGTATACTTAATTTACTTTGACTACTTTAGGAATTTGGGAACATTTTACTTTCATAACCTTTGCTTGTATTTTTTACAGAGCTGTATTGGCACTGAAAGAGAAGTAAAGATCTGAATTAATCTGTAAACAACATTGTAGTCTTTACTTACATTTAAATCTTGAAGGAGTTAAAACAAATCAAAGTAAAAATGCTAAAAAGTTCAACTAGTCTCTATGCTCCTTTCTTTGGACGATTACGATGTCAAGTTCACCAAACAGGCTAAACCCAAACTTTTCAATAACCGTTAGACATCCCGTGGTAAACTTGACTCTCGGTCCTCGTCTCGTGCTAATTGATCCTTACAAGTTTCCGCGTTTGTTAAGAAAAACTGAAGTTTACTGAACCGTCCAATGACACGCTGTGCGCACAGACAGAAAAAGGGAGGGGTGGAGAAAAACAGAGGAGGGGAGAGCGTAAAGGGAGGGAGGGAGGGAGGGGAAGAGGAGAGGCGGGTAGTGGGGAGCCAGAAGGAAAACATTAGCCCTCGTTTCTCCTCGGAGTCTGGAGACTTTCTTGTTGTGGATTCTCCAAAACTAGCCAGGACGCACGAAACCGAGCCAGGACGCACGGTAAGGAAGGCGCGCCTTTTACTCGCTGTTTAACTTTCCTCAAAAGGGGCCAGAGTTCACTAGAATTAGATGTGAGAGGGGTTTGCACGCTGAAATGAGGATTTGAGTGAAGAAAAAAAGGAGATGGAGGAGGACTGAGGAGAGGCAGACAGTCGAAGAGGAAGCTGAAATGAAGAGTTGAGCGGTGTGTTCTCACTCTCCTGCCCTGTCTGTACTGCTCTCCAGGGAGCCAGAATTCTGGAAAAGTAGCGGAAAGAAAGTCAGGGTGAGTCAGATGGGGTAAAGAAAGATGGGAAGTCCTGGAAAGAAAAACATCTGCTTCACTTTCTGTTTTAAGGCAGAAAAGGATGTCAGACTCTCAGATGAAGAACACGGTTTACTTTGGAGTTTGTCTTGGTGTAACGGAGCTTTGGTTTGTGTAACTTCTCCAAAACTTCGTAAAACTTGAATTCAAGTCCCAGAAGTGCGTTGTTTTGTACGTTATTATTCTCAACTCTGTCGGGTTTTTCAAACGTGGTGTTACTCTGTTAACAGTAAAGGGTTTCTGTCTTGAGTTGGTTGTGCTGAAGGTGAAAATGACGGAAGATTAGTTAATATGAAGAGTGATGATGATAATGAGAAGGAGGAGGATGTGCCAGACGGATGACAGATATGGTTGTACATAGATATCTCTTTTATCGGTGATGAATGATGTGTAATTTCTTTGTCCGGAAGACAGTGAAGTACTCATAATCAAACATCCTGTATCAGTGAGAACCAAACAGTAATGGCTGATAAACATGGCGGTATTATTTTAAACACTTTTCTTTGGTTAAGTTTTTACATTTATGGCATTTAAGACTTTTATTCCACTGGATTTGTATCTGTATTTGCTTGATAACTATTTCAGATTTGATATGCACTTAGACTGTGTTATAATTTTGAGAGGACACTGGTGATATCAATTGACTCTTACAGCAGATCAATATCAGGACTTCTAGGAAGAGACCCACAACTAGTGTCAATATAAGGACCTGATCATCCAATCCAATGTAAAGTGCTTTGAGGGTCTCTGATAAAGCCCTATATGAAATCTGATGCATTATTATTATTATTATTATTATTATTATTATTATTATTATTATTATTATTATTATCATTATTATTATTATTATCATACACATTGGCTGCATGTTGAGTTGATGTAGTAACTTCACTTCTGCCCATTGTCAGATTTGAAGCGTAAACTCCCCCTTGATACAGTAGATGCTGGTGCATTATGCAGGTGGAACCATGGTGAGCGTAGACAGGACCTAGTAGAGCTCTTGGGTTGATTTGAAGCAGACACTTCTGGATTTGGAGAGTCCAATTGTTACCTCTCTCAGTTTCTTCTTTACTCTGCTCGTCCACTACTGAACACTTAAGGAGCCTGAATTTGTCAACAGTGCTGTCAATCAGTCATCTGTTTAAAATGAATTAACTAATGGAAACTAAACCTTTTGGGAAAATGAACACTTGGATATAAATAAACAAGATAAGAGCTCACTATGATGTCATTGACATTGCTCGAGAAAATCTTTCTTGACATGTATCGTAATTTTAGAGTTCGATTCATGTCCAATCTGTTAACATTAAGGAGACGATGCCTTAGGATTTCTTCTGCAGCCAGTCAGGGGAGCTCTAAAGTTTGGGCTTTACTTTCGGATGAGCTTACAGGTTTTAACACAGTATTGTATACATAAAAAAATGTAAAATTTGAGTCTTTGTAAGAAGGTTTAACAGCGACTTTGACTTAATTTGATCAATCAGACTAACATGGCTCCCTTCGTTCTGAACATGGCAAGCAGGAAAAAGGACTTGACAATAGATTGCTTTAAGTTTGGTTAACTTCAGACAGAAGTAGCAGAGATTTAAAACTTTACGTCTCAGTTGCTCAACCTGAACTGAACTCTGACGGAGGTCTTAAAATACCCCTATGAAAGGTAACTCCCTGAGTTTAATCTCCATTTGTACTTTTCAAACAGAGCGAATGTTAATATAATGAGGGTAAGAAATCCAACTATGCGTCTTTTATTTTATGAAACATAGAGGAGGTTATTAAACTGGAAAAGGTCAATCATAATGTCGGGGTTTCGTCAGGTAAGCTGAGATGAGGAGTGGCTCTGTGGCCTGAGAGGTCAGGTTAATTATTCAGAGGTTGATTGTTCTGGTCTTTTGGTGCGGCGCTCAAAGGGGCGATGCTGTATTGTGCCCTCGTGTCATAACTGCAGCTCGCTTTTCCAATCTCACTTTGTTAATGTTTGTCACCGGTGAGAAAAGGTCTCAACAGGCATCTCAGTTCAGACGAGCATCTAAGGCTGAAATCAGTTCAGTTTTTTATCTTTTCCTCCCAGATGTTTCACTTTGTATGTCAAAGAATTTCTCCTTTCCAGACATGAATCAGAAAAAAAAAATAGAGCTCATAAAGAAAACATCCTTGTTCACTCGAAGTCAAGTTGACTCAAAAAAACATCATTAATCAGTAACCCACAGTGAGGGGAACACTGTTGATGTCTGACCTTCTTTCTGTTTATTCAACCTACTTTTTAAATCAAAGTGGCTCTTGTGGTCCATACAAAGTGTTTTAGGGGACAGTTAGAAAAGACAAAGACATCAACAAACAGTGAGACAGATGAAAAAGTCGCAAAAAAGTCCAGATCAAGCAAAAGCACCGCCTTAAAGTTAAATGAAGTTAAATTAATTTATAAAGATGATACTTGAAACATATTTTCAAAGAGTATTAAATATTGGTGATTAATTAATATTTAAAAGCACCCTGAGAAGTTTTCATTTTGTATTGACTTTAGTGACCCTTGTGGACCCCTATTTAAGTGTTTTTCAAGATGAAGACTGCATTTCCCATGAGCATCATTACCCAGCTCTTAAGTTTGCATGTGTTTTTGTCAAAACTAAATGAACTTCATATCTTCTTTTCAATAACATTTTTGTTAAAGCTCCAGTAAGGAACTTTCCGGTTGTGTCATTTTTGGTGCCCCCTGTGAGCACGGCAGTCTCTGATTATCTTGACCTCTACATGCTCAAGAATAATCTCAATATTTCTGGCGTCTCACATTTAAATCAATCAGGTCAATACCACTCCTCAATATTTCCATATTCCACTCAAGTTTTTGTTTCCTCCAATCATTTCTCTGCAAGTACTTCACTTTGGAAATTTGGTTTAAATTGATAAAATTAATGAGACTCCTCAGAGTACAGCCAGTGATTGCAGAAAAAAAGCTCCTTTGGAGAACTTTAAACTTTGGTAGATTTGCTCAAGTTATCTTTTTTCAGCTATTTTGGCATTTAAAGCTCCTGTGAATCACACTGTGGTCAGGGCGGTTCACCGTGTATCTTATCTTGTACGTGTGTCGGTAGTTTGTTCCAATGAAAAATGTCAGTTTCCTCACCCGTAACTGTCAAAATGTTACTCAGCTTTAAATGTAAACAGAGGTTATTGCTTCACTCCGTCATCCAGGACTCATACCATATATGAAGTTAAAGTCTGTCACAAACTCCCCATTAGTCACATCAGAAACACGCACTAGAAATACCAGAAGAATCAGCTTTACTGTTTTACTCTTGATGATTTTTGGAAGTATTAGTCAGTCAGTTTCATAACCAGATAAAATCTCATCCTCCTGAAGTTTGGATCCACTGTAAAACAAGACCAGCCTGGGAGACTGTGTGCTGTACATATGGCTTCTGTAACTTTTTATTGTACATGTGCATGTTCACGCTCACTGACTTTCACTTCTTGTACTTTGCAGAGAGCAGTCAGACTTATTTTCTTCTGTGTCTGGTTTCAGTTAATTCACCCCAAACAGCCAACGTATCGTTGCTGTGAGCTAACTTTAGTGAGAAACAGACTCACCGATTCTATCACTGTGTTATTGTTCAGCTCAGCCCTGGACTGAACTCAGAACTTAGTAGAAACTCTGAGGTCCACCAAACCTCTTCCTCTCTTTTGTTGTCTCATACCTTTATTTTTTTACATCTTTGTCGCTGAAAGTGAACCATTTCAAGCTTTTTTATCAGCTTTTCCAGTGATGTCTTTGCATCCTTGCACCCTAAAACACACTCTGCATCCTCTGAACTCAGTAATAGCATATAAAACAAGGACACAACAATAGAAAGTGGATTTCTAGACCTCTACTTGAGCTCAGTGTATGTAGAGGGTTTCAGTTTATCTGTGGTTGAACTGTGGGCAGCTGAAACTCCAACTTGCTCTGCAGAGTAAAAGTTTGACTCATATCTGCACCTTCCTGACCTAGATACATATTTGTCTTCACATATTCCAATAAGACAGTTATAATAATGGTGTCTGCTTTTTTCATCTCTAAAGCCAAACACAGCGCATCTTTATTGAAACCCCAGGATGAAACACAAAATTAGTTTCCACTCAGTTTGTTTGGAGTGTAATTAAATTTAATGCTAACATATGGACTGTCCTGTTATTGGCTGTAAAGTACAGTTTGTACTGACTGTGTATGTGTTTGTACAACACTTCCCACTCTTCGGGACCAGCGGGTCTTTACTGCTTTCACCTCTCTCTGCATTGAATGAATCAGAACTTACACTGAAACAATATCTGACTTTTGGTCCTCAAGTCAAAGCTTTTCCTTTTCTGCACCATCATGCTTGGTGTTTTTATTAACACAAAAGAAACTAAAAATTGACAATTGTATTCTTTGAAATTTGTGATCCAAAGTCTCTATTTTTATTTAACAAAACATAGCTCTTCTTATTTTTACCTGAAGTTGTTCAATCTTACACCAGCAACTCTGACGTTAAGCCTGCTCAATATGAAAAACATATTAGATGTGTCTTGATAGTAATTGATATTTCTGATTTAATGTTATAAATCAGTTTTTTTGCAATGTCTTTATTGCAGTTCCTCATTTTGCAGCATTGATAAACATGCAGCTCGGGTTGAATCTTGTTTTGCAATAGTAGAAACCATCAGCTGTTGTCCCATTGTATTTTAAGCCATGTGGAGCCATCGCCAACTGTAGGGGGGTTTTGAGTCGAGCCAGCAGCCGCAGACGACTTTTTACTCAAGCCTTTCACAGTTTTCCTGCATTTACAGTCTAACTCACAATTTATTGGTGATACTTCAGAGCAGATTTTAAGCTGCTCTACCGTGCAGATATCTGTTGGACGACGTGGGAGCAAAATGTTCTTTGTGGTGGTTTGGATTTCAGTCTACCCCACACAGACTGTGTGTCACATCGTATAAAGCCAAAGCCCACTGAATAGTTCTATTACCTATAGGATCCAGAACACATGTGATACCAAAACCTGGACCAGCGCCTAAAGACTGTATTTATTTGCAGAATCTGTAAGCTGAGATGATTGAAGCTTCTTGAATATTAGTCACAGAAGACAGAAAATGACTCTGCCCTCTTTTCCTCTCCTTTCCTTTTTCCTTTATTTTAATCATTAAGTGTGAAGAAGTAGAGGGTCCAGGTTAACCCAGCTAGAGCTCAAGCCAACACAGGCTTCTTGCCTCAACTTTGCCTTACCGGTGCTTTATGCTGCGCTCCAGTTGTACTCGGAAGTTGGGATTTCCGTGCTGCAATCGGAAATTCATCTGGAACGCCCCCCTGAAGTCAGATCTCCGTCTCGGAAAGTCGGACGATCCTCACTCACCAACCCCGACTTGACGACAACAGCATAATTCAAGATGGCAGTGCAGTGCATCAACAGTAAAGAGTAACAGTAAAAGCTCTCGTAATGTATTATTTATTAGCACTTTCTGTTTTGTTATTGTGAGATCAAATAAGTGGTAGATGTTGTAATGCCCAATGTCTAACTGTGAACACGGTGCTATGGTGTTTGTAGAGTAAAATACTGTGTTGTGCATTGTTTACAACTGGTATGGCTAACAACGGCTAGCAACCGCTAACAACGGCTGGCAATTGTAAACAACAGCTAACAACAGGTAACTGTAGGCGTCCATCTTGATTTTGCGACTTGTTAACTGGAACACTGTCAACTCGGGTATAGCGTCATCCGACTTCTGAGGTAACTGGAACGCAGCAGCTCCAGAGAGATCCTTTCTTACTTTCCCTTGCTGATTTAGGGGCGTAGGGGGAGGTAGAGCTTACAGCCAAACCCTTGCTCAGAAGGACTTGGACCCAAACAAGCTTCTGGCCCTGACTCAGCCTTTCCTGTCCTCGTTTTTTGTCATGAGAAGTCAGGACAAGAAAGTGGAACTATCAAGTGAAATGCTGAGACTCTCACAGTTGCACTTTTTAAAGTTGTTATCACATATGTAGCACTTTTTTGACAGTAACATGTTTACGTGATTGTCTTATATGTACTGTTAATGTGTTTTGAATGGCAGTGCATGTGAGAGGTCGGTCTTGAAACGGTGTGTCTGAGTCAACCTTAGTTTTTCAGTGCCACGCTGGTGTTGTTCTCCATGGTGGTAGCTGCTAATGGGCAGTTGACAAGAAGCGGCTATCACAGCAATTTCCTGCTTTTGTTCAGACACTGAAACAGATTTCTGTGATGAAACGTAGACACAGATATGGTGAAACAACACAAGCACTTACATTTAAAGTGTTTGCAGAATCAGCAGCTGGATTTGAAGTCTTTCTGGTACACAAAGTTTGCAGGTTGAGCCTGTTGATGGCACAGATGATCTGAATAACTATCTTTAACCTCTCAGCCTTTGATGCAATTGTAATACTCATCTTAATTTTGTCCTCCTCTGTTATATTTCCTCCCCTCCCTTCCTTTTTAAGGTGGTATTAGTTACACTGGCTGTTGATCTGAAGCTTTCAGGAACAATACAGGATGTAGCCAAACAGGAAAGAAACATATCTTTGTTCCCCCTGGGGCTGCAACTTAACCATTGTTAAAACTGATTTATTTGTGGGTTATTTTTGGATCAGTTGATGGGTTATAAATTTAGATGATAAAAGGCGCAAAGAAAGTTTTCAAGAGGTCAACACAACATCGTCAAACTGACCAAGAGTTAGAAATCTAACAATCTTCAGTCACACAAGACGAGCAGAAAAGTGTCAAACTTACTCTAAATGTCAGTGAATAAGAGGATATGGCTGAAGCTTCATGTAAAGTACTGTGTGGTTTTCCTGCTATTATTAGCCGGCAGTCTGATAAGAGAAGTATCTGATGATAGAGACACAGCAGAAAACTTCAACTGGTGCGTTTTGGAATGCTGGACACGCCTCAAACCAAACCAGGACTTCATATTTATGGATTTACTTCAAGAATCCAGGAAAAAATGTAGGCCTTCAAGCAATATCTCACAGAAAGCTGGCAGATTCTTTTGGATGGTCCCTGCGGTGAAAGAGGCTTAAAGAGGTTTAAAGTGACTGATAACACGTCTCGCATACAGTTACTCAGCTTAGTTAAAGGAGGGGCTGTTCTTATCAACTACAAAGACGCATAACAAAGGCAAATTGATCACATTATCACTTAAAATGATAACAGATACCTGAGAGAGTGAGTACAGGTCGACACAGAGACATACATCAGACAGACAGGTGTTTAAAGTCAGTGACACAGATAAGCTCCTTGTTTGAGGGGCATGGTTTTGGTTCACTTCGTAAATCAACCAAAAAAGGGCAGCCAAAGTTGCTTTCACTCACACCGTCAGAGCATGCAGAGCCAAACCTAACACAAGTCCCCTTCAGACATGCACTAAGGCCCGAACTACACAAAGGCGGATATTTATTTATCTGGATATTTTTGTACTCCCGTCTAAATAAATGTACCTGTCCACACGTGTTAGTTCAAAAAAATATCTGCGTCCACACGTAGGCTTCAAACTCAATCCTATCTGGAGCCGCTTTGACATACGAAAGTTTAGCTTCCATTCATCTGCAGGCACAGCCCCTCTAACGAAGTTGTCCCACCACTTGCTGGTCCGACCGGGTTTGACCCAAAACTTACGCTTCTGGCGAACTTTAAAACGCCTAACGTTAACGTTACGATTGCTCTCCAAAAAAAGTATTGGCCACAGCAGACGCCTCTGTGAGCTGGCTGACTGGTGGATGTAATTGTATAAAATAAGGTTCACTTGCAAGGCTGAAATTAGCCCCAAAAGGGCAAAACAAACGTAAAGAATACCCTGTATGTCCGCCATCGTTGTTGTTATTGTTTTTGTTTTTAATGCACATGCGCGAGCTGCGGTTTGACGTCATCGATCCGTAAAAGTCCGACCACACGAATCCACTGTGGATATGGGATACGGATATTTTTTTATTTCTCCGCTTGTTTTTCCGGATTCAGATTTATCTGGTTTGAGTGCTCCAAACTCCCGGTTTGGTGTGGTAGGGAGGCCTAATCGGACATAAATATGTGCGGTTTGAAATATTTCCGCCTTCGTGTAGTTCGGGCCTAAGTCCCTGGAAATTTCTCCTGGTGAGCTCTTTGTGTGAGCAACAACATTTTTTTTCTACTACCCCTATAGAATCCTCCTGAAAATGAAACGAAGACTCCAAATAAAGACAAACAGGGGTGTATGATAATATAAGGGGGTCAGAATGACTCCACAGAGAGATTAAACTACTACAAGGTTAAAGGTTACAAGGTTACTGTAAAGCTTTGAAAATCAGAAAAAGAAGCACATTTACTTCAAGAATGAACAAAACTAGAGCTGGTTCAGGTCTAGGCCAGCTCTTAGTTGGGGGTACTGGCACATTGAGCACCTTCCCCTCCTTCTCCATTATTTTTCTGTCTGTGTCACTAACTTTAAATCATCAGGTCTCATTGGAGTCACTAATACACAGTCTTTTCTGAGAGTCCTAAACTCCATCATGCCACTTCAGCAGACCTCTGACCTCTCTAAACCCGACGCAGTCTCAGCAGATGACTGTCTTACATGAGTTGGGTTCTGCTTGAGGTTTCTGCCTGTTAAAGGAAGTTTTTATCCCCAGATGTTTGTAGCCTGAGGCCCCCTTAAAGTTTATTGTTTATCCTCAGAGCAGAGGATCCTTATAGCCATTAAGAGAGCCTCCAATCTGGAAATGTGTACCAAGTGTACTCCCCAGAACCTTTTAAAACGGGCTCATTTATCCTCAGCTCTGTTTGCTGTCACACTGAACACACAGAGAGGAAACAGACTGAAAACACAGCAGCTGAGCTCACCGCTTATCTTCACTGCAGCTCATTGTGCGATTGCTGATCTACGGAAACTTTTATACAACAACTCGTATGTCTGCCCACTCATTTTTAAGTGTCTGCAGCTCTCTGTACAATATTGTGAGTACAGGACTGTTTTCTTTTTCTTCCTGAGGGGAGGGTTGTGTTTCTCTTCTGGGAGTTTTGATAAGAGCTGCTTGGACACAGGACAATTTAGAAAGTTGGTTCATGTAGGAGGGTGGGTCTGAATTAAAGCATGTTTTGAGATGGATAAAACAAATCTAATTAATGATGGTCACTTTAAAATCATGACATGCAGATTTTGTCTTTTGATCCTCAAGAGAAACACTTAAAACCTTAAAATACTCATTTTTTTCTCACTGACAGATCCTGTAATGTTTCTCTCCAGTCCTTAATTGAAGCCATATGAGCTAATTTTAAACATAAGACCATGTATTGTTTTTGGGAGTCGGTATTCTCAAAGCAACTCAGATCAATGTGATATAAATGTTGGATGAGCAAGGAAGATCGCTTTATCTTCAACAAGGTCGAGAGAGGAGAGCGGGGAGGAGGAGGGGGCAGGTGTGGCTGAAAAGCCAAGGGACAGAATGAGAACAAGGAGGAAAGAGCTGCTGTAGTGAGTTGGTTTTCTGACGCAGCTCGCTGAGGTTTGCTTCTTTTAAATGTGTGAAATAGCATGCATGTTCATTTGGTATAACAGATGTGCAGTATGGGGAGTTTCTCCCCCAGCATGCAAAATACAGGGAGGAGGAAATGCAAAGTTGATATTGTCTGCGTCTGAGTATGATACCTTTGAAAAGAAGGTACAAATTCAGGTGTGCACTGTTGCACACAAAGTTAGATGACTGTATCATCAGCATACAGTACGATATCACACTGTTGACAGTGTGATAAATAGCACTGACTTTTTTTCTCTTCCACATCACGTTTCTGTTCATCAGACTTTCCTCGCTCACAGATACATTAATACCTTGGTGGTGGACGTCTCCTCTCTCTTCGCTGCAGGACAGAAAGATTCAGAAGATCTTTTGTTCCCACAGCCATCAGACTTAATAATTCTACTATAAATAGTAGATGACTCTTTGAGACATGACAAATGAGACTACAAACCATTGAATTTCTTCAGGGATAAATAAAGTTACTTGGATTTAAGTTAAAGTATCTTATTTATACTCTTAAATTCAAAGGGACTGGATTAATTTTCCACTTGATGTTAGACTTTTTTCCACCCAAACTTTTCATGGTACAAACTAATGAAACATGCAGAACCTTGACTTAAATACTATCACCTCTGTAGTCATTGCACTTGATGTTACTAAGGCAGTTCTTCAATCATCTACAAAATTAACACCAACAAAATGTGAACTTTATTATAAAATACATGCAGAACAGTGCTGGTTATGTGTAATCTTAGTAGATCAGGCCTTAAGTGTAATGTTTTTCACCCATGATGTACACAGTCTGTGTGAACTGTTGTGTCAGGTTTTACTGTAGCCCACAGAACTGGAAACCCTTTCACCAAACAAATACAAAAGACCCTGTCAGTCATTTGGACACCAGCGCATTACAAATGCACACACACACACACACACACACACACACACACACACTGAGAGGAGCAGCTCCTTTCTCCGGCTGCAAACGAGTGGTCAGTTTTGAGAAAGGAGCTCTGTTCAGTAAAGAAACCAGAGATCACTAATCAGACAACACACTCATTCATGTGCGTGACCTTTGACCCGCTGATCCAGTCACAGGTGACTGTGACACTCAGGTACTGTTACGCACCTTTGTCTGACTGGAATAGTTTTAATTCCACTGTTTGATGCCACTTTGCAGAGTGAAAGGTTTCAGAGGAAGCTGAGTGCGTGCGTCTGTACATGTGGGAAACAGAAGTAGGGCACCTCTGGGTTTTATTGGTTAGGAAGGTTTGATTTAAACCGCACAATGTCCTGAATCCCACTCAGGTTTTTTCCACTGTGGCTTAAACTGAAAGTCTTTGGTCACTAGCAGCTGAATCACTGATTATTGATTCCATTTAATGAGAAATTGATTGCAAAATTAGCTGGAAACACGCTGTAAAAAGTCTTTATTTTAGACAATTTTAACATCTTTCACTCCAGCAAACAGTATACATATTGAGATACTGCCCAATTTTACATTATAGATGGTGACCAACTCTTGTCTTTCTCTTTTATCACTATTTTTGTGTTTTCCTGCCTTGACTTGACTTGACAGGAAAGTTTGAGGGAGACATGGAAAACATGGGAAAGAGAGTTGGGGATGTCATAGAGCCAATCATGTTAGGACTGTTGCCACTGTTTCTGCCCCATTCTTGACTTTTCTCTGCAAAAAGCAAGTGATCAGTCTACAGAAGGTAAATTTGACTTGACTTCTCTTTCGTGTTTGACCTGATTTGACTGAAAAACTTCAGCTCATGCTATTTAGAGCTGTGTTGTGTCAGTGTTGTCGTGAAGTTGTGTCTCCAAACATCTCCCCAACTATCAACAGTCAGAAACAGCTCTGTCTTACATCCTGAGCTGAGGCCTCGTTCAGTCAAAATGACTGTGGAGAGTTTAAATGTCACTTTTCTTTCATGTGACTGGCTGAGGAATAATCTAAGTGGTTTATTTAGTGGGACTTTTTACACTGAAAGAGTGAAAGGACTATTTGTTTTAGTGATTTTTATGGTGGAACTTTGTCATAAAGTGGGCAGTTACGAGTGTGCGTAGATTTTCGTATTTAGACATCTACGCCGACACAAGATTGAAGAAAACAACACCAGGGGAAATCAAGACACAATAATTCACTCATTAAAACAAAGACACAGACAAAACACACTCTGTCCTGCCCGTGTGTCATGCAGTGAGTGTGCGTTTTCATGGCCTTGGCATTCTTGTTAAACACACACACACACACACGTTCCTTGACCAACACATCTGGTGTGTATTTATAGCACATGCAGTGACGTCAACTTGGCAACCAGCACTGAGGGGTGGGATGTCAAAACCCTCTACTTCCTGTCCGGGAATCTTCAACATGGACTGAGGGCACACACACACACACACACACACACACTTTCCCCTCCTTTGTGCCAACATTTGCACTTCATTACTCTTCTCTCTGGAGGGATTATTTTTAAAGTTTGTTGGGTTTCAAGCAGATTTTCCATCTTGTGACATTCAGGATTGCATTTTTGTAGAAACGTAAACATTCACAGAGCTTTTCGCTTCTTCACGGGTTACTATTTTCTGTGAAGCAGGTTTACATGCTACTTGGATGGTCCAATTTTCCACTTTGATACCAAATGAATTTTGAACTGTCGTGTGAACATGAACGTGATGCTTCAAAGGTAAATCTAGAACTATTTTTGTTGGTCATGGGGTCTCTAAAAATATTTTTTTGTTGCATTATATCAAAAAGTTTTATCTTACTCACGAAAATTTGAACGGCTGTTTTAAACCCTCAGGTTTGGCATTATCTCTTTCAGCTCTGTCAGTCAGCTCCCATTCCTCTGTCGCTTTCAGTAAAACTTCTGCTGTGAGACTCCAGCATCATTTTAGTTTGCAGTACTTAGAAATTCATTTCCCATACATTGTAATTAAAATCGGTTCTTATTGTCATGTGGACCCCGTTGCATGTGAGTGTGGACCAAAGTGCATTCTCCACCTCTTCTCTTGTCTCAACATGAAGAGCCGGAGTGGCTTTTTTCCCCGTCACATGACACCAACAAGAGCTGTATAAGAGTTTAGATGTGTGTGTGTGTGTGTGTGAGACAAAACCTGCATTATGTCCCATACGTCCCCTCATAGCATACCAGCAGCCACTTCTCCTCACACCATCACTCAGCTGAGACAGAGCACAGGGCGCCCGCTCTTAAACTTCCTCGCTGTCAAAAGGGGCAGATATCTGAATGAGTGGACGTCTGGCCCAAGAGGGGAGCCTCCCTCTGACTCACTCTGCCCTGCATGGGAAAAGCATTAAGAGGCCAAAGAGCTGATGCAAACCTGAGAAATTAGAGAGAAAGGAGAATTGAAGGCACAGTTACCCATGTCTCCTACACAAATAGGACACAAAGGAGAAATCTCAAATCATAACTACCCTTCTCAACAAAGTTTTGTCTTGAATGTCTCGTGGTTTTCATGTGTTTCTTACACAGATGACTTTTCAGCTGCCGACCACTTTTCACCTGCTTAATAATGTTAACTCACTTCAACTTTATTCGATGCGTAAAACTAAAAATATAACCCTGATTCCAAGTAAGTTAAGATGCTGTTTAAAGTGTCAATAAAAACAGATTTTTGATTGTTTGATGATCTGGACTCTTAATTAACTGAGATTACTGCAAAGACAACATATCAAATATTAAAACTGTTAAATTGTTTTGTTTTGCATAAAATAAATACTAAAATGGGAATGTTTACTGTCATGTTTTATTACTCTCTATGCACTCCATCTTAAAAAGACCTGGGCCCAGAGAAGACACCAGTACTTCTGAATCATGCTTATATATAAAATTAATAATAATAATTGTATTTATACTGCAGTTTTATGGTTTCCTCTTTGCGTGTCTGTAGAAGCAGCAGCTATCCATGTTCACAGACAGACTTTCTGGAGGTGACTTTGAGCCCACATGCAGTGACTTCCACTGCAGAATTGTGTCTGTTTTTACGGCAGTGCTGCTTGAGAGTCTAAAGATCACTCTGTGCATTATTTAAAGGATAAAAACCATCATTTTCAGCCCTTTTTATACCGTACTGTACTTTGATTTCCACTTCTCCATGTGGTCTAAAAACTTTCCAGTCAGACATTGAATGTATGTTTTAAGAAGCAGCTGGGTCCTGCTTTGGCCTTCGTAAGTCTGGGTAGGACTGGAGAATGATTAGCTCATAGAGCACTGTATGGAAAATGTCCTGATGGCAGCTGGCGGGCACTCAGTCATTCTCACTTTACCAGCAGAGAGCTTTAAACCCTCCGTTTCCAGGAGGGGAGTCCTTGTTTCATTCAGACACAAGTGTTTGAGTGTGTTTACTTTCTCAAGAGCAGAATGGGACATTATGTTACTCCGATTTACACTCTTGTGATACATCTTTTCCTCCCCTCTTCTGCAGATCAGTATGATGGATAGATAGCAGGAGGAGGAAGAGAAGATGTCGTTCTTCGGTGTGGACTTTGCGCGTAAGAAAGAGAGAGGTAAGTCAGTTTTAAACTTGGAAATTGATATTCTGAACGCAACATTTACTGTCATAAAGAGGTCACGTTGGTGCAGTGTAGATCCCTTCTGGAACAGCAGCAGAGATTTTTTTCATAAAACACAAACCTCCTCTGACAGGCTTAGCTGCTCACTTTTCATCACAACGTCATCAGGGTCTCTCTCATCACCCATTGTGACTGCACTGCAGTGGGACTCTTCTTCTGTAGCATGTTGACTTTTTCATGATCAAAATTTTGTCATGACACTGAAAAAATTTTAAAATCAGTCACATTAATTCAAATTTAATAGATGTCCTCATGCATCGACATGCACAAGGTACACAGTAAATTATTTTCCAGGGCAGAGAGATCGCCGACAAGTAAAAGCCACCTGCTTAATGCCTGCTGCATACTTTCTGCCGCAGGTTTTCACCATAACATCCATTAACACATACAAAAAAAATGGACGTTATAGTACAGGTTATAGGCATGAACCCCTATGATAACCAATCATTCAGTGTAATTTACAGATATTACTAAGAAAACTGACTCCTGAAAATAAAAAATGCTGCATGTGGTTAAACAGTTCCAACTTTTGTGTCAAAAAAAGTTATTTTGGGATTAAATATCTTGTAATTCAGTATTTGATAGTATTGAAATGTGTCAGTTTGCCAAAATAAGAAAAATAGAGAACACCGTCTGTCATATTTTTCACCCCACAGCTGCTGCAATTGAGGGACAGTGAGGAAAAAAAACAAGAAAGAAAGGAAGAGGAAGGAGAGCAGAGCATCAACATACAGAAAAGGCGAAGCGAGAGCATCAGTTAAGAAAAGGAAGTTTAGTACAATCACAGTGATGACTTTTCAGCAGAACTGCACAAAAGTCACACTTCTCTCATGTGTGTCTCTCTGCTCAGCCCCCCGTCACAGACTCTACAGCGCTAACGCTCCTCATTCACAAGTCAGCATATGCTAGTGATATGTCAAGATAAGGAAATCTTTTATTATGGTGACTCATTAATTGCAGGAAAATCTTATTTAATTCACCTTTTATTACTATTATCAGTTTGTCAAATGTTGGTCTGTGTTTCTTGATTTTTTTCTGTGCTAGCCACAAATGATTCAAAATCAAAGCAAACGAAATTTATTATATAGGGTCCGCAGGAGTTTATTTGCTATTACTGTGGTGTGGAAACAGACATCAACATCATTTGGTTTTTACCTGAAAAGTATCAAACTTCAAAATTGTGTTATTATTTCTGCTCTGTTCTTTCAACTCAAGACACACTGATGAGATAATTATTCAGTACATCTATCAGTGGGAGGGAAGTCTCCTCTTAAACATGTTTTTAATGTGATTATTTTTACTTTAACTTCACTTCAAATGAGATTAATGACATCTGGACTTGTTTCAAATTCACGTACATTAATCACTATCCTTTTTCTGTGTCTTTTCAAACAGAGCTGGAGAGGAAACTACGTGCCAATGACCGCGAGTACAACCTCTCCTTCAAATATGCAGTAAGTGCTTCAAGCCCACATATATTTTACACAACAATGCAGGATTTTATGTGGTCAGTGCAGATATTTACAAAGAAAGGGTGTGTCCTTGCTGTCAGGAGACGAGACATCAGCCAGACAAAGAAGAAATGTGAATAAGGCACATTTTTAGATCATCAGGACACAAAGAAATTTTACGGAGAAGAAATTGTGTGCGGAATTAACAAATAGATGACAGGAACTTATAAAAAGTGACAGGTAGCAGTCTTGATATGTCTTTTTAAGCACATTTCCCTTTTCAAACAGTAAACAGAACAAATTGAGATCCACAAAAATAAGTTTTCAACAAACAAAGTTTTCAGTTTTCAAAGAAAGGAGACCAAGCTCTGTCCAAACACAAAACAAAACTTTATAAACTCCCCCGTCCCTCCTCTGTGTAAACATTTACATCCAGAGCAGCACATCCAGTCTGTGGGCGGTTTTGTTAGTAAAGACATTCAGAGATGGAGTCACATGTGAGTCAGATCTGGGCTGGTCAGAGCGCTGAGCCTCCTGATAAGACCCACCTGTTGCCGACCGAATACCTACCACCAGATCTACAAACATCTGCAGCACGAAGTCTTTACAGAAAAACAAACTTTAACAAAAATGAATTATCTCTGAGGAGCTCTAATCTGCTTTAAAACTTTTATTATCTTATTTTTTTATGGTTAATTGACAGATCTAGATAAAGCACGTCTCAACGTCCAATTCATAATGCATGAATGTGCCCTTAACAATGAATCAACACCGTCAGTCAATTCAAGGAAAGGCAGGACAAAGATGGAGCAACACATTACCTCATAAACTTTACTGATAACAAGGTTATTTTACATGTCGTCATCTATTTCTGATTATTTCCAAATTTATGATTCACCGTCAGCAATGTGACCAAAACTTCTTTGGAGACTGTGAACTCATGGTTGTACCATATACCTATTTTGAGAACAGTTATTGTCAGCTAATAGAGTATGAAAGATGACAAAAAGTTAAATTAAACTGGAAAAAAACAAAGTAGACACCAGTCTGTGGACTCTTACAAAGACTTGCGTCTCCTCGTCTGACTGATCTCATGATGACGGGTTTTCTGTTCCTGTTTCGGTGGTTGTTCAGCCTCAGTCTGACAGCAAAAAAACATGTCCAACATTTAAATCACCAACACACAGGAAAATATAGTGAAACAGACGGAAATCAAAAGTTACTTCTCTTCTGATGCAGATCACTATTTAAAAGAAAGATGACATTTTTTACCCATATGTGCACAGAACAAAGTCAGCAAAAGTGTATGGGGTGACATATTGTCCACAGGGGGTGCCAACATTGACATAAGGTTTCTTGCTTAAACCATTGAGAACAAATTCAGCCACTAATTTCCCATTTGTTAAAATAGAAACTGGAATCTCGTCTAATCTAAATGTAGGAAAACACTCAAAAACACTCATAACTAAACATAAGAACAGACTCGTAAAATCTGTAAGAAAACAATGTCATATTTGTTAGATTAATTTAGCTAACATTAGCAGAGCTGTCACTCCCAGCCTTCAAACTTCTTACAGGCCTAAACTGGTTACACATTGCTTTATTTGACTAAACTCACACAACTCTAATTTCATTTTTTATGATTTCTTTGTTTAACTCTCTTCCCTTCTGTTTGCTCTCTTTTCGCTCTTTTCCCAGACAAACGCCATCAAGACCTCCAAGTACCACTTCATCACCTTCCTACCTCTAAACCTGTTTGAGCAATTCCAGAGGATCGCTAACGCCTACTTCCTGTTTCTGCTGGTGCTGCAGGTGAGCGAAACAAACACACCAAAACACATGCAGGTGTACTCAGAGGAAAGCTTAATGCGGCAAGTGTCATCTCATTTTTTATTCTTATTTTATCAAATAAGAAAAAAAATGAAGTTTTGGTCAGTTTGTGGACCACAACAGAGACACTGTGAAATTTAAGTTTCAGGAGAGTTTTTCTTTTAACATAATAAAAGCGACAGATTCAGACGGACCTTATGGTGGGAATTCCTGTTTCACACACTTACAGACATGCAAACCAACACAACACGTATGCATTATAGCGCCTTACTGTTTCACAGTAAGACCATGTGTGCTAACCAAACAGGATGTGGATGAAGAGAGAGAGATTGAGGAAGTGTAATATCCAGCCCAGGAAATTGCCTCATGGTTTGCAAAACTGAAAACAGTCACACTGAACCGCAGAGGTCGTCTGCTGAGAATTCTGTGCTGACAAGAGGGAAATTCAGCTGTTTTGAATAAATTAAAAGCAACATTTTTACGTACTTTTCTAGACAAGTTAAAACCCATTCTGTTTATTTCCTAGCATTAAAATCTCTCAGGGTTTGACGCAACTTGTTCTTGGATTGATATTAACATAGAATCCCTGGTCATCCTTTCATGGCCTTTTTTTTTAAACTTTCAACAAAATCGGGGGCCTGTGATATAAATAAAGGTCAACATACTCAGGGTTTCTTTAGATTATGAGGTTTCACTGATCCTGACTGAGGAGATCCCACGAAGCGGTCAAACAAGGCTGGTTCTCAACCTGATATGACGACCAACAGTTACCATGAATTGTTTTAGATGAAATGGTGAAAGCAACATGAATAAGCACAGAAATGAACAAGTCTGACACCCGTAGCAAACTGGTTTTAAAAAATATTTAGCAGTAAAACAGAAAATTGTGACTCAAATATCAAATCAGTCATCATGTTAATATATTTTTGTGTCTCTTTTGTTGTCGGTTTGTCTTTAGAGTGAGTCCCCAGTTTGTATTTCCTGTCTCTTTTGTGCAGATTTAACTTCATATTCATATTCGTCTTTAGATGTCTGAACTGAAATAAGGTCTCTCTTTGTGTGTTTTTCAGGTGATCCCTCAGATCTCGTCTCTGTCTTGGTTCACCACTGTGGTTCCTCTAGTTCTCGTGCTGACAGTCACTGCTGCCAAAGATGCCACAGACGATATTGTAAGCACATGTCTCTGACTTTCTTTATCATCAGTTCATTATATCATGAATAAAGGCATAAGTAACATAAAACACTTACTGCCTGAACACGTGGGAATTTCCCTCTATTGTTACATGAACTTCTGTAATGTTATGGAAACAACATATTTATCCAGTGTCGGTAAAAACTCACTCAGCACTGTGTGTTACTTTCTGTTATCTCAGGCTGCTGATAATCACCGTTTACTTACTTTGACTGTGGGAAAAATATCAGCCGTCTCATGTACCAAACACTTCACTCTGTGCTAAAACCATGTCGTCACATTTTCAGTGTCTAACAGGACACACAAAAGTCTGGAAATGTAAAGCAGCCACTTTATTTAAAAGAACTCCACAGGACATTCAAATTTGGTACCTAATGCTGAAAACTTTGGGTCTTGATTCAGATTTGCCGTTTATTGCTTGTAAAGATGGATGTGGTTTCTCCTCTTCCTGTTGTTGTACTAAGGTGATGCCAAAAGTTCCCGCAGCAGGTGCCGACGTAATGCATGACTGAGGAAATCTGGCGTTTCATATCAGTGTTTCATATCCAGCTTTAAAATTCTTAATAGGAACTTTAAAATACCTGATTTGACCTTTTTTTACTGTTATTACAAAAGAGAGGATTTCATCAGATTTGTGGCAACGCTGTAATGAAGACATGAATTGATGTCATAAAGGAAATGAAACTGATTAAGAAATAACCAAAAACTCTCCCAGTCCAGGCTCACAACTACAATAACAGTGTACTCACTCTGCATACTCATGAGGAAGTAGAATTTTTATTTACTGAAAGGTCAAACTGTTTCTTTGTCATTACTTTCTGGAAACATGAGCAGAACCAGAAAACAATTAAAGGAAAAAGCTTTTTGTTTACTTTAGGCTTTCAAGGTTAACCAAACGCATGAGTACGTGTGTGTTTGTACATGTGTGCGTGTGGGGTGGAGACACCAAATAACCTCATGCCAAACCACCACAAGGAAATGAATTCAGTCATGGGTTAAACATTAGCTGAAGGAGAACAGGCGTCTTTTTGTTTGGCTGTCTTGAACGCTCCTCGCCCGTCGTTGCCCATCTGTTCCCAGAGTGAAGTCAGCGGGCACGTCCAGGCTTGATTTGATCTGTACTCGCTCACAGAAACTCAACACTGACCATGTTTGGTGAGGTGGATAACCTTGCAAAACATATGCAGAATTAACTGACACCATGGCTGGGATGACTGCTGTGAAAGGAAGTTTTATAAGTATGGAGGCATTCATCAGAAAGAGAGAGAGTATTTGACAGACATCACTTTTTCCTCTCACTTTGCATTCACCTGTTTATGGAGCAGGAGGTGATTACAGAGTGAAGATATGATATAAAACTTTATTGGGTCATTAGGCCCGATGCTCCTTTACTGCTTTTTGTATTATCAGTGGAAATGACAGCACAGACTGTGGGTTTATTGGCAGTGGAATAACTAACAAAACAATCCACATAAAAAACACACAGATCTATGCCATAAAAACTCCTCACATCCTCACAGGACTTCATTGTAACACTCATGAAGGTTTCGTGGATCTCTTCTCACCCCCCAGGGTGGTCAGTACATGACCAATTAGAAATTAATTGCATGCTCCCCCTTCAAATATGAACTCTGTTTTCATGCACACTCCACTCGGATGAATACATTATGTATTAGATCGCTGGAATGGCATAAAAATTGTGTGGATTTCATGAGACACAGCAGAAATGTAAAATCGGTCATTTATGAGTTGTGGGTGGTCTAAATAGTCACAGTTTCATTAAAGAAATGGATAAATAAAACCTCATTTGACAAACCCTGTTTGCAAAAATTACTTTATAGTGACATTCAAATTGATCTAACTGGAAGTCCCTTATCCCTTGCTCACGTGAACATTTATATATATTTGTACAAGTTCCCCTTATATTTGCACTTCAATATTTCAAAATTAAAACACAGTGCAACACTCGGTTGAAACAGCTTTGTCTGAAGAAAGTGTAGATCTAAACCGAATTTTCTTGTCGGCTTCTTTTTGACTGAGTGCTGTTTCTTTGTGTGTGTGTCTTTTTTTCAGAACCGCCACAGGAGCGACAATCAGGTCAACAACCGTAAAGTTGAAGTCCTCATTGATAGAAAGTAAGCTAATTCATGTGCAATACACCAGGACACATAGATAGAAAGCTTCAGGTTGTTTTGTTTAGGTTTTGTTGAGGCAGCATGAAGGTACTTCATTCTTTCTGTACTGGTGGGTATTCCACAGGGCACCATACTAGCGCCCCTAAAGTTTTGTTTTAAAAAGCCCCTGAAAAGATCCATAAGAGTGGCTAATTGTTTAAGAGAGGAATAAAGCCATGTATGAATCAGACATAGCTCAGATATTTGAAATAGCAGATATCAGGTCAACAGGATACAAAACAAGCACTCCCAACCATCCTGCAGCTGCTTCCTGCGGCTGCACTAGAGAGAGTTTTGGTTTATGTGGCACGCAAGGACAATGAGGACCTAAGCAAACCTGTGTAGCTGTTACATTTATTATGTTATTGTTCACCTGATGCAGTGTAAAATATCACCAAACAGTGGTTTAAAATAAGGTGCAGCTCATGCTTACCTCGTAATTTCGTCACATTTGTTCGATAAATGTATTTCTCCTAAAATGAGTTCAGGAAATAAAAGAAATAATTTTAGAAGAAGTCCTATAATCTTATAATAATTGGACAAGAAATGTGAGCAACTTTATTGACAAAACTGACAGACTGATCAAAATTAATTTAGTGGCTATTTAGGTGTATATAAAACATAATTTAAAACCACTAAATGATTGTATTCCTGCCAAGTTTTAAAACTCAGACTGTTTACGTCTGACAGAAGAGCCAGGAAACTACCAGGAGCAGGCAGTGAAAGAGATGACTAAGAATAGGATGACCGCTCTGTTCAGGACTTTTTATTTTCCTCAGTTTATTTCCTGTCCAATAACAGAGAAAAAAAAACCTTCTCTGAACTTTACAACTCACTCAAACACACACAATCACACACAAACTCAAACACACACTCACACACACAGTCTAAACACTCACTGACCTGTTTCCTGTCCCCAGACTGCGCAGTGAGAAATGGATGGACGTCCAGGTGGGAGACATCATCAAACTGGAAAATAACCAGTTTGTGACTGTGAGTAAACAAAGAAAGTATCTCCTCATTTTACTCTCCTCCACTTTCACCTCCAAACTCTATCAATCTTTATTATTGGTTATAAATTTACGGTGATCAATGCCTTCTTGACGCTGCATTTCAGGCTGACCTCCTCTTGCTGTCCAGCAGTGAACCTCTCAACCTGGTTTATATAGAGACAGCAGAACTGGATGGGTGAGAAGATGTTTTATATCATATCATTATAAAGCTGATTCAGCATATCTGAATATCATGCAGAGGATTGAGTGATTCACCCCTTCTTCTTTATTTACCTGCTTCTCTTTAAACTTCACTCATTCCTCTTCTCTACCACCTCCTCTCTGCACTTTCTCTTCTCCTCTTCTTCAGAGAGACGAACCTGAAGGTCAGACAGGCCCTGCCTGTTACAGGAGACCTGGGAGATGATATTGAAAAGCTGGCAGACTTTAATGGTAAGAAAACTGGACTGCTACAGATAGCAGAGTTGAAACTGAGTCACCAAACTTCGAGTTCAGATCAAGTCTTCATTATGCGAGTCTGAGTCAAGTCCCCACTACCTTACCTTTGACACTCCAAACTATTGATTGTTTAAACTCTGTGTGACCTCTTGGATGTGTAGAAAACACATTTCTTTTATTAACATTAGATCTTGGTAAATCCTGTTAGTGTTTTTGGAGATCAAGATCATAGATGGATATTTAGATTGACAGACAGACTAACAGAGGACTCAAACTCTTCAGTTGGACCAGTAGGAGTTCTCCCAGTGTAAATCTGCGCCCCTCTGTCTCCTTAGGTGAGGTGCGCTGCGAACCCCCCAACAACCGCCTGGACCGCTTCACAGGAACGCTCACCATTGCTGGTCAGAAATACCCGCTGGACAACGAGAAGATCCTGCTGAGAGGCTGCACGCTGAGGAACACAGAATGGTGCTTTGGACTGGTGCTGTTTGGAGGTGGGTCAGACTTTTTATATACATATTATCATAAGAAAGTGAGGGAACTTTGCTTACTTACACCCCTATTAAAAAAAAAGATTAAAAAAAAAACTAAAGAATGATGTTTGATCGAATTGAAACGTACTTTGAGGTTTTGCTTATTTTTAATGTTCTTATGCAGGTCCAGAGACGAAGCTGATGCAGAACTGTGGGAAGAGCACATTCAAGAGGACCAGTGTGGACCGTCTGATGAATGTCCTTGTCCTTTGTGTGAGTCTTGAGGTCATTAGTTGTTTGTGTGATAGCCAATAGCTCATTATTTAAACTTAGCGTGTGCTGTCAGAGTAATGACACCCGTAAAACTCTCAACAACAGAGGTCCTCCTTTCCCTGCAGGTGTATTTTTGCTCTCGTATAATTTCTTGCTGTATGTTTTAAATGCTTAAAGTCAGTCCAGTCCAGCCATAAAGGTCTTCTAAGTAATTTTGCAAGTCAGGGGTGGATTAAAATCTATATTGTCATTATTGTGAGAATATTGCCATATTTTTGTTGTTACCTCCTCTGCAGATTTTCGGTTTCCTGGCATTCATGTGCACCATCCTGGCGATTGGAAACTTCTTCTGGGAGAGAAACGAAGGCTCAGAGTTCATAGTCTTCCTGCCCAGAGAAAATCAAAACGGAGCTGGCATCTCTGCCTTCCTCACGTTCTGGTCCTACGTCATCATCCTCAACACAGTGGTGCCCATCTCTCTCTACGTTAGGTAAGAAAAACTTTGTCAGGACTGTAGATTTCCAAAGACAGAAATGAAATACAGACAGAACTGAACAAACAAAACAAATGAAAAAAGATCCTACTTGTTTCCCATTTTCTCTGCAGCGTGGAGATCATTCGATTAGGGAACAGCTTCTACATTGAGTGGGACAGAAAGATGTACTACTCACGTAACGACACCCCCGCTGAGGCTCGTACCACCACGCTGAATGAGGAGCTGGGACAAATTAAGTACGTCTTTAGCGACAAGACAGGAACGCTCACTCAGAATATCATGGTGTTCAACAAGTGCTCCATCAACGGCAAATCCTACGGTAAGACTCAAGAAGTCATGTTTAGCTCTTGAACTGGTTGCAGGTTAGATTTCTGGATTACAATATCCTCCTAATTTATGCTTTTTTAACTTTTTTAAAACTTTTTGTGCTGCTTTCTTGTTTTTCAGGGACTTAAAATGTTTTTACGCTCATTTTCTGTCTCTGCTTGTTTTAGGGGATGTTTATGACTACACTGGCCAAAGACTGGAGATAACAGAGGTGAGTTCACAAGTCAGCAAGTCATCGTATCCCATGTGCTCAAAAACACTTGAAAATTAGGAGTTCATCAAAAAAACGAGGAAATGATACTAAATGCTATATTGGTACTAGCTGTAGATTTTTTTTTATCCTCCTCTCTCACAAACCAGGATACAGACACAGTGGACTTCTCCTTCAACCTGCTGGCCGACTCTCGCTTCATGTTCCACGATCACGCCCTGGTGGAGGCGGTGAAGCTGGAGAACCCCGAGGTCCACGCTTTCTTCAGACTGCTGGCTCTCTGTCACACCGTCATGGCCGAGGAGAAGAAAGAAGGTCAGTGTTTCTGTGACCCAGTGAAGAACCCCTTGGACTTTGAAATTGAACACAGTGAAATATTTGGGGGACATCTCACTGACTTGTATTCATCCTAACCTGCAAATTTTGATGGTTATGATGATTCTGTTTTAGAGTGGGCCAAGTGACTCCTCCCACCAAACACAGAATATTTAATTCTCTCTTTCTTGCAGGTGAGATTTTCTACCAGGCCCAGTCTCCAGATGAGGGAGCTTTGGTCACGGCCGCAAGAAACTTTGGATTTGTGTTTCGCTCTCGGACCCCAGACTCTGTTTCCATTGTGGAAATGGGACAGCAGCGCAGCTACGAACTCCTCGCTATCCTGGATTTCAACAACGTCCGCAAGAGGATGTCTGTTATAGGTACAAAAGCTGGTGTGATAATGATCATAAACATTTTCAGTCTTGATTTAAAATAGGGTTCATGTTTGTTCTCATGCCTGTGTGTATTTGTGTGTGTGTGTTTGTGTGTTTGTGTTTTCAGTGAGGAGTCCAGAGGGGAAGCTGTCTCTCTACTGTAAAGGTGCAGACACAATCATCTATGAGAGGCTGCATCAGTCCTGCAGTAAGCTGATGGAGGTCACCACAGAGCATCTCAATGTCAGTGATATATCTGCGTCTTTACTGTATGTGTGTGCATGTGTTTTGTTGTGATTGCAGCCACATTCTTTATATTACTTTTAAATTTAAAAAAAAACGCTGATCGCCCCAGCTAAAAAAATGTTAGCTCTTTTTGATGAGTAATGCATTCCCAAAGTGCGTTATAGGAAAAGGCAGATTTTCCCGGGTGTGTCAGAACTCAGGGTGTGGTGAGGAGCGAAGATTAGAGGATTTTAACTGGGGAGGCAACCTACCAAGTCAGATAAACTGAGTTTTTTTTTAAGGCTGTCGAGTTAATAATTAAATCCTAAATCTTTTGAATAAATCTGACACAGAAGAAGTGATTTGATAGGATTAAAACGTTCACTATTAGTACTTCAAAACGTCATGCTGATGAAGAAGGAGAGACCAGAAAGAGGGAAGGCAAGACAAAGATGGAGCTACATATCACTTCAAAAACTTGACTAATAAACACAAAAAACTTACATGTCACGATCCATTTGTAATGATGTTAAACTTTATGATTTATCCTCATCACCAGCCCTGTGACTGGAACTTTTTTGAGAGAGGGTGGTGTCTCATGAAATAAGTGTTTGCTGTGCTTTTATTTTGATAGTCTCGCATGAAGGTTTATGTAAGGCATTGCAAAACACTGCTTTTATTTTGACTTCTGGTAGATTGTATGTTACACAGCTGAATAAAACTAGGATACAAGTGTAATTGCACAGCTAATAAGAGTCCCCAAGATCCACAAGCTCTAATGTGAGTTGTTAAAAGTGCTGAATCATCTTTCAGAGGGCGGCTATAACTAGCTCACTAGCAGCTGCCACTGCGTCTTCTTCATGTTCTTTGTTTGATGACATATTGCAACCAGTGTAAAGGACCCCCAATGTGCTCAGTGCATTATCCTTTACTTATTATTATCATGATATCAGTATCTGATTTTTTACAGATATGGTTTTCATCAGTCCTACTGATATGTTGCATCAGCCCTAATATGTACTTGTCTTTATTCTCAAATATTGCTCCTGCATTTTCTCACAGGAGACGCATCCTCATGTCTGTCTAACTCCTCTGCAGAGTCTCTTTCTTTATTTCTGTTTTTCCTCATCCAGTAGATGTCATAACAGAAGATAAAACACTGATTATCTCCCGGTTGTCTGTTTGTCTTAGCTTGTCTTTTTAGTTTATACCTGCATAACAAAATTTAAACACCTCCGCACACGACTTTAACTTCTGTTTATCTCTCTGAATACCATCAGTTTCTCTGTGTTTTGGTTCTTCCAGGATGTGTATGTGATCATGTGCACCTTCATGCAAGGGGTCAGGCTAACTATGTGAATGCTGGTCTGCAGGAGTTTGCAGGGGAAGGCCTGAGGACTCTGGCGCTGGCCTACAAAGATCTGGATGAGGAGTATTTCATTCAGTGGAAACAGCGCCACCATGAGGCTAGCACGGCTCTAGACGACAGAGAGGGAAGACTGGACCAGCTGTACGAGGAGATTGAGAAGGATCTGCTGGTAGGGGAAGAAAACACATAAAAAAATGTCCTCAAAAAGTGACTGAATGATTTCAGCAGATTGTTGTTCAAAGTTATAATTTGTTCTTGGTGTTTGTCCAGCTCCTCGGAGCAACAGCCATCGAAGACAAGTTACAAGACGGAGTCCCTCAGACTATCGAGCAGCTGGCCAAAGCAGACATCAAGATCTGGGTTTTAACTGGTGATAAACAAGGTACAGAACTTTCAAATACATACTAAAAGACTTTAACACTTTTCATTGAAGTCCTTATAGTATGGTTAGCGTTAGTCAATAGTTTATTTTTCAACCACTGATAAGACCTGAGAAGATGCTTAAATGTATTTATACGTATATTTATATGATACGTATTATTATATATTTAAAGATATTTATATCTTTAAAAGTTAAATTAACAGCAAAGTCAGCATTTCTATTATTGCTTATTTGACGATGTAAGACTCCCATTTGAAGTTTGAGAAGAGTTTGTATTTCTCATTAACATCAGTAGAAAGTTAATTGAGAGTTTTGAGATTTTAAGTCAATGTACAAAAACATTCAACTGAATTATTAAAGCTGTCTATGTCCACAAGAATTTTGTATTAAACCTGTAAAAAAATCACTCTAATGTTAAAAAGTTCTATTGATGCTTATGAAAGGTATCTTGTATGTTGATATGTTTCTAATGGGAGCCTGAAAATGTCTTATAAGCAACAATAAAGGTGTGAATGATGCTCCTAATTAGAGTTATTTAGACTAACTAATGTTTTAAAGCTTCTTTATATTCAAGGTCTGTGTAAAGACATTCATTAACAGTTAATAAGACCTTAAAAGATGCCTATACACCCAAGCATACCCTTGTGATCAAGTGTTTGTAAAAAAACAGCCTCCACATAAAGCACAACAGCACCTCCACCTACTAAAGTGTCAGAGAGGACAGTTTAACAGAAGTTCACTCATCGAATCCTCCTCACCTTTGATTTTTCATCCCAACTCCCTCACCTCTTAACACAGAACAAAAATTTTCTGCATGACCAATCAGGCCAGCAAAATAAACAGCTCCTCCTCTGCCTGTATATGCAGGGAGTATCAAGTTTTACTGGTCTGGGAAACATTCATCAGAAATCCATCATGCATTCTGCGATAATGTGCTTCATACAGGAGCATCATACAGGATCATATTAACGTGATCTTTTGTGTTTAAAATAATATGCTTGTGTTGTTAGTCAGTGTAAAATTTCTGGTGTTGCATGTGTTTCAGAAACTGCAGAAAACATCGGGTACTCCTGCAACTTACTGCGGGAGGAGATGAACGAGGTTTTCATCATCTCGGGAAACTCCCCTGAAGATGTCAGACAGGAGCTGAGGTCAGACAGAAACACTTATCATGTTGCATCTTAAAAAATGTTTGTCAAGTCTTATTTGTCTCATGCACAATAATCATTACAAAGACACTAATGAGGATGAAGTGTTTGTTAATTAAGAATTCCTGCAACAGTGCCTACACTAAATCTTAAGAATAAATTTTTAAAATCTTCTATCTCCAGTATAAAAAGATGAATTCACTAAATCCTAAAACTACACCAGGACGGCATTTTATAAGACATTTTATAAGATTTTATAAGTAGATCTATCACAATTGAAAAAGTGATAATAAAAGTGATTACCACACACACACACAACCATAACAACAAGGTGCTTTGGAGTAGGTGTAAATAGCTTACACAAGGAATAAAGAGTTTAGAGGGTGAATTAAAAAATATAATAAAAGTTTCTGTAGAAAAGCAGAGCAGTAGATTAACCGTGTAATTTCTGTTTAAATCCTGTTTTTTATAAGTTCTCTGAAATTCATCTTTTTCTTCGTATTTGTGGTCAGAAATGCACAAACCGCCATAAAACCAGCTTCAGACGAGGATTCAGTGTTTCTGCCACAGGGAACTGTGAGTAATGGTCCCACAGTGGTCTCTGAAGAGGTGGCGAACGGAGAGTACGGCTTGGTTATCAACGGACACAGCCTGGTACGCCAAAGAAAAAGTCCTTATCAAAATACATTTCGTAAAGGGCCTCCTTATTCATTGTATGTACTCAGAAAAGAAAGAAAGAAAGAAAGAAAGACAGACAGACAGACAGGTAGGAAACATCCACCCATGCAAACAACATGAACAGTGCATTTAAGAATAATAATACATTTATTTATCCCCAAAGGGAAATTCAATTGTCTGTAGTCTCATTTGTCATGTCTCAGAAAGTCATCTATATTATAATTTATATTACATAACAGGAAAATAAAAACACCTGAAATGTTATTTCAATAAGTCAAAATACCTTAAAAACACTCCTTTTATTACCTTCTGTTACGTTGACACCTGCAGTTTCACACTTTTCACACTTGTACTGTTATGTGTTAGAAAGTTATACAACCCCTGTGTGTCATCATCACTTTCCTGTCTTCCCCTCAGGCGTACGCCCTGGAGCGCAGCCTGGAGCTGGACTTCCTGAAGACGGCCTGCATGTGCAAGGCGGTGATCTGCTGCAGAGTCACTCCTCTGCAGAAAGCTCAGGTGGTGGAGCTCGTCAAGAAGTACAAGAAGGCAGTCACACTGGCGATAGGAGACGGAGCCAACGATGTCAGCATGATTAAAGGTATCGTCATGGAAACAGAGAATATTTGTGGGTGTTTATTATGGTTTTTGTCCCATTTGAAAATCTGTGTGAGAGACATAAAGGACTACATCAGATGTAGCTGCTCAAATATTCATCCGTCTCTGTCCATCCAGCGGCTCATATAGGCGTGGGAATCTCGGGTCAGGAGGGCATGCAGGCAGTGCTGTCCAGCGACTACTCCTTCGCTCAGTTCCGCTTCCTGCAGCGCCTCCTACTGGTGCATGGCCGCTGGTCATACTTGCGTATGTGCAAGTTCCTGCGCTACTTTTTCTACAAAAACTTCACCTTCACCTTCGTGCACTTCTGGTATGCCTTCTTCTGCGGCTTCTCTGCACAGGTGAGGGAGAAATTAATGCAATCTCAGAGTTTGACTTTATAATTGTAATTGACTTTATTATGATTTTATATTCATGATAAGTATAATCAATGATAATTGTTCCTCAGAAAATACTGGGACAATGTTTAATTCTAAAAAGTGAAAATCATTTTACTGTCTTTGTTGTGTTCAAGTATAAATGTTGTAAAAGAAGTTAACAGATTTTCTGTTCCTGCTTTTTGCTTTTCAGACGGTGTACGACGAGTGGTTCATAACACTGTATAACCTGGTGTACACGGCACTTCCTGTGCTAGGAATGAGTCTGTTTGATCAGGTAACTCATGGCTATCTGTGTGTGGAGTCCCCTGCTAACTACTATAACAAATGTGGACATAAAGGATTCCTGCAAGCCTAAAGTTCTATTCTAATCGTTTTTTTTTTTCTTCTTTTTTTTTTTTTTTTTTTTTACAACTTAGAGTGTTCTCACTGGTCTTGAAATTGTGATTATGAAGTTTTTAGCCAAAATCACGTCACCCATGTCATCTTCAAGAGCTTTTCTTCTGCAGAGCTCCATTAGCTCATTAGCAATTCACCTTTGAGTCGTGGGTGGAGACAGCGCTGCTCTGCACACTCCTCTTCACGCTGACTTGCAGCCTAACATTGCCAGTGTAGTAGAAGTGGCAGGTAACATAGGAGCTATTCAGCTCTCAGACACTAATGTCTTCGGGGACATAATCGCAGTTAACCCTTGTGCACCCCTAGGGACCGTTTTGGTCCTTTGTAACTATACTTTTGTGGATAATTTTGGCTGTGATGATGCAAATGGCATGAAAGTTTGCCAAAGTGTGTAATTTTAGGTGCAATTTAATTTTTTTTCTTTTTTCTTCCTTTAACCTTTTTTGCATGTGAGCAATTTTTATACTTCAGTAAACACCCCTAAGGACCGAAACGGTCCCATTGACTCCCATTAAAACATGTTTTTTTCAATACACTGCCAATGCAGTATAATTTTTGGATTTTTTTTTTCTCATGTACACCTATTCTTTGAGGGTCAAACTGTTTTTTTTTTTTATGCCGACCAGCAGATGGCGCCATTTTTCTTTTTTCCTGCCATACCCTTTAGAACCAGAGGGGCACTGTTTTCCCTTTGTCACAGAGCTGGTTTATTTCATGCATATAGATAGATAGATTGATAGATATATAATTTATTGATCCCAAACTGGAAAATTCTCATGTTACAGCAGCAAAAAAATACAAAATAGAATTAAATATAAGAAGAAATATGTACAATGCAGACTAAAAATACTAAATATATACATTGAATACAGGCTAAATATACTAAACATCTTTAGAGAGAAAATAAATTTAATAAAAACTATTTAGGTGTGCTTTTGGGACATCATGGATTATGTGCATGTGTTTTCATGAATTACTTGTGTGTGTGTGTGTGTGTGTGTGTGTGTGTGTGTGTGTGTGTGTGTGTGTGTGTGTGTGTGTGCATATGCAGCCATGAGAATAGCCAAAATCCTTCCAGAAACAGCGGCAGTTGTACAATCTGCACCTGCAGTTTCCTTCTGTGTGTGTGTGTGTGTGTGTGTGTGTGTGTCTGATTGTGTGTGTGTGATTGTGTGTCTGATTGTGTGTGTGTGCGCACGTGTGTGAGCAAGCTCATGAGGTTCATAGCGGGCACCTGATCAATGTGAGTGCGTAAAAGCAAGCGAGGAAGGGATGGAGTGTGAGTGTGTGTTTGTGTGTGTGTGTGTGTGTGTGTGTGTGTGTGTGTGTGTGAGATTGTGTGTGCGAGCGTGCGTGCGTGTGTGCGTGTGTAAGCGCACGCACGAGGTTCATAGCTGGCACCTGAAGAGGGAGGGCTTCATCAATGTGCTTACGTAAAAGCAAGGGATGGATGGATGGATGGTGTGTGTGTGTGTGTGTGTGTGTCTGATTGTTTGTGTGTGTGTGTGTGTGTGTATGTGTGCATGTGTCTGATTGTTTTTGTGTGTGTGTGTGTGTGTGTGTGTGTGTGTGTCTGATTGTTTGTGTGTGTGTGTGAGCGAGCGCACGAGGTTCATAGCAGGCACCTGATCGATGTGCGTGCGTAAAAGCAAGCAAGGGATGGATGGTGTGTGTATGTGTGTGTGTGTTTGAGATTGTGTGTGAGATTGTGTGTGCGTGCATGCATGTGTGAGCGCACGCACAAGGTTCATAGCGAGCACCTGAAGAGGGAGGATATCATCGATGTGCGTGCATAAAAGCAAGAGATGGATGGATGGATGGATGGATGGTGTGTGTGTGTGTGTGTGTGTGTGTGTGTGTGTGTGTGTGTGTGTGTGTGTGTGTGTAATACACTACAGAAAAAAAAAAATCTTTTCAAATTTTCTCATCAATGTTTACCAATCCCATGCTCTAATAATCAAAAGTTTAAAAAAACAATTTGCATATATAGGATGGAAAATAATTCACTAATTGTGTTTTTTGACTTAAGATAATATCAGGTTTTTACAAAAAAGACTGGCATTTATGGGGTTAAAATACACAACCTGAATAAAGTTTTGCTATTTATGATTAGGTTATAAGTCAATGATGGCAGCCAAAAAAAAAAAAAATTTAAATACATTTATTTAGACCATATTTTTACTCCAGCAAAATGGAGGGGACCGTTTCGGTCCCTAGGGGTGTTAATTGAAGTTTTTATTATTATTCAACACTACAGAAAAAATACAAATCCTTTCAAATCCATTTTCTCATCAATGTTTACCAATCCCATGCTCTAATAATCAAAAGTTTAAAAAAACAATTTGCATATATAGGATGGAAAATAATTCACTAATTGTGTTTTTTGACTTAAAATAATATCAGGTTTTTACAAAAAAGACTGGCATTTATGGGGTTAAAATACAAAACCTGAATAAAGTTTTGCTATTTATGATTAGGTTATAAGTCAATGATGGCAGCCAAAAAAAAAAATTTTTAATATATTTATTTAGACAATATTTCTACTGCAGCAAAATGGAGGGGACCGTTTCGGTCCTTAGGGGTCTTAATTGAAGTTTTTATTATTATTCAACACTACAGAAAAAATACAAATCCTTTCAAATCCATTTTCTCATCAATGTTTACCAATCCCATGCTCTAATAATCAAAAGTTTAAAAAAACAATTTGCATATATAGGATGGAAAATAATTCATTAATTGTGTTTTTTGACTTAAAATAATATCAGGTTTTTACAAAAAAGACTGGCATTTATGGGGTTAAAATACAAAACCTGAATAAAGTTTTGCTATTCATGATTAGGTTATAAGTCAATGATGGCAGCCAAAAAAAAAAAAAATTTAAATATATTTATTTAGACCATATTTTTACTCCAGCAAAATGGAGGGGACCGTTTCGGTCCTTAGGGGTGTTAAGGGAAGTTTTTCTTAGGGGTGCACAAGGGTTAATATCATAATTAGCTTTCTTACGAGCATTGCAATCTGCTAACGCACACGCTTGTTCCATGATTGTCCTCTGTACTTCTCCGAGTCTGGCCTGCATAGTGGGGCTTTGAGAATTTGTGATGTAGAAAATCTCACTGTGTCTGAACCTGCTGTTCGGGTCTGTGAGAGGTTCACAGCGATTTAAATGCAGAAATATTCCGAAATGCAATTTCACACTTATTTTTCTTATAATATGCCCTGGAGCATCAGAAAAATGCCATATGAACATGTAAAAAACAAGAAAAACAGGATTTACATCAGAGTGGGTCTTAAATTTTCTTCAAACTCACTTATGTTGACGTCTCACCTTTGTCTCCCTCTGCTGGTCAGGACGTGAACGACGTGTGGAGTTTCCAGCACCCTCAGCTTTACATTCCTGGTCAGCTCAACCTCTACTTCAGCAAAAAGACTTTCTTCAAGTGTGCCCTCCACAGCTGCTACAGCTCCTTGGTGCTCTTCTTCATCCCCTACGCAGCCATGCACGACACGGTGAGGGGCGATGGGAAAGACATCTCAGACTACCAGTCCTTCGCTCTCCTCACTCAGACGTGTCTGCTGTTCGCTGTCACCATCCAGGTATGAGGGATCCTCTGAATACTCTTTTGTGTAGAGTTATAAATGCTCACATACTTTTTAACATGTTTCCTCCTTGTGTGTGTAGTTGGGGCTGGAGATGTCTTACTGGACGGCAGTGAACACTTTCTTCGTGTTGGGCAGTCTTGGCATGTACTTTGCGGTCACGTTCACCATGTACAGTAACGGCATGTTCCTCATGCTGCCGTCAGTTTTCTCTTTTATTGGTGAGTGGATTCTGAATAAAGACATCAAAGTCAGTCTAATCCTAAATCTCATCACTCACTTACCAGAGGAGACAGCATCAAGTGAGCACAGACAGAATATTAACAGAGCTGTTTGACCTCTAAGCCTGAGGAGCCATGTCTGTCACTGATTACAGCTAAAAGAACTGCCTGAATAAAAACCTCATATTTGTGTGTTTTTCTGCAGGAACCGCCCGAAACTCTCTGAGCCAGCCAAATGTTTGGCTGACGATCTTCCTCACCTCCATCCTGTGTGTTCTTCCTGTGATTACCTACCGCTTCCTGTTTATACAGCTCTGCCCAACCATCAATGATAAGGTATAGATTGGTGCAGAACGGTTCTGTGCTCATTATTTACATTTTACTAGTCTGACAAAATATATAACGTAAAATACAAGAACTTTTTAGATTTAGATCTGTTCAGAAATCCTCTGTTAGCTGAGTGATTGAGAGCAGAGGTTTTTGATCTGAAATGCACACCTGTATATGTGTCATGGTATCAGATTTTCACCTGCATGGTAACAATATTATCACAGACATCAATATGACTTTCAGTCTATGTCATAAACCTGAGAAACTCCTCACAGGAGCTTAAAGTCGATCTTTCAGTTCTTTGACCAAACAGATTCACCACATTTTGTCATTGTTGCTGCCCTCTCAAATTCTCAGGTGATGTTCAAGGTGAGACAGGCCAAAGCCACACCTCCTCCTCCACCTCGTCGCACCCGCATCCGCCGCACCAGCTCCCGCCGCTCTGGCTATGCCTTCTCACACGCTCAGGGCTATGGTGATCTGGTGACTTCTGGGCGGTTCCTTCGGCGTCCTGCAGTGTCGCGGTCGTCAGGTTTTCCAAACATCGGTCGGCCCACCACTGGCTTCAGTCCGATGGGGCGATCAGCAGGATACAGCCCGACAGGGCGGCCTCAGAACACCAAGACCCCAGACGTGGAGGTGACATCTCTGCAGATGTACAGGACTTTCAGTGATCCTGCTCTCTGACAGCATTTAGAGGAGGAATAACATAAAAAGGCAGGAGTGCTGCTTGCTGCTGGCAGTCAAAGGTGCTCAAACCTCCAATTTGTCCACTAAGAACCTTGAGAGGGCTCTCCAAGGAACTTCAAGTCATAGATTTGTGATGTCCTGCCTCTCATCTGTGGAGTCCAACATGACGAAGTTTGGGATTGGCATGACTTTTGCTCCGAGCATGTTATCTCTGAAGGAGCTGAAGTGAAGCATGATCAGGAGGTGGATCACTTTCCAGAGACGGTGTGTTCATGTTGAACATGAGTCATGCAGAGTAAATACAGGAGAGGTTTCTGACGCTAAAAACCAGCAACAGGGGGATTTATTTGACAGTAGGGGGCAGCACAGAGGACAGAGTGTCATCATGTTTACAGACTACCAGGACCCTCTCTGACCCTGGAGTCCAGATCTACAGCAGGACTTAGAAGAGAGGATAACCAGCAAAGCCGTTGTGCATGAGAATATAGTAATTTTATACTTTTATGTGCCTTTTAAGGAATTTATCGACCATCCTTTAAGCTTTACTGTCAGTAAGGAGAAAAAAATGAATGTTTAAAAGATTATGAAACGACCTTTAGTTTCACAGCAGGAGTCGGTGCTGTTCATCAAGTTTCTCCTTCTTTTGTTTCAGACTTTTCTGAGTCTTGAAATTTTTCCATACAACTTAGTTAAAACAAGGAAAGAAAACTCAAAGCAGAGAGACAGGAGCATTCAAATTAAAGCAGTGGGTACTAATATGCAAAAAGAATGACATGTTTAAGATAATCTAACATTTTTAGAGACAACAAAAGGCTGTAAAGGAAAACAGTTTCCCTCTGCATCAGTGCCTTTTTTCCCCTACTGTACTTGATCCTGCATCAGACCAGATCACAGAGCTGGTTTAAAGAGATGCTCGCTCAGCATGCCTTAAACACACCTCAAATTACTGCTTCAGACCAGATTTAGTACCTCACTGATTGTAAGTTTTTGTCTGTGACTGCAAGCTGAAAAATGTTCAAAGCAAAACTACACCAGGTTGCACATGTCTCCAGGACAGACAATTTTGTTTATATTGTAGGAAAATCAACCACATCTACCTGCTTTTAGGGGTCAATCATACTAAAAACACACTACAGAGCTGACTGAGTGACCTTTGAACCCACTGAAGGCCAATTTAAGGATCACAAACAAAACATTTTAGGTGTGAATATATCCTAAAAACTCTGCTCTGGCATTATCATAGGACCCTCTTTAAATCAGCTGTATAGACGTACCCACCATTTTTACTTCATTGACAATAACAATTAAATATAAAGCTGAGGCTTTTATTTTGTTAATTCTAAACATTCACTCTACCTTTATATTTTGGGAGGACTTAAATTGTTGCCCACTGTCTCATCTTGCATATCCTAAATCTTGAAAAAGGCCCAAAATATAACCTTAAAAAAAAATGCCTGTTTTGTGCAGCAGTTATGTGTAATGAGAGGTAATGATGTTAGAAAACAACATGATTCAGCCAAGTTAAGGACAGGCTACACTTTTGAGTTAAACATACAAACATGGTTATTATAATGCATGTGGATACAGCAGAGCAGCTGCCTGTTACATGTCTTTAGGATCAATTTTAATTTATTATGTAGTGCAAAAATGTTAAAAGAAGGATCCAAAAGGGAAAAGTGTTGTGATTGTGCAACCAAAATGTGTATTATTTGATTATTGCCCTTGTTAGTTTCTTATTTGCGTATCATGATTTATCAGAAAGAGTCTGTGGTTTAATTTATACTGTTATAAAGGCTGATGGATGATTCATTGTGTTTCTATCTGAATGATGAATTGTTGCCCAGAACTGAATGTACTTAGCCTCTAACCCTGACAGGTGACCAAAGACTTTTTGAAGGTTTTTGTGCTGTTTTTCTCTTTCTCTGGAGTAAAATTTTCATTCACTCATGCTGGGTGATAGTGTGGTGATGCAGATTTTCACCACTCGGCACAGTAAAAATCAGCTTTTATGTCATCTCTACAGAGATAGTCCAAGTCTGGCTGAACAAAAGCAGCATTTAATTCCAGTTTGTAAAACTGTTGCTGTCATTATACTTACTAACCCTATGTCCTCTGATGTCCAGCTCAGGGTAGGAAACTCAAACGCTTGAATTAAGCCACTGATGTTTGGCAAATGTGGAAAACCCTACAATTTTACTTTGTATCATGATCACTGCTTTTTTAATAATCATCAGCATAGTCAAACTTAAGGATATCAGTCAGTATTTCAAGATTAAACTATATATTTGATTAGGAATGAGATAAAATTACATAAAAGTAAACTTAAAAACTGTGGTTTTAGCCTTTATTAAGTTTTACAAGTAAATATTAAGTTAAAATGTTGGATGTCAAGTTTCAAAATGTAATGTATGTCAGTGTAATTAACACTAGAGCCACTCCACATTTGCTCAATTTGTAACATCACCAGTTGGTGAAAGCTCTACTTTGATGAATGTAGCACCAAATAGAAACATCTTGCTTTGACCTTTTTTGTACTTTTTTAAAAGTTCCAGGTCAGATTTTGGGTCCAAAACAAAGAGACATCTTTTTATATATACATATATATAATTTGTCATTTTAGAAAGAGAAACACAACTTTGTAGTTTGGCAACAGTGGACAAGGCTCCTGGAGTGCTTTGTTTCAGGAGAAAAATGTAATAAAACTGAATTCCCCTCTTCAAAATTTGACTATTTCTATGCAGACTAGGTTTGATCATTGCTGTCATACCGTCAGCATTTTGAAGGCTACATTTGCACGTCCCGTCCAAAATATGGCGTCAGAAGGAAAAAGCCACAGTGATGATATTGGTAACTGGATGTTTGCCCATGTGTTTTGTTCTGTACTGTTTTGTTGTGATTATTTTGTACAAATTCAGTCTTTGTTTTATGTTTCCAATGATTTAAAGGAACAGTCTGAGATGTGTTCCAGTTTGTGTCTGTAAATCCCAGTTTCATCATAAAGCACTTGGGACCAGAAGCCATTAGTATCTCAATAATGATGATGTTTAAATGTGAGGAAAGTATGTCATATTGCAAATCTAAGACTGATATAAAAAAAACATTTATAGCAATGAGCCTGTAAATCACGTTCAGCTGAGCTTCATCTGAAGATAAAGGCAGAAAAATCTACTTTCCAGTGGCCACTGCACAGTCCACTACTATACTGTCTTTCCCCCCTTTTCTGTGGTACTCTAAGGAATGAGCTGCAGCCTTAATGTAATGTTATGTTATTTATCAATATTTTACTATCATTGTATTTTAAGCCCTAAAGACTGAAAGTGTTCCATAAGGGATTTTTGATGTTAAACAGCGCTCTGCCTCATTACTATTTTGCATCATTTTTTACTGCAATAAAAACATCTGAAAGTTGAACAAATCTTATCTGTGGCATTTTACTTTTTCTAGATGTGCAGCTGTGTCATCTCTTTGCCTGATTTCTTTTGTCATGATAAGTCATTTCATGTATAATCAAGCTGTTGGTGTAAACGTGTAGCCCTTTACAAACCACAAGACTAGTCTGATATTATAATTATTCAGCATCAGACTGATGTAAATGACTGTGCAGATTTCTTGTCTCATTATTTGTCTCAGATATTTAATGCACAGTTTATAAAATTGATCATATTGTGCTGTATCATGCCATCAGACTAACTATATGATTTTACTTCTGGGGCATTTGCAAAGGGTGGGAAACACGAGGACAGGAGGTCGGGTTCATAAGACATGGACAGCTTCAACACATGGGCAGACTTAGACAGTGAACCGACAAAGAACAAGGGGAAGACAGGGACTCTACACACTCTGGGAAACAAGCAACAGGTGAGACAGACAACGCACAGCTGAGACAGACAACTCACAGGTGAGACAGACAACACACAGGTGAGACAGACAACACACAGGTGAGACAGACAACACACAGGTGAGACAGACAACACACAGGTGGGACAGACAACACACAGGTGAGACAGACAACACACAGGTGGGACAGACAACACACAGGTGAGACAGTTGTCTTAGTTGGGAGATGACTCTGCCAAGCATTTCAACATCAATCAGGACAAACTTCTCCAGTGTTCCCACATTAAAAAGAACAAGGATTGTGGGCCGTTCAAAGTTTTAGATGGTATAAATTTCATCTGATTGAACCTATTTTGTTCCTGAAGTGGACTGCAAACTCCTCACATGTTGAGTCTGTAAACAGATCACAAGGGTGATCAAAAACAGGATTAGTTCAGAGATTGATAGTTGAGAAAATAATTGTTGGGTTTTAATGATTATCTGAAATTCATAAAAAAAAAAGATCTTTTCTTGCACTTTAAACTGTCTTATTGTAATTACCAAGTTGTTAAAAAAAAACAGATCATTTATTGTCAGTTTGTTGTTACATCGTTTTCTCTCGAGTTAAATTTCCTCTTTTCCCGGCATCATTGCCTGCCCCAACTCGCTCAAGGCCTGGAGATCAACAGAGGACACTGTGGACAACTCAGCTTGCTTGGGTTCCTTTTATTGTAGATGGTAATCAGTGCAGAAGCAGGTAGATAACCTCAAAGGAAATAAATGAAATGAGGCTGTCATTAAATAGGCACAGATAAATTAACTCATCAGTACTAATTTAAAAAAAGGGTTATTAAATTTAAGAATTAAACAAATTAAATTCATGGGTAAACTATCAATTCTTAAATTATTTTAAATCATTCCAATTCATTTCAAAATAAATTTGGCTTTTTAACCGTTTTAAATTATTTTAAATGATGCTAAATACTCGACATGTAATTCATTTTTACTCAAACTTAATATTTAATTTTACGGTTGATTTAAATCAAATCTATCCCTCTATGAGAGCTTGCATAAATTTAAACAACAACTAAGAACGACTAGGAAACAACTATATTAGTTTTAACATTATATTTTAAGCTCACAGGGCTTACATTATCAATAAACTCAAATATCTCAACCTCTCAGTCACTGAATTAAAGTTATTTTAACTGTTAATTTGATTTAAATGAGGATTTTCTCACCACTGGCGTCTCTGAGGTCTCCTGCAGTGATGCCACCAAACACTCTCTCTGCAACAAAGAGTGACACACCTGTCCCTGAGCCTCTTCGATGCCTCTGCCTACCATCCCCCACTCTACCTGCACTTGCTGCACTTTACTTGCCCTGCTGAGACTCTCCAGTGGGAGGAACAAACCTCTGAAACATAAATCTAAACAGTCACATAAATTCTCTCTATAAAAAATATCTCTAAAGACTGTCCTGACATTTTCTCTCTGCTTTTCTGCAGTTTCTCTTCAGTTCAACAATCAAAGTGTTTCTCCAGGAAGGTTTTGGAGTTGTTCTGATCTTTTACAGTTTTACTGGAGCAACTGTGTCAGGCGTCAATCTGAGTTTACTGTAACTGTCCTCAATCAAATCACAGGAGGAGCATCAAACGTCAGGGGGAGTATCCTTTAAAATATCTGTGAAATCTGCAACCTCAACCAAAAACACTCTGACGCCATCTGCTGGAGAAACATACTTCACTGCAGCTCTCTCTCCTTAACCCATGATGAGACGCATTTTGGTGAAAGTGAAAGAAGAATTTTGAAGTTGTTGAACCGGTCGGAGACGCCATTACAGGGTGTGAGATCTCAACTGGAAAAGAGACGAGAGGAGGATTTTAAGAACTTTCATGTGGTGAGTTTGACTTTTGAAAGACTATTTGAAGAAAAGGAAAAATGGCTGAGAAACTCTCTTTTGTAGAAAGGTACCTGAACTCTCTGGAGTCTGTTGCTCTTTGTTTGTCTTTTCTTTGAAACTTTTAATGATCTTTATAAACATGTCTGAAGGAGTAAAGAGGTAAACAGGTTTGTGTGATATTTTTTTCAACACTGACCTTTGCACTGATCTTTTTTAGTGATGACTTTGAAAGCTGAAACCTGAATTTTGAACATTAGTTCATCTAAAAAACCTCACACAGACAGTGATAAACCAAGGACTCAATGTAGCAAATGAAAAATTTAATCTCTTGTTATTTTGTTTTACAGATGTTAGTCTTTAACAGCTATTAAACCATTGCATGATCTACAGCTCCAAAGTCCTCGTTATTCTTTTGGACTAAAGAGAAGTCATCATCAGTGAGACACTGGCTGAGGCTGATTAAACTGGAGACAAAGTCTGATACAGTTGCAGAGCCACTTAACCAGACCACCATCAGAGAACTTTCTGCACCTTTGGAGACCCGAAGAAGCCAAAGAGAATAAATTTGGTAAGTTTTGTTGTATTCAAACACTATCTGAAGAGAGAGTTTTATTCCATTATTCCATAGTGTAGTTTAACTGGGGAAAGGTCAGCTAGTCTGTTTAAAAAGTTTAAATGTTCATGCTGACTAAAATTAACTTTAACTTTATTGTTGAAAAAACTTCAGTATTTCCATGATGTCTTTTTATTTTTGCTGACAGACGTGTGAACGACAAACTGGAAAAAAAGAAACAAAGAGGCCATTATACAGCTGTACGACAAAAAAAACTGGATGATTTTAAAACTCTGAAAAGTACATCAGACTTACATTTGGAGATAAGACATATATCAAGAGAAATGGCTGAGAAAATCTCTTTTTTAGAAAGTTACCTGAACTGTCACGTGTGTTCAGAGACTTTCAGAGATCCTGTGTCTCTGAGCTGCAACCACAGCTTCTGTTCAAGCTGTCTGCAGAAATTCTGGGAACAAAGTAAGAACAAAAACTGTCCCATCTGTAAGAGGAAATCTTCAAAAGATAATCCAATAGTGAACTTTGCACTGAAGGAGCTGGCTGACTCGTTTGCTGGGAGACTGAGAGTTGGATCATCTGAGGAAGAAAAAAAAGAAAAGAAGGTGGAGGTGGTGTGTAGTAAACATGACAAGGAGCCTGAATTATTCTGTAAAGATGAAGATCGAGCTGTGTGTCCTGTCTGTGAGTTTTCTCTCCACCAGACTCACACTGTGGTTCCTGTAGAAAAAGCAGTCAGAGATCTGAAGGAGCAGCTGAAATCTGACTTAAAGTCTCTCCAGGACAAGAGGAACAAACACAAACAAGTGGAGAAAACATACAATGAAGTGATTCAACACTCCAAGAAGCAGCTGCTGTCCACAGAGAGACAGATCAGAGCAGAGTTTAACAAGCTCCACCAGATCCTGAAAGAGGAAGAGGAGTCCAGATTGGAGGCTCTGTGGGAGGAGGACATGCAGAAGGAGAAGACTATCATCAGAGAGATGAAGAGGATTCAGGAGCAGATCTCCTCTCTGTCAGACAGTATCTGTGCTGTTGAAGAAGAGCTGCAGAAACACAACGCGGCCTTCCTCAGCAGTTATAAAGTCACTCAGAGCAGAGCCAGAGTCCTGAACTCAGAGTCAGATCCACAGCTGGTCTCAGGAGTGCTGATAGATGTGGCCAAACACCTGGGTAACCTGTCCTTCAGAGTCTGGGAGAAGATGAAGGAGAGGGTCCACTTCAGTCCAGTCATTCTGGATCCAAACACTGCAAACAGCTGTCTCTATCTGTCTGATGATCTGACCAGTGTGAGACGAGGAGACAGAAAACAGCAGCTTCCTGATAATCCAGAGAGACACACCAAATATCCTACTATTCTTGGCTTTAAGGGCTTCAGCTCAGGGAAACACAGCTGGGAGGTGGAGGTGGGAGACCATCCAGAATGGAATGTGGGTTTGGCTAAAGGGTCAGTTGACAGAAAAGGGGAGAGGTAATTGCTTCACCAGAATATGGAGTCTGGTGTTTATTACACCGCAGTGGAAAATACACAAATGGTCTTGGTGAGAGTGTCCAAGTGAAGAAGAGTCTCCAGAGGATCAGAGTCCAGCTGGACTATGACAGAGGGGAGGTGTCCTTCTATGTCCCTGAAGACAGGACTCACATCTACACTCACAGAGACACTTTCACTGAGACTGTTTTCCCTTATTTCAATATTGGAGAGTCTGGAGATGCTAAAACTTCTGAAGTCAAAATCAGTCAAAGTGAGATTTCTCTGTCATGTTCAGGACGATGAGGTCTGACTGATTTCTTCATGTTTTCATCATTGAGGAGGTTTTTGATACAGTTAGAAATAAATCCAGTTATTTATTTAAAGGTGAGAAACATTAACTTTGAAAGAAGATGAAGAAAATGAGGGGAAAAAAACAACATTTGGACTCTTTCAGTATTTGACATGTTGACACACATTATTGAGTTCTTGAAGAATCTGGAAAATGTTCAAAAGACACAGAATAAGCTGATAAAGAAAAGTCGTCTGTTTTATTGATGTGAAGAAGTTTGGATGAAAATGTTTGATGTGATGTGAACATGCTGAAAGAACTTGAACTGTTTAGAGTTCATAGAATAACTTTGAGTTCAAATGTATCTCCCCCTGCTTACTAGTCTTAATTTTCAAGATTTTTTCATATCTTTGAATTTTAATGTAGAATTTTCTCAAATATTTTTGAACTTTTATTTTGATGGAGCTGATTTCATGACATGCAGATAACATGATTGTTTTTGTGACAATGTTTGATGTTAATTAAGGCAGAATTTTCTTTCATATTTTTGGTGCTTCAATTATCCAGATATTGGAAGAAAATGTTCACTTTAGTTTTCTATTTTAAATTAATCTGTCTGACTTTTATTTCCTCATTTCTGAGCTTTTATATTGGTGACGCTGACGTTTGTTCATATGAGTTGATATGAAAACAGTTATCAGCTCACTAAAAATGCACAAGCCATTTCTTCTTCCACATCTCAACTTTTAGTGCAACTCCACTTGAAGCATGAAGCTGCCCTCCATCTGTGTTTTCCTCTGTGAGTGCGCCCCCTGCTGGAGTTCAGCTGCAGCTCCTCAAAGTGACATGCAGAAGGACAGTAGTATATCAAGCATATCAGACAGCGGCTGAAATAAAGGTTTCAAAGCTCCCCTCTCTCTGCTTCTTTGCTGCTCTCTGTTCAGTTCTCACACAGAGACCACAGATACAAAAATAAAACTGTTTTCGGTGTAAAAGCCTCTACATGACTTTTTCTGATCATATTCAGACCGCACAACTCACACAAATAGCCTATAATCATTATTTCAACATATTTTTTTGCCTGCTCATGTGTGCAAAATACAGGGTTAACAATAGAAGGAAACACTGACGCCATCTACTGGTGACTAAACTCTACTGCAGCTCTTTCTTCTTAACTCACCATGTGACACAGTTGGATCAAAGTAACAGGAGATTTTTGTAATCGTTGAACTGACCAGACGTACCTTTACATCTTGATTTTCACCATTTTTACTTCATTGACAAGAACAATTGAATGTAAAGCTGAGGCTTTTATTTGGTTAATTCTAAACATTCACTGTATCTTTATTTTTGGGGAGGAGTTAAATTGTTGCCCACTGTCTCATGTTGCATATCCTAAATCTTGAAAAAGGCCCAAAATATAACCTTAAAAATAAATAATGCCTGTTTTATGCAGCAGTTATGTGTAATGAGAGGTAATGATGTTAGAAAACAACAGTTATGATTCAGCCAAGTTAAGGACAGGCTACGCTTTTGAGTTAAACATACAAACAGGGTTACTATAATGCATGTGGATGCAGCAGAGCAGCTGCCTGTTACATGTCTTTAGGATCAATTTTAATTTATTATGTAGTGCAAAAATGTTAAAAGAAGGATCCAAAAGGGAAAAGTGTTGTGATTGTGCAACCAAAATGTGTATTATTTGATTATTGCCCTTGTTAGTTTCTTATTTGCGTATCATGATTTATCAGAAAGAGTCTGTGGTTTAATTTATACTGTTATAAAGGCTGATGGATGATTCATTGTGTTTCTATCTGAATGATGAATTGTTGCCCAGAACTGAATGTACTTAGCCTCTAGCCCTGACAGGTGACCAAAGACTTTTTGAAGGTTTTTGTGCTGTTTTTCTCTTTCTCTGGAGTAAAATTTCCATTCACTCATGCTGGGTGATAGTGTGGTGATGGAGATTTTCACCACTCGGCACAGTAAAAATCAGCTTTTATGTCATCTCTATAGAGATAGTCCAAGTCTGGCTGAACAAAAGCAGCACTTAACTCCAGTTTGTAAAACTGTTGCTGTCATTATACTTACTAACCCTATGTCCTCTGATGTCCAGCTCAGGGTAGGAAACTCAAACGCTTGAATTAAGCCACTGATGTTTGGCAAATGTGGGAAACCCTACAATTTTTTTTAATCATGATTACTGCTTTTTTAATAATCATCAGCATAGTTAAACTCAAGAAGGATAGCAGTCATTATTTCAAGGTTAAACTATATATTTGATTAGGAATGAGATAAAATTACATAAAAGTAAACTTAAAAACTGTGGTATTACCCTTTATTAAGTTTTACAAGGAAATATTAAGTTAAAATGTTGGATGTCAAAACTAAATGTGAGCAATTGTAATGTATGTCGGTGTAATTAACACTAGAGCCACTCCACATTTGCTCAATTTGTAACATCACCAGTTGGTGAAAGCTGTACTTTGATGAATGTAGCACCAAATAGAAACATCTTGCTTTGACCTTTTTTGTACTTTTTTAAAAGTTCCAGGTCAGATTTTGGGTCCAAAACAAAGAGACATCTTTTTATATATACATATATATAATTTGTCATTTTAGAAAGAGAAAATCAACTTTGTAGTTTGACAACAGTGGACAAGGCTCCTGGAGTGCTTTGTTTCAGGAGAAAAATGTAATAAAACTGAATTCCCCTCTTCAAAATTTGACTAATACTATGCAGACTAGGTTTGTTCATTGCTGTAATACTGTCAGCATTTTGAAGGCTACATTTGCACGTCCCGTCCAAAATATGGCGTCAGAAAGAAAAAGCCACAGTGATGATATTGGTAACTGGATGTCTGCCCATGTGTTTTGTTCTGTACAGTTTTGTTGTGATTATTTTGTACAAATTCAGTCTTTGTTTTATGTTTCCAATGATTTAAAGGAACAATCTGAGATGTGTTCCAGTTTGTGTCTGTAAATCCCAGTTTCATCATAAAGCACTTGGGACCAGAAGCCATTAGTATCTCAATAATGATGTTGTTTAAATGTGAGGAAAGTATGTCATATTACAAATCTAAGACTGATATAAAAAAACATTTATAGCAATGAGCCTGTAAATCACGTTCAGCTGAGCTTCATTTGAAGATAAAGGCAGAAAATCTACTTGCCAGTGGCCACTGCACAGTCCACTACTATACTGTCTTTCCCCCCTTTTCTGTGGTACTCTAAGGAATGAGCTGCAGCCTTAATGTAATGTTATGTTATTTATCAATATTTTACTATCATTGTATTTTAAGCCCTAAAGACTGAAAGTGTTCCATAAGGGATTTTTGATGTTAAACAGCGCTCTGCCTCATTACTATTTTGCATCATTTTTTACTGCAATAAAAATATCTGAAAGTTGAACAAATCTTATCTGTGGCATTTTACTTTTTCTAGATGTGCAGCTGTGTCATCTCTTTGCCTGATTTCTTTTGTCATGATAAGTTATTTTATGTATAATCAAGCTGTTGGTGTAAACGTGTAGCCCTTAACAAACCACAAGACTCGTCTGATATTATAATTATTCAGCGTCAGACTGATGTAAATGACTGTGCAGATTTCTTGTCTCATTATTTGTCTCAGATATTTAATGCACAGTTTAAAAAATTGATCATATTGTGCTGTATCATGCCATCAGAAGAACTATATGATTTTACTTCTGGGGCATTTGCAAAGGGTGGGAAACACGAGGACAGGAGGTCGGGTTCATAAGACATGTGCTGCGTCCGAACTGCCCGCTTGGATACTACATGCTACTGCTACGTGCTACTGCTAGATCCTACTCCTACATACTAAAAACGTTGGCCCAATTCGGACACACTAGACGAGCGGTGGGGAAAGACGACCCCCGCAGGCAGAGAGTAGGTACTGCGCCCGTGCAGACAGTGGTAACTGAAGCCCCTCATCTGCGGGCCTGGCTGTAGTGCTGCAGCTGTGCAGTTTAATGATGGAATAAGTGAGCTTTACCTCCATGATGTCGCCACTTGCTCATAAAATGATTACTTGGGCAAATATGACACCATGACATGACAAAGAGATACAACCGCACATTTTTTAGGACAGTGTGTGAAGTTACATGAAACTTACATCTGTACTGCTGCGGTCCCGCCTGCTGCTGCTGCTGCTCCGACATGGTGCGCGCTACTGTGGCCAGCCGGCGTTCGCGACACTTTTAAATAGGCAGAGCAGCTGGTGGCGCTAGCATCACATGCGCTTCTACAACTTTTAAGAGGACGAAGAAGAAGCCCGCGGTGCATTTTGGGTCAGTAGCATGCCCGTAGGATGCACCGAGACCAACCTACAATGTGGGCGTGTCTAGCATCTGAAGTAGTATCTGAAGTAGCATGCTACTCGCTCCGGTGGCCAATTCGGACATGCTAGATACTACTTCGACTACTACTTCGACTACTACTTGGCAATTCGGACGCAGCTATGGACAGCTTCAACACATGGGCAGACTTAGACAGTGAACCGACAAAGAGCGAGGGGAAGACAGGGACTCTACACACTCTGGGAAACAAGCAACAGGTGAGACAGACAATGCACAGGTGAGACAGACAACACACAGGTGGGACAGTCGTCTTCGTTGGGAGATGACTTTGACAAGCATTTCAACATCAGGACAAATTTCTCCAGTGTTCCCACATTAAAAAGAACAAGGATTGTGGGCCGTTCAAAGTTTTAGATGGTAGAAATTTCATCTGATTGAACCTATTTTGTTCCTGAAGTGGACTGCAAACTCCTCACATGTTGAGTCTGTAACCAGATCACAAGGCTGATCAAAAACAGGATTAGTTCAGTGATCAATAGTTGAGAAAATAATTGTTGGGTTGTAAAGATTATCTGAAATTCGTTTTAAAAAAATGATCTTTTCTTGCACTTTCAATTGTTTTATTGTAAACACCAAGTTGTTGTTAAAAAAAAAACCTGATAATTTATTGTCAGTTTGTTGTTTCATCATTTTCTG